TAAATGTCCTCTTTTGAATATTAATAGTTTAATTTGGGCAATATTTCTATATTTTTCATGAAAAAAATTATTAGCCCAGGAGACTGTTCTCCAAACCGAGAATCGTCCTATAAAACATATATATTTGTCCACTGCAATGACACTCGGTATAAATACCCGCTGGAGAATAGTGTATTGAATGGACATACACATTAATTTATTCAATTAGATACTTAGCAGCAGTGGTTACCATGGCAACATCTGCTAGGGGTTACCCTTTGCATTCGTTCGACTTTGCTTCTCAAAAGAGAGCTTCGTCGTCAGTAGTTTTCGGTAGTCTTCGGTAGTTTTTAACTAGACTCTGCGCGCAGGGTAGCTAGGGGTCCGTGGAGCAGCTAAATAATTACAAGAAACCAGGGAATATTGTACGATGTAATATTTTAAAAATTGACAGTTACTTTTTAATTTGTGTTTTCACATTGGTTGTCCTGGGGCCAATAATGGTGTCATTTATTGTCTATTATATATTATATTTTATATACTATAATGTTATATATTATACTCGAATGCTCCAGGGTTCTGGTTATGACGTCATATATTATTTTTTATTCATTTTTTTATTAATTTATTGCAATCACTTTTAGATCAGTGGCACATAGTTAAACTAGTGCAGCAGTTAAAACATACAATACATGTGTACAAGTACAATTCTAAAGCAGAGCTAAAAACATTTGCGCAATAAGACATAAAAACAAAACTAAAACATTTGCAATACATTAACTTGTTGGTGCTACATATATGTTTTTGATAAAATACTTTGAGCATGCATCAAAAATATAACCTTGTTCTTGACCCAAGATAGCATAGGCCGCATCCCTAATCACCCATTCTAAACCATTATTGGGAATACATGTCTTAAAATAATTATAAATGTGTGGAAGTCTATTCTCAATGCTATTATAAAATATGAACCTTTCCTCTTTAAACTTTGGGCAGGTAAAAAATCGATGTTCAGGAGTTTCTTTACAGCTCATATTACAAAAAGAACACATTCCATCACTTATACCCCATCTCTCAAGATCAATGGCGAGACCAAAGCATCCTGATCTGGCCTTGAATTTAAGTTTTTGAGCATAGAAGTCAAAATCAGTTTTAAGGTATTTTTCCATAAGTGTGTTTCTTTTAATATTACTATATACTGTAAGTGAATTTTTCTGGTTTATCGAGTCAAAAAATGTATTGCGTAACAAATCATTAGATATTTTCAAATATGACGAGTACCAATCTGTGTCCCCTCTGTATATTACATCGTCTAAACCATGGTTGGTCAAAATATCTTTAATGCTAGAAAAATAAGACCAGGTGGCTGTATTTCCCTTTTTAAAGTCCTCAAACATATAATTGAAAATATTCTTGTGGAGCCCTGCTTTAAGAGAGCTCTTTAAGTAGATAAAATAGCCAATTTTTCTTTTTTCTATGACATTACATATAGGCCTCCATCCCAAGTCACCGAACAGGGCCTCCTTAGCAGGATTACACTTGAGTTGTAATAGCGATTTTCCTATCTTATATTGAAAGGTAGCTAGTGTTTTGCAATTTGATTTGTTCAATACGAAGGTACTACAACCATGCAAAATTGCAGGTACAAACATTGAATTATATATAGTATCACCAAAGCTTATGCGCTTTGCATTACAGTGTTTACTCAGAGTTGAACACAACATGCCTTGCATGCGTTTAGCTTTTGGCTTAAGGAAGGCATCTATGTGATAGGTGTCCTTTAATGTCCTATCAAAGTAGACCCCCAGATATTTATAGTTTTGAACTTCAGTTAGTTGAAGATCACCAAGATGCCAAATTTTTTCTTTATTGATGCGCTTACCTATCACCATTACTTTTGACTTTTTTGGGCTATATTTAACGCCCAATTTTAGTGAAAATTTATTTGCAATTTGCAATTTTAGAGGGTCTTGGAAATGCATATACAATATTTTTTCACCCCTTTTATACCATATACAATATTTTTCACAGCTCTTATACCATATACGATATTTTAGGTGAAATACAATATACGATAATTTTGAAACTGCTTTTGATTAAAGTTTGGATATTTATAAGGAAATAATATTGGGAGAGAATCCATGTACTAAAGTAAATGTATTATTATAAGGCAAATAGACTCCACATACATACCACAATTATTTCATTTATTACATTATGAATAAGACACCATTGGGGTACATCCGCATTTTCAGAAAACCTGTGACCACATTTTATTTTCAGGTAAACAAGTTGATTTAAAACACATTTATGATATAAGATTCATGACTTCTCTTTAGTGATTTCACAACCTACTTTGACCAAAAAACTAACAATTTGCAATTTGCTAAAGCCATTAGCCCATTACCTGTAGATATTCAAAATTAGCACAAAACCTGCATCATTGGAATGGGTGGAACTCAGTGTTCCTCTTTCTTATGACCTACTTTCCCATGACTTATTTTAATGTCAATGGAATCCTTCATAGTGAGCCAGGGAAAAAATCCTTGAAACATAATTTATGCCGCAAAATTGAGAATGTGGAATAAAAGATTCATCATGTGTTTTATGAAAATAAAGTTTGCTGAGGAAAATATGTATCAGATAGATAATGAAGATTCACAATGCACAATAATTTTGTAAACCAGTTACCTGGAAAATATTGAAAACAGTTTCAGAAATAAAGGACTTCACAAACTTCCATGTAGATAATTCATTTTTGATTGGACTCGAGTCTGGAAACTAGAGTTTGAAATAAAGGCAAGATGAGACTTGATTGTTTACACATTTGAAACAAGAGACACTTCGAGGTTTCAGATAAGGCAGCCTCAAAGACAGTATAAGTTAAACAAAGGTGTGTCAAACCACATGTTTCACGAATGATTTCAAGGCAAAGATGTATTGATGAGAATGAAAACTACTCTATGTAACTAGAAATAACTTTCTTTTAAAGGACCATGGACGGTATCGCAACAGATTTCAGTCATATATTGGATTTTGGCTATTTTCTGAGGATTTGAACAGGTGCATATGTTAGGCCAATGCATTAACTCCAAGGTGCAAACACCCTATCAACATGTTTTTTCTGTAATGTTGTCCTGATTTCCAGCCCTTTCCACACCTGTTTTTCAATGTTTGTTGCAACGATCACTCTGTTGCGTTTTTAGACATGGTTAACATCTTTAAATGAAAATATAATTCATGCAGGGGTTTTAAAGATATCAATTTTGGATGACCAAAATTAAGCTGAAAACAATGGATCACATGAGTTTTCCCTATGGGAAAATAACATGGGAAATACATGTACTGTTTTCCACTTTATCCCAAATTAATCATATTTTAGAGGTTAACTGTGTCTCAAATTGCAACATATTGGTGCATCAAACATTGAAAAAACATATGTAGAAAGGGCTGAAAATCAGGACAACACCTCAGAAAAACCTCCCTTGTCTCAAAGTCCAAATTATTTTATTACCTCTATGAGTGCTTGATCTGGAGTTAATGCATTGGCCTAACATTTGCACCTGTTCAAATCCCCAATAAATAGCCGAAATCTAACAAATGACAGTTTGAAGATCAAATAAATACCTTTTGCTATATTATGCTATATAAGCATTGTAATGCTTGTATTAAATAAAACATGCGCTGTATGAACACTGTATACTCAAATATTTTAATGATTTATATGTTTGGTCTTCTTGGATTTTTTTTGAACTGATTGAGTTCTAAGATAAAAGATCTATTAAAAAAGGCGCAGTGTCGCCAACGTGCAAATGCCAATGTTTTTGCTATAAATCAAGCAACAATGGTCTGCACGACATGTAAGTTATTGGAAGTTTTCATATGTCTTATAGACACATTACTCCCCCCCCCCCCTCCGTTCAGTTTTAATAATTTTCGATTACTATTTATAGAACCAATGATGACAATAGTTTTGTGATAATTACTTCACTTACAAGTATTTATTACAGGTCGTGTAGACCCCTGTTGGTTGATTTATAGCAAAAACATTGGCATTTGCACATTGGCGACGGTGCACTTTTTTAATAGATCTTTTATTTTAGAACTCCACAGTTCAAAAAAAATCCAAGAAAACCTAACACTATTCCCCCGTCCACTGCGTCTATTCATTTAGCCATTCAATTGTAAACTTTCTCTTGAAAAAATAAATCTTCAAGATTTGTTGAATTTTCCACCGAAAATCAGCTAGATCTACTCCCCCTCCGTTCATTTCTTCTGATCACCGGGCGTAATTCTTATTTGAGACTATATCTAACACCTCCTGTGAAAATTTGAATGAAAAGGGCACAAAACTCTTAGTTTGAGAGGGATTTTCTCTAAACTTACAGTATTGATTGACCTGGAATGTGGAACCAATTAGAGAGACTACTTTTCCATGTTTTTCCAACACGGTTACAGTAAGAGAGTTGGCACAATGGGGAACTTTAGGGTACAATTTCTTCATAATTAGCCTTCTTTAATTCTAGATACCATATACCATATATTTTCTATTATACCATATTTTTTACACCTCTTATACCATATACGATAAATTTTGCCCCTTCTTATACAATATACAATAAATTTTCAGCCTCTTATACGATATACAATATCTCTATACACCCCCCCCCCCCTGTAATAGTTTACATGTTTTATACCGATGTAAAACCAATTATTTTCATAAGTACACCAAGGCCCCAGATAAAGCTTGAGCAACTTTGGCGTATGTTTTAGTCTTATCCAATTTTATCAAAATGTTATATGTGGATTTTTTTATTTCAAAAAGTCATTTTGGAGGACTTTTTGTTCAGAAAATTGTGCACTTATTTCAAATATGTTTTTAATAATTAACACCAAAAGTAAGTTGTCTCTGTTAACGGAAATCTGGACTCTTTTTCATGTTTTTAGTCTTTACTTTGCATCAATTATCAAGATATCAAAGACTAGGGTCATGTACGCTAAAAAGATCTAAATACAATTACCCCTTTTTTCTTTTGAAATTTCTTCATCAATACTACTATCCAGCCCTCCTTTAACTGTTGACACCAGTAACATGGTAACCACAAGGCAACATACCATACGCATCATCTGCATTGCTGTCTAAACACAGAATAATACAATCGAAGTGATGTGTAACCAGCTTTGTTTTTCATATTCAAAACCTAGAAACTGTATGACGAATCAATGTTATGCCTGCTGAATGCTGGAATATACGTTAAATGTATGTGCGTATTTTTCAGGAGATGAATATCAACAGAAAATTCAATTTTTGGGACTTTTGATTTTTTCATTTCTCGCCAATATACCACTTACTCAAAAATACAAAATTTCCTAGATAAAGCATAACGAATTCAATTTCTGGTAATTTTTATAATCAATTATAACTAGTAATCTGTCTGCCTGAATTGATCGATAGATAATGTAAAACGTAAGGAATCTTGACCCCGTTTAAACCCTACTTGCTTAAAATACATGATGTCTTCAAATTGTTAATTGCAAGTTTATGCAAATTTATGCACTGTGCATAAATTGAATTGAATTGAATTCAAAGTATTTTCTATTACGTAGGATTATGTTTAGCCTTGCCAACGTCGGCATTATCTTGATTTTCAATTAATATGAATCAAAATTAAATTTTTTAAAAAATAGAAAGACACCGACTTAAGAAAGGCTAGATTATGTTATATTATAGATGATAATAAGGGTTTATTAATATTATATTTTGCCAACAAAATCTACAAACTTTACGATGGCTGACATTAATATATTTAAACGTGATGCTTACCTCGATCTTTAGTGATGGGGCGAAATAAGTGTTGACTCCTAGACTCCTTGCTTGTCTCCGTTTAAACTTCAGCAATTTCAGTTATTTTAAAGAGCATGGACATCGTGCATCTCACAGATTCTTCCGCCGCGTATTGATTCCATTGATTATGCTCGGTGAAATACAGGGTGTTCAACTGTATACATTTTTACTCATAAAGATACCTTAGGAGTATTATCTCGTTTAATCCGGGAATATGTGCTATACCCAGCTGAATATTTTTCGTAAGTCCCGCTCCAACGAGGATCCGGGATCTATAAATCATATATCCCGCTCAAGCCGTTCTCTTAGACATACGATGGCTAATATATCCCACCCCGGGAATTCCCGCCATAACACAGCACTGAACTAGACTAAAGACAAAGATGGCAGACGAACGGAGTGAATAAAATTCAAGATTTGGAACAAAAGTACCAACACACTGATGGAGTTTATATTGTGAGAAATACACATCTAATTACATAATATATTGCAATTTAACACATCAGCATATGGGATACATAGGGGTTATGCACTGGGAGGTTTTGGATACAGGGAATATCCCGAGTGATATACAATATATCTTCACGAGGGACCGAAGGGACCGAGGAAAGATGTATTGTATATCCCAAGGGATATTCCATGTATCCAAACCGACCGTGCATAACTGTTGTATTCCATACCTGATGAGGTTTTAAATAATAGGCCTAAGCTTATAAGCAAAAAAACTTGACAAATATTTATTCAACTTCTGGTTCTATGTTTTCGCATGGCCGAAGCTCACCCTTAGTTGCTAAGTAATCGTGGAGTACTCCGACATCTAAACGCGTTTTCTTCGTTTTGTGTTCATTTGCAGTGTTAGAAACTATCAACATCATTTGTTTCAAATGTTACATTTTGTTCCGTTCTGCCATCTTTGTCGTTTGCTTAGTTCAGTGCGCTGAAATATTTATGACGTAAATTCCAGGGGCGGGACATACAGCCATCGTATGTCCCGGAGGACGGCTTGTGCGGGACATACGATTTATATGTCCCGGAGCTCCGATGGAGCGGGACATACGAAAAATATTTGCCCGGATATGGAATATATTCCCGGTTGATATGTCCCTGAAACCTCATCAGGTATGGAATACATGCTTATTTATTATCACCAGGTATTGAGTATAATAGTTATGCACGGTCGGTTTTGATACAGAAAATATCCCTTTGGATAAACAAAACATCTTCCCTCGGTTCCTTCAGGCCCTCTGGAAGATATTGCATATCCCTCGATATATTCCCTGTATCCAAAGCCTTCCAGTGCATAAACTTTACATATCCCTCTGATGATATCGATATTTCCATCTGGAAATATTGATCATCCCTCTGATATTTCCCAAATCAAATCACTCCAGGTAAATAACTATACTTTATTTTAACTACGAATCAATTTTGGGACTTACGACTGGTCTCTCACACATCTACTAGAACTTTTATTTTTGAAATTTAAAATTTTCATAGGACCTTGTCTGTCATGATATATTTTTAAAGCATAAAAATCAAGCACCCTGTAGATGCTTACAGTCTGTAGAGAATATAGTCCCACCTGTTATTCACAGATGCTTACATCGAGAATATAGTCCCACTTGTTATTCACATGTGCCACATTTGATTGAATATACTGGTACAGGGGATGTATAGTATCGTATCGTATAGTAAAACCTGTCTTGGAGAACACCGCCTGACAACAAGGAACATTTTTCAAATGAACCAAACATTTATTCATAAACTTTTAAACATATTAATGGACGCTCTCTGTAAGAAACCTATTTCAACCGGGAACAAGGAACACTGAAGGCAAGTTTTCTGATGCGATGTGTATCAGAATGGTCGTATGTCATCATCTCTGAACCTTGGGGTTATGCTTGCCGTTCAATATTTTGCTGGATAGTTTATGGCGTTTTAGAACTAAATTTAGTTTGCTCGGGGTAACGGGGGCGAGCTATTTAGTAAGATTTGCTAACGTGGGCTTTCAAGAGAAGGGTATGGTACTTTGTGTTACAAACGTGAAATCTTCAAAACGAGCATTGCCACACCTCCCTTTTGTTCATATCTATAATAAATGAATGTACACTCTCCTCCATAAGTTTGGCAACCTTAGCTCCCCATTGAACTACGTGTTCAATCCTCTTTACGTTTGAATTTTTATTCACGTAACCTGCGATGAAATAACGTATAATATTGATATTGACTTTATTTCCTATGCCTTCACATTTTCCCAATTTTTTTCTCGATTACAATAGGTCGAAAATTGAGGATAAATTTGATGAATTTTGAAAATCGTCATTCCCATGTAAACCAATGGGAAATGGTGGGTTCGGGGCAAATCAGAAATCGGGATAAATATTCAGTAAAAGATTCAGCAAAAAAATATTTTTATATAGAAAATTGAATTGTCTAACTTTTTTGTACGCTAGGTGTTTAGCTTACTTGATGAATACTAAAGCTACAGAGCTTCAAAGTCATTTTTGAAAATCTTTTTTCTCCTCCCGTGCTATTTCAATGGGAGAGGTATTTTGAATAATAATCTTGACTTTAAAGACCTATAACTTTGCTGATCCTGAAGAAAGGTATAAATTTTTTGTTAAATAAAGTTATCAAATTCAATTGCCTACCTAACTTGTATTTTTTCAAGGACTCGGATGGATATTCTGTCATATGACTTGCGGTAAACCTACCATTTTCCATTGGTTAACATGGGAATGTCGATTTTCAAAAATGCATCAAATTTATCATCAATTTTCGACCTATTGTAATTGAGGATAAATTGAGAATATTTGGAGGTATTGGAAATAAAGTCAAATTATGTTTCGGCATATTTGTAAATCAATTTTCTAAATTTTTCAAAAAGCACATATACATATGAGGATGTGTGATGTGCATTTTTGAAGTATAGCCCCTCTAAAATTTAGTTTAAGATAAATTCATGATTTTTCGAACAAAATTCCTTCAAAAAACACTTTTCGAAATAAGAAAGAAAATTCACATATCACATTTTGTAACACTGGGTAAGACTATAATATAAGCCAAAGTGGTTGAACTTTATACGGGGCCTTTACATTCGGCACAAAGTAACAAAAACAGATCGTCTTAATCGCATACATTTATGTGTTTCAAGTTCGTAAACATTTACACATTCGAAAAAATGCAGGTATAACATCTTGCTGAAATGTGCCCGTATTGTATCACTACTCATTTATATGCTTTTTATTTGTTTCTTTTATGGGACCATAGCATAAGTAGAATGTCGCAGCTTGATTTTATGTCCCTGGCCTTTCAAGGGCAGATCCAGAAGTTCTGATAAAGAATGCTTTAACTTCAAAGTTCAACATTTGTTTTTCACATATTTCCAGGGTAATTTGGTCATTTATTGCCTCATATGTTAGTAATTATAATTAGTTCTCCTTTTACTAAATGTTCAAAACTCTATTGCAAGGTTGTTCTACAAATGGCTGTTTTGATAGTAATTGATACGTTCATGACATATTTTGCAGTTCAACTATAGGTGGCCAAACAGAGCTCTAGATGCATACTCCATTTACCAAGACAATGCAGCGTATCACAGATTTTGCGTGGTCTATGTTATCAGCAACATGTTAAATAGGGGGTATAAGAACGCTCTATCTTTCCCGGATAACACTCAATTGGGCTTAACTATATGTTGAACCCTTAAAAAAATCTCAGTGGCTCATATGCCATCACCTTTGATGAGATCAAGAGTGCTGTCCCCACATAGCCAAGGGAATGCTTTAAGGACTGCAAAGATGTGCACAAACAGTGGACGGATAAACATGAGAGGTAAATTAATGCAGAAGGACGTTATTTTGAACTCTTAGTTGAACTTTATCTCGAATTGGATTTTCACTGTTCGATGTAGTTTGTCAGATTTTCCAATTTAGTTATGACTGTTACGCGGAATAAAGCATATATTCATGGTTGTGTGGTATTTATGATCCTGGTAAATATCCCTTACTTACCTGCGGTGAATGGCATATTCCTCAGGTCAGTATGGCATATTCCGCAGTGGATGTTGATTTCAGTGAATACCCGATACTAACCTTGCGTATTAAACCTTAAACCCCACTTAGGTAGCATAACAATAGAATGAACTGTAGTTTATTCTAAAGAATATAGAGTTGTATCAAAGAGAGTGCGTTCTTTATCTATTTTTATTAAAGAATTGACACTTGGCAAGCTATCCAAAACCAGTGTAGTACAAAAGACGATTGGCTGACACATGCAGTACATTTGATAAAATCAAATTTAAACCGGATCTGGTCTGTTACATCCAGAGTACTGAAGCTGAACTAATGACACCCCTTCACTTCTCAACACACCTTCTTCATAGTCAATACAAAAGAAATCAAATTTTCCTAAGATTGGATCATGGGCCATTTACCTTTCATAAGAGTCAGTGTGGGGTTTAAGTTAAATGAACCAATCGTACAGTGTTTTATGAGAAATGATAGTCGAGGACCTTGGCACTGACTATTGCAATGTCTAAAACTTGGTCCAAAACCAATTTTGGCCCACTGTGCAAAGGGAATGATCATTCATCAACCATGATCCCATGTAAATAAATGACTAGATAAAATTGCAACAATTGCTGGTTTTGTGCTTTGTACCTGTTGATGCCAAAACGCCTGTTTGGACAGCATGGTGATGATAAATCGTAATTTTATTGAGTGGCTCTATGTAAAACTAAACAATGTAACGGGCCCATTCAAGGCGCATTGTATTTATGTATCATCATTTTATATACTTTTCTTTGAGATAATGAACGGATCAATACGCAACATGAATATGAACATTTTATAATCATGAAGACAAGTGTTTCTTGACGGACTTCGTTTTAGCTAACAGATTTTAATATTCTTTTTCAAAATGTCATCAATATGTTTTTGTTTGAAGAGTGTTGAAAATCAATACAATTATCATCCATTTAGTTGACATTTCGTGAGTCTCACACCACCCTGGGTCATATATACTGAAATAATACAGAATGGAAATAACCCCGTAGTTCAAATATAAAATACGCTATAATGTAAACCTATATTGAGATGACATACATCTCTGATTGGTCAAAAATCGACAAACAAATGACGTTATCAATGGCGGCTTCAAATTTTTCGAAATACGCTTGGATTTATTATGTTCAGAAATTACTGTTTTCCAGGGACCTATTAACAATTATCACAGTCTGCATCCTATCGGCTATTGGCTACCGGCTTGATTACCTGCCGTGCATTCCGGTAGCTACAAGCTATAGCGACCCGAACTGTCTATTAAAGAAGCTAGTAACAATGACTTACGATCTGTTTCCTAATTCTTCCGAGCAGCGGCTCCATTATAATCGATTCTAACGAGAATTGAAAGGTCACATGATCACTGATCACTGTTCGTCAACTGAACCGGGTTGTTCGTTATTTCAAGTTCAAAATGCCGAAGTTATTTTTGCAAATGAATAGGTTAGTCCTGTAGCCGACAGCCGGTAGTTTAAAAGTATTACAAGATAGATATGTAGATGCGTTGTGTAATGCGTGGCATTTATTATGGATAGGCTTAATAATTTCCAAATGCATTTTTATTATTACAACCTTTCCTAATAGAATTAATTCTTTTAGTTATCATAAAGTAAACATTCACTGCCTGTTATTTTGTGCTACTCAAAATTGATGACACAACTGGCATCGTTCAGAGTCAGCGCATATTCGGCGCTGGTGGCCAAAAATCAAGGAATTTGTAAAGGGAAAGGCAAAAATAGATAGTTTGAAGAGTGATCACGGCGAGTTTAATCGCCAATATGTTTTTAGGAACATCTGCCTGGTTAACGGCATTTATCGCTTTTTTGCTCCTCCCAGAACCAAGAAAGGGTAAGTCCTACATTTTACTTTAAATGAGATCACAATGGTCTTTTTATTGCTTAAACTTTAGCTATCTAGTTAAGGCAGATGTATGTATACGAATTACGAAGATATGAGACCATTTTTAGGATTGTGTCATCATATATCGTCGTAAGGTATAACTCATTTCGAAAATACAATATAAGGTATTCCATCGTCTAAACAATCGGAGACAGGCCGGAAAATCAAAATCTTAAAGGAAGTCTCGGGAACTATTTTCAATAAGGAATAGGAGGTTTTAAGGATCTCAGATATAGATCGCTACCCTCGCCTGTCCCACCCACCACTGCGACCATGTTAAGTTCCGTTCTTTTTTATTTACATGTAGCTTATATGTGTATTTTAAATTGCATTACGCAGTAGCGTCGACTAAAAAATGTAACTTGGCGGAGAAGCAGCATGTCGTAATCCAAGGAACGACCGTTCTAAAATGCCCTGTGTCTAATACAACACGATATCCCATCGAATGGCTGCGAAATAAAGAAACCATACCGTCATTAGGAAGCATTGAACGGACATCAAATCGTAAGCACCTTCAGATCACAAACGCTGATGAGAGCGATGCTGGACGCTATATGTGTATCATTTACAGCAACGCCGGGGAGAAGAGGCACAACTTCGATTTGGAAGTTTGGGGTATGTGTAATTTGGCGAAAACTTCTAACCTGTAAATTGTTTTTATATAATAGTTTCTATTTTCAACTAAATAAATAAGAACATTAGAGTTGTGTTGAAATGCTTTTTGGGGGGAGTTCTATTGGGATAATGGTCCAAAATAGAGGAATTTTGAAAACCATTTTGCTGCACATGAGATCGTTGTTTGGAATGTTGTTTTTTTATGGCTGGTTGCACTCTTACTGCAGATGTCAAACTTTTCAATTTGCACAATGCTTTGCACTTGAGCTTAGGTTTGTATTTCAATATTTCCAGTGCCACCGCATTTTAACGACAGTGAAGTACCAAGGAACCTCAGCATTGTATCAGGGGAACCAATCCGATTGAAATGTGACACAAGCGGTGTCCCGGCGCCATCTATAATCTGGTTCAGGAACTGGGAGGAAATTACAGCTGATTTGTATCCTCACATTCGTATCCTCCAAGAAGGGAAACTGCTGCACGTTGTCAGCGCAGAGGTATATGATACTGCAGAGTTCACGTGTAGAGCGGAGAATCCAGTTGGTCGGGCAGAAAAACATTTCAACGTTGCCGTAAATAGTAAGTATCATGTGTTGTTGGAAAAGACATGAAGACACGACCACTACTGCTATCTATATGCCTGTGGAAATCCAAATACAATAAATTCAGACAGACTAAGACATGAATTTATCAATAGCAAAAAAGTATCATCGCTCTTCAGAGAGTTATACATGCCATATATAACAAAAACAAATTTGTTATTACATTAAAATGTCAGGGTACATCAAAATTAAACAAAACACCTTTTAAACTAATTGCAATAGAATTGCTTCATATTATCATTACATGCGAACGAGTTCATTATTTAGTCTGAATTTACACTCCCCTTCATGGCCATATGTTTTGCGAATGAGTTCATTATTTAATCTGAATTTACATTTCCCTCCATAAGTTTTGCGAATGAGTTCATTATTTAGTCTGAATTTACACTCCCCTCCATAAGTTTTGCGAATGAGTTCATTATTTAGTCTGAATTTACACTCCCCTCCATAAGTTTTGCGAACGAGTTCATTATGTAGTCTGAATTTTCACACCCCCTATAAGTTTTGCGAATGAGTTTATTATTTAGTCTGAATTTACACTCCCCTCCATAGGTTTTGCGGATGAGTTCATTATTTAGTCTGAATTTACACTCCCCTCCATAAGTTTTGCGAATGAGTTCATTATTTAGTCTGAATTTACACTCCCCTCCATAAGTTTTGCGAATGAGTTCATTAATTTGTCTGAATTTACATTCCCCTCCATAAGTTTTGCGAATGAGTTCATTATTTAGTCTGAATTTACATTCCCCTCCATAAGTTTTGCGAATAAGTCAATTATTTATTCTGAATTTACACTCCCCTCCATAAGTTTTGCGAATGAGTTCATTATTTAGTCTTAATTTACTCTCCCCTCCATAAGTTTTGCGAATGAGTCCATTATTTATTCTGAATTTACACTCCCCTCTATAAGTTTTCCGAATGAGTCCATTATTTATTCTGAATTTACACTCCCCTCCATAAGTTTTACGAATGAGTTCGTTATTTTGTCTGAATTTACACTCCCCTCCATAAGTTTTGCGAATGAGTCCATAATTTATTCTGAATTTACACTCCCCTCCATAAGTTTTGCGAATGAGTTCATTATTTAGTCTGAATTTACACTCCCCTCCATAAGTTTTGCGAATGAGTCCATTATTTTTTCTGAATTTACACTCCCCTCCATAAGTTTTCCGAATGAGTCCATTATTTATTCTGAATTTACACTCCCCTCCATAAGTTTTGCGAATGAGTTCATTATTTTGTCTGAATTTACACTCCCCTCCATAACTTTTGCGAATGAGTTCATTATTTATTCTGAATTTACACTCCCCTCCAAAGGTTTTGCGAATGAGTTCATTATTTAGTCTCAATTTACACTCCCCTCCATAAATTTTGCCAATGAGTTCATTATTTATTCTGAATTTACACTCCCCTCCATAAGTTTTGCGAATGAGTTCATTATTTAGTCTGAATTTTGCCTGAAAATGACATGTTAATTGTAGTAATTGATTAATTTCTGCATACGCTATTTTAGGAATATGAAATAGATATACCAATGTAGTAGATAGATTGAATTTAATTAACAGCTATAATTTGATCGGGGAGAGTAGATACCAAATACAAATGTTAAGATATTCTGCTCTCATTAGCAATCGTTCAGCTATGTTAAACTAATTTTGTTAAATTCAAATAAATGCCCAAAGGAGTATCCTTAATATCTGAAATATGATGACTAATTTTGTCTTATTGTTATTTTTCAGTACATTGAAAAGACATGTCTAATATCGGAAAATCCATTCCTTTGTGTATGCATTTCATATGGTTATATTACAGTGCTATCGCTAATACTGCTTAATAACGAACATGAAAATATACACATCGGAAATATTCTTCTTATACAGGGTGACCGGAAAAAAAGGAGACCATTGAAGTAATCAATTTCTCCTAAACTAGACAAGTGCCATCAATGAAATTTTGCATACACTGGAACAGTTATATGGAAATTTGTTACTGAAGGTTTCAATACAAGCATTCAACTGGTTCAGGAGCTATGATCATTTACATAACATGCTCCAAATAGGCACAATTGAGACCAACGCAGAGTTGGATTCATATGGCAAACTACCCTTACATGTTCTGCCCTCTATGGCATTATTATGGCATTACATATAGCAGTGATTGCCTTCTTTAGGTCAACAATAGTCTGAGGATTGTTTTGGTATAGATTGTCTTTCAAATATCCATACAAAAAGAAATCAGCAGGATTCAAGTCTAGGCTGTAATGGCAATGAAGGGTTATCTGACATGTGGTTCATCATCCTGTTGCCAAAGTGCTGATTTACCAAATCTTAAGAGTCACTTTAGGTATTGGGCATAGTGCCATGTTACTAAAACCACTATATGGCACAATTAAATCCCATATGAAAACCAAGGGCTGCCCAAAACCTCCTTAGGATGATACTGTAACTGAGTGGGACCACTGAGTCAGAAGCCATAGGTCAGATAAGCTTCGTCTCCATACACCTCAAATTTGAATCCACCTGATTTCTTTTTGTGGGGCAATTTGAAAGACAATGTGTACCAAAACAATCCTGAGACAATTGCTGACCTAAAGGTGGCAATAAATGCTAAATGTAATGCCATAACAAGGTCGGAATATGTAAGGGTATTTGCCAAATGTATCCAGCTCTGCGTTGGTCTCAATTGCGCCTATTTGGAGCATGTTATGTAAATGATCATAGCTCCTGAACCAGTTGACTGCTTGTATTGACACTTTCAGGAACAAATTTCCATAGAACTGTCCTGATGTATGCAAAATTTCATTGATGTCACTAGTCTATTTTAGGAAATATTGCCTATTTCAATGGTCTCCTTTTTTTCCGGTCACCCTGTACAATGAAACTCCATCTTAATTCACAAAGTTTCAATTGCGCCGTTACTTAATCACCTTGGAATTCGAAGATGATGAAACTCTGCAAGGCCTGCATGGATGGTAACCCCAAAGTCAACGTTTTCCCCAACATATTTAAAAATATATTAACTATTCAAATACCATTGGACCGGGAACGTGTATAAGATTGAGTCCACTGGCGGACCCCCCCCCCCTTGGGTGGGCCCAGAAGAAAATTGGGTTCATAAAAGAATTTGGGCAAAAAATGCCTTAATGCCACAAAAAGTTGACATTTTGGTCATAACTGGGTCTTGTAAGACCTTAATTTTTAATTTCAGGCCTTTTGAAGAAAAAGAGAATGAAGAAAATGGGCCTCAACATTTCAAAAGAAATTCCGCGCAAGCGCGGGCGTTCTTTAATTCTTGACCTGAGATTTGGACCCCCTCTTGTTGATACCCAGATCCGCCCCTGGAGTCTGAGTCCCCTATATAAAAAATATACATGTTCTTGGGCCTATGACAAACATTGAAATGCATTCATGCAGTAAGCTTTTTTACTTCTGTTTAGGTTTGGGATCAAGATCAAACACGAGACAAAAACGGGAAACCCCTCAATTGGAACAATGTCCTAATGTCACCACTGATCTAGGACCGAGTGATAGTTCTTGCCGTGCACCAAGCCCTTGTAGTTGTCTCGATCCAACATCAACTCAGGCTGAAGACATATATTGTTATTCTAAAGATATTAATGAGTCGACACTACCCGGGATGCCATTGCCAACTAACACGAAAAAGCTGCTTCTAAATGGTAACAGTTTCCAATCAATAGAATCAAGAGTGTTCCAAAAAGTGCCAAATCTCGAGGAACTAGACGTATCGGTAAATAGAATAGGGGAATTAACATTTGGACGATTGGAAAATCTCAGAGTCCTTAAAATACGATATAACAAGGTTCCTCTACTGTTGAATGATAGGTCCTTTAAAAAGCTTACAAAGTTGGGAAACTTACAGTTAAATCATTCCAAACTAGCTGAACAATTGCAGTCAAACGTATTCCAAGCACAGGAGAGATCTCTCAAGTCACTTAGCTTGATCGGATGTGGTATTGATGGACTTGATAATGATGTTTTTAGAAATTTGAAGGTATTAGAAGACTTGGACTTATCCGAGAATAGTCTGACAAAGCTTCAACAAGGCACATTCTGGGACTTGGGAGAGTTGAAGATATTAAGAATTTCCCGAAACAAAGTTCCGCTTATACTGGGCAACAATTGCTTTCAAGGTCTTACTAAGTTGGAAATGTTGAATTTGTACTCAACAAATGTACAAGGGGGCAGCTTAAAATCAACGATGTTTGAGAATCTCGACTCTCTCAAAACACTAGTACTTGTAAACTCTGACATTCATATAGTTAAAAGTGGGGCATTTAGTCAACTGTCAAACTTACAAGATCTTTATCTATCAGGTAATAATTTGACAAACATCGGCCCGGGTAAATTTCAAGGATTGAAGAATCTTAGGAACTTGGGAATCTGTAAGAATAAAGCTCCATTGACAGTGGGGGGCTTTGATCTGGAAAGCTTGACGTGTTTGAATCTGCACTCAACAGAAATATCGGGAGGTTTCTTAAAGTCGAGTATGTTTCGCGGTCTCAGTTCTCTCAAGATATTGGATCTAGAGGGTTGCGGCATTCACACAATCGACAAGAAAGCATTCAGGACCGTCCCAGATGTCAAAACAATTCACTTGCGTGACAACACTCTTGCCAACACAAGGTATATCCCAATAATGTTCAATATACTGGCAAATTTGCGTGAAATAGAAAGTGATCACGATGAATTCTGTTGCTTTTCACAAAAGGTTCCAGAGTGTAAAGCTGAATTCTTGTCGACGTGTGCAGACCTTATAAAGAGTGATGTCCTGCGGTACTCGTTCTGGGCAGTTGGTATACTGATATTTATCGGCAACCTTACAGCCTTGGGTGTTCGTTTACGTGAGCAGAATCAAAGCACGGGCGTTAACACAATGATGATAATGAATTTATCAGTCTCTGATTTACTCATGAGCATTTATATCATCATTATCGCGGCAATGGATGTGAAGTTTAGAGGGGAGTATGCTGAAAATCGGTACTATTGGGTTAACGGAACGATCTGTATGTTTGCTGGATTTTCTGCATCTCTTTCAAGCGTGATGTCAGTGTTTATCCTTGTCATTATGACATTGGATAGATTTTTCAGAATCGTCTTTCCCTTCAGCTCTCATCTTCACATGAAAAAACGCTCTGCCAACATCATCATGGCACTTGGTTGGATTGTCTTTATTGTCCTCTCTGGATTGCCTCTTCTACCTTTGAGCTACTTTGGTCCTTATGAATACTTTTCCCAGTCTGGGTTTTGCCTCCCATTAATTCTTTCTGACTTTACCTTTAAGGGATGGGAGTACGCATTTGCCATATTCAATGTGGCCACTTTGATTGGGTTTGTTATCATAGCAGCCGGCTATATGGCGATGTTCTATTCCGCTTATTGCCATGGAACCATCCGTGGACCTACGTCAAGTCAGGACATCAAGATGGCAAGAAAGATGATTTGGATTGTCGCCACAGATATGTGCTGCTGGGTCCCTATATCACTACTCGGGTTCATCTCTCAACAGGGCGTTGAACTACCGGGTAAACATTTTTATCTATTCGGGTAGTTGGTAATTATTTGTAGGTTCAGTTCAAATTCTACTCAAGCTCAGATGAATTCTCCTTTTACTAGACTACTAGACTGTTTTTAGCTGAACGTACCACTGGCCAAATATAAACATTAACACGTTAATGACTAATATATATTCATTTTGTTGGACTTGTGCGAAACTTATTGAACTGCCCCGATATAATTTTCTTTCTATTTTCCAGGTGAAATATTTGCTTACATCAGCGTATTTGTTCTGCCGATTAACAGTGCCATCAACCCGATGATCTACACAATTAGCAACTTCTCGTGCGATAATTGTTCGTGTGATTGCAAGATGTGCGTTAGATATTACCGTAGGTCGTCTGAGCCGAGTACATTGTCTTCCTCTGAGCCTTTGAAGCATATTGTGAATATTGTAGCATTGCAAACCGTGGACACTGAGAGTGAAAAAGTAGCAGTTTAACATAAACATTTTTGTTAGAAGTAATGCTGACATCAGCCTGTCACACTCGAATTGTGTTGAGGATGGTAGAAAGACGCTAAAGCATTGTCCTTTCCATAGGAATTATTGCCTTCATGAACTCATCGCATTATTTTGAGGATGTTAGAAAGACGCTAAAGCATTGTCCTTTCCATAGGAATTATTGCCTTCATGAACTCATCGCATTATTTTGAGGATGTTAGAAAGACGCTAAAGCATTGTCCTTTCCATAGGAATTATTGACTTCATGAACTCATCGTATTATTTTGAGGATTCTAGAAAGACGCTAAAGCATTGTCCTTTCACCTGGAATTATTGACTTCATGAACTCATCGCATTATTTTGAGGATGTAAGAAAGACGCTAAAGCATTGTCCTTTCTAAAATAATTATTGACTTCATGAACTCATCGTATTATTTTGAAGATGTTAGAAAGACGCTAAAGCATTGTCCTTTCTAAAGGAATTATTGCCTTCATGAACTCGTCGCATTATTTTGAGGATGATAGAAAGACGCTAAAGCATTGTCATTTCTAAAGGAATTATTGCCTTCATGAACTCGTCGCATTATTTGAGGATGTTAGAAAGACGCTAAAGCATTGTCCTTTCTAAAGGAATTATAGCCTTCGTGAACCCATCGCATTATTTTAAGGATGATAGAAAGACGCTAAGCATTTTCCTTTCTAAAAGAATTATAGCCTTCGTGAACCCATCGCATTATTTTAAGGATGATAGAAAGACGCTAAAGCATTGTCCTTTTCATAGGTATTATTGACTTCATGAACTCAACCCTATCCCGATAATTTTTGGGGTTAAATATAACCTATTTGAAGTTTGAGAAGCGTCTATTGTACATACTTTCCATATAACCCAGAAATAATTTTAAATATGTTTAACTTTTTGATATTTGTAAATGTTATATATTATTTAAAAATTTAATCGTTGTCCACTGTTGTACTTATAGTAAAAATATGAATATGTTATTCTTAATTTGCCAACCAACTTTATTTGGCGAATTTGGTGTGTAAAAAAGACTTCTAATTGGTATCAGGAACTGTCAAAATAGCGATTAAAATATCTTATTTCAAATGTATGCGTCTCTATTGTTTTCTTTTGAAAAAAAGTATGCTAAAAATGTTTCTTGGTAAAGAACCATAGCTGAGGAATTACTCACAAAACTATAATACCAAAAATATTAAACAGTAACCCCAAATTAATCATGAATACAGTATTGTCAATTTGTAGTGTGATTTTGGTTAGCCTTTAATTCGTTTTTATGTCACCATCAGAAGTGTGATTGTCTCCAAATATTTGTGGATTGTGTCTCCTAGTGTATGACCTGTAACAAATAGCAGGTGGTGACATTTTGCATAATGCCTTGTTATTTTAGAAAATATTGGTGTCTTAGTAATTATGATGTTTGGTATTTATAAGTATAATTTGTTTTGGAATGCATGGTCCAGTATCTAAAATTATTTTGTAGTATGTGTTTTGTTATTAATGTAAATGTTATCAAGAATTTAGTCCATGTTAATTATATGCAAGCCGAATGGATTGTGTACCGCAACCGAAGATGCTTGTGCCGTAACTAAAGCTGACCGAACGTTGGCCGAAGGTACTTGTACCGCAACCGAAGATGGTCGAAGATGTTTAAACCGCAATCGAAGATTACCGAAGATGGCCGAAGATGCTTGTAGGAATATGCTTCAAGGGATTTGATAAGTTCAAAAATACCACCCACGTGACATAATCATCTTCGGTTGTGATGCATTGTTAAATATGAATTGTCTGCCCCTTAATTTTTGTTTGTAAATGTGATTGTATTTAAAACTTCAAATATACTACATAAACCAAGTATCACATTTTATCTTCATTATTTAAGCCTTGGACACAGTGCAATGTGAAATGACCGTTAAACAATACATTGATTCTTGGACTAAATTATTTTCGCACATTGCAAAATATTTTCTTCAACATTATCTAAAAATACGAAATCATTAAAATAACGTATTTTCAATGAAAATTTTGCAAGAGTCAAGATGACAAAGCATCAATTTCAATTTGTATAGTCGTCACCTTAATCACTCTAGCAATGGTTGACCTCTTCAGAGGTCAATCGGCAAAATTGTATACCAAGACTCTAAACCGAAAAACTACTGTTGACCGAGGCCGAATAACTCATTATTTATCAATAGAATATTCATCCAATAACCATTAATATATCAGTTGTAAATGCTAAATCCAGGGTTTATTTATGTAGTTCATCAAAACCGCCTGGGTACAATACGTACACTCCCCTCAATAAACTTGGCAACTGGAAGTTTACATTGGACAGCAAATCAAAGCATGTCATAGTGTTTGAATCTTAATTTTGTTTGTTAATTTCAGTACAAGATATTCTCATTGACGAATTTCTTAAATTAGAAATCATAAACGGGCTTTGATAAGTGATCCAACTTCCGGTTGCCAAACATATGGAGGGGAGTGTATAACATTTTATTATCCCACCCTAAGAGCTTTATATGATTGTATAATAGCATTGTATAACTGCAATATAAAACCAACACTCATCGTATATAACTCTTGAGAACGATATTACAACTCCTGAATAGCGTATACAACTCCTGGATAGCGTATACAACTCTTCGACTTGATATACAACTGCTGAATTTAGATTAACCTTTTATTGATTGAAAATTAGGTTGGGATAATAAGATCATATAATGGTTGATTCTGTATATCGCTATACTTTCGTGAGTATATGATATATTCACTCGTTCCCTTCAGTCACTCGTGAATATATCATATACTCACGCACTTGAGTATAAACACGATATACGGAGTCAACCATTATATAACCTCATATTATTGAATTACAATGTATATATAAGAAAAACTTATAAATGCCAAAGGGAAGGGTGACTAAAAACTTTAAAGAAACCCAACAAGAAAAGCAAACTGTAAGTGTAAATCTGTCATAAGAAAAGTAGACCCTATATACATACTATATCCCAAAACCATGATCTAACGTGAAAAGAAACAATGCCTAACATCCCCCTCCCCCTCCAATCGAGAACCAATATCACAATCCAGGACCAGAACACCAGGGGACATTTCATTCATACTGAAGTCATTACAATACATGTTGAAGAAAAATTGAAAAAATTGATAGCCAATGCTCATAACATCAAAAATAGTTGTAGATACTAGTACTCATAAAAGATAGAGTATTCAGTCTCAAATGATGTGGGATAGATAATATAAAATCCAGTCTCAAAGTCCATATGCAATTCAAAGGGTCAACATCCGTTCACAAAGCATATCAGATATGAGTAGAAAAAATACTAAAACACTAGACTGTTGTAGAATATAGATGTGTATCTTTCATATTCTTTATTATTATTTTCATAATATTGACATAGCTGTTGAGATGAAAAGAGCATAAATGTCATAAGTGTTTATGAAGAAATAATAGAATATCACATGGGCAGACATTAAGTTATTTTTAAATTTTCAATAAAGTAAGAACACAAAAGATTGTACACCAAAATACAAATCTTGCTCAAATATCACAATCAAATAATCTAATAAATAATCATTAATTTTGATTTAATTTACAGGAAAAATATGACTTTTTAAATTAACAAAATGAGTAAATTCATGTTATTTGACATTGATATTACAAGAATCGAGCTAAGTGCTAGCTAGTATCAAGCTAAGTGCTAGCTAGTATCGAGCTAAGTGCTAGCTAGTATCGAGCTAAGTGCTAGCTAGTATCGAGCTAAGTGCTAGCTAGTATCGAGCTAAGTGCTAGCTAGTATCGAGCTAAGTGCTAGCTAGTATCGAGCTAAGTGCTAGCTAGTATCGAGCTAAGTGCTAGCTAGTATCGAGCTAAGTGCTAGCTAGTATCGAGCTAAGTGCTAGCTAGTATCGAGCTAAGTGCTAGCTAGTATCAAGCTAAGTGCTAGCTAGTATCGAGCTATTAGTGCTAGCTAGTATCAAGCTAAGCGCTAGCTAGTATCGAGCTAAGTGCTAACTAGTATAGTTGTAACAATAAATATTTTATTCATTATTAGTAATTTATATGGCAACAGTATCACCTTAATTCCCATCACTATTACTATGGCAACAGTATCACAATAATTCTTATCACTATACTATAGCAACAGTATCACCATAATTCTTATCACTATACTATAGCAACAGTATCACAATAATTCTTATCACTATACTATAGCAACAGTATCAACATAATTCTTGTCACTATACTATAGCAACAGTATCACAATAATTCATATCACTATACTATAGCAACAGTATCACCATAATTCTTATCACTATACTATAGCAACAGTATCACCATAATTCTTATCACTATACTATAGCAACAGTATCACCATAATTCTTATCACTATACTATAGCAACAGTATCACCATAATTCTTATCACTATACTATGGCAACAGTATCACAATAATTCATATCACTATACTATAGCAACAGTATCACCATAATTCTTATCACTATACTACAGCAACAGTATCACCATAATTCTTATCACTATACTATAGCAACAGTATCACAATAATTCTTATCACTATACTATAGCAACAGTATCAACATAATTCTTGTCACTATACTATAGCAACAGTATCACAATAATTCATATCACTATACTATAGCAACAGTATCACCATAATTCTTATCACTATACTATAGCAACAGTATCACCATAATTCTTATCACTATACTATAGCAACAGTATCACCATAATTCTTATCACTATACTATAGCAACAGTATCACAATAATTCTTATCACTATACTATGGCAACAGTATCACAATAATTCTTATCACTATACTATAGCAACAGTATCACCATAATTCTTATCACTATACTATAGCAACAGTATCACCATAATTCTTATCACTATACTATAGCAATAGTATCAACATAATTCTTGTCATCACTGGATTCTACATCAAAAACTACAACTATATACATGTCACAACTAGATGTCATGTGTGTCACCACTGCATTACTGTAACAATGGTCTATCATGAGATGTGATGTCACAATACACTGAATAATAGATGTCATGCGTGTCACAACTAGATATCATGTGTGTCAATTCTGTATGTATTGAACAATGGTCATGAAATATGATGTCAGAATACACTGAACAATAGATGTCATGCATGTCACAACTAGATGTCATGTGTGTCACAACTATATGAACTGAACAATGAACATGAAATATGATGTCACAATACAGTAAACAACTGAAATGACATGTGAATTCAACAATCTAACAACATATTTAGCAGTTTTCTTGTAAAGATTGGAGTCAAAGTGATCAAATTGAGACCAAAATAGAGTCCTGATTGAATTATTAAATTCATAAAATATTGAATCAGAATGACCAATTACAGTAAAACCTGTATAAAGCTCTATATAATAAAGTCTGTTGATGTAAATTGCAGGTTTGCTACTTTATATAAGTAAACATGGACAATGTCACCACCTGTCATTTGTTTCAAATGCGGAATGCAGAACACCATCCACAAAAAGTTGGAGACGATAACAAAATGTCACCACTTTTTGATACATAATTTCATCTTCAAGAAAATATTGTCTTCAAGAAAATATTGCCTGCAATCTTTCCTAGATTCATACATGCAATTCTCAGTTTTAAGTAGAACTAAAATATTTTGTTATAGACCTTTCCAATAAACCCTGCCACCTTTTGGTGTATCAAAGAAGCTATGATATATTGATAGATTGATGATGTCATTGGTGGTGCTTTTTCAAAGTTAGCAATAAGTTAATTCTAATTTTGCATGGACAGATACTACTTACAACCAATGACATCATCAATCTAGCCAATATATTCTCTGATTATTTAAAGAGGGGTGGTTTATTGTAAAGGTCTATTCTTAAATAATCAACAAGTCTATCAAATGTTCAAGCTGACATTTCAATGAGTGACAGCATGACCTTCAATGTGTCATGATGATATGTCAAATTTTATTGTAATAGAGTTTTTACACTCCCCTCCACAAGTTTGGCAACCACATGTCACCTTTTGGATAACTTTATCTTTTACCTGTTTATAGATTAAAAAATCATGAAATTTGTCATAAGATTTCTGTACTATTGTAAACGATGAACAAAATTCAAATTCAAACAAGCTTTGATATGCTATCAAATGAAAACTTTGGTTGCCAAATTTGTGGAGAGGAGTGTACATTGGATATATACTCAGTCCGAGGTGTTAAATTAATCTAGTAAAATAATCTGTTATTCATCTCTAAATAAATAAATCTATCACATATTCTGGCTGACATCTCAATGTGTCAAAATGAAACAGTAATGTGTCAATATGACATTCAATGTGACACTTCAATGTGACAAGTTTACATTTCAATGTGTCATTATTACATGTCAATATGTCAATGCCATTGTATTTTTTGACACTTTTTCAGTCTAGCAGACACTTCAAAGTGACATTTTAACAATCCACGTTGACACATCAAATATGTCAACAAAACGTGTCAAGTTTAGTTCTATCGCTGGTGGATAGGTGGCGGTGTTGACTGTCTCATATTTGATTGTTTTCTATTTGCAGCAATAGGTGTCACTACCCCTGAATTGTTCTTCTGGGCTTGCGGTCTCTTAAGTCCTGTCATTCCTGGTTTACTCTGGGAGTTTACCATTCTTCCCTGTAAAATAGACCGATACAATATATTGCAATGTGTTGAACATTGTATTCATTGACTAATGCATTTTAGTAAAGCGAGCATAATTACAACCAATTATTCATCAACTAGATATTGAGATATTCCCAGAGGAAAATGAAAAATATCAAATAAGTGCACTGCCGAATAAGCAGTAATAGATCTGTATGAAATTAATGAATATTGCAACAAAATGATCTGATATAGATATTTTAATTATATCATTGATAAACAGTTTTCCAAGTGAATTAATGCCATTTTCTTATTTACATAATCATGTCATCTCCAGTTTTCTCTTTGACTTGCATCACTAGGGATTAGCCCCCAACTAAAGCCCATCCTTTGGAGGCATAATCTCCAGTCCGATCATCATTATCCAGTACTTTGCTTTTTAGCACTGATACAAAATTCACTGACATTGTTCTGGTCAAGAAGAGGGAAAACCCACAGCCAAGAGATGACCTCACAATTACGTCTTGCTTAACACCTTCTTTTGTCATCTCTGAACCCTGGGGTATTCCCCCTCTTGTTCAGGTCTGTATTGTTCTACACTAGTACCTGTTCATTATTATTGTTTGGCCTATTGCTGTCTCTGGGTGATGGTGTCTTGGGGGTAGGGGACACACCACCATGATGTGAACCTCCGGGGATAGGACTAGGTAGCCTCCCCCTGGGGCTAGGGGTGCTACGTCCCCCTGGGCTGGGACTTCTTCGAAGACCACCTTTGTGTAGACCTGAAAATCAATAAGTTTCATTCAATATTCTTTTATAATATTAAAACCAGAGGAAATTTTATATCAACATAGATGAAATATTATCAGCCAATTGCCAATTAACAATATTAGCGGCAATATAATGTATACATGCCACCTGATCAATAATTCAGCATGCCTTAAACCAATTAAAATCTTGGCAATACTATTGCATCTGAAAATTTCAATTCAAGGATTGAATGATTTCCATACCTCCTCCAACCCTGAGACATACAAATTTTGGAAATTTATGGGTATCAAGTGCCAACACTGTTAATGTAATACTAAATGAAAATGATAATAAAATAATAATAATGAAAAAAAAAATTGGCATAAAAAATCCTACCTAATGAAGTGAGTTCTTCTGATTGGTTCATTGCACTATCGACTTCCTCGCCTTCTTTAGGGGACAGACACAAATTCTCCTCACTTTTGTGACGTGCCATCCCCCCTTGTCCAACCCCGGAGGAACTCCCTAGGGTAGGGGGACGGGAGATATTGCCTCCATAAGGGGGTTGGGGAGCAGAGGGCCTCGGAGGATCATCTGTATCAAAATCTTGAGAGTCATTATAATCACCCCTGAAAAATAATTTTAAGAATTTTTTTATTATGTGTAGGTGGAGTTTTCTGTTTGTAGCTACATCACCCTATGCAGACAGAGCCTGTGGGAAATATTGGGTGGGGAGCAAATGAGCGGAGGGTGCGGCGCTAACGGTCATTTTTGAATTTAAAATTGGGGTATTTCTGAAACTAAGCCGTTTTGGAACTTCAAATATACCAAGATATGTGTATTTGACACCAAATATCAATAAAATTGTGAAAATAGTAGTGCAATTCATTTTATAGCGACGCAGTATGCCTTAAACATTTCCCAGACCTATATATTTTGAGACTATCCTTTTAATACTGCGTCCCCAGCATTCATAAAAAATGGTGTTCAAGATACACTACCCATGCAAATTATTTTTGCATCTTGGAAGCCAGGCAGTATCTGTGTGATTTTATAAAAATTCGGAAATGTTCTTCAGATATGAGCCCCCTCTAAATATTGGGTGCGGAGCAGCTCCATAAACGTAGCTCCGCACCCAATATTTAGAGGGGGCTCATATCTGAAGAACATTTCCGAATTTTTATAAAATCACACAGATACTGCCTGGCTTCCAAGATGCAAAAATAATTTGCATGGGTAGTGTATCTTGAACACCATTTTTTATGAATGCTGGGGACGCAGTATTAAAAGGATAGTCTCAAAATATATAGGTCTGGGAAATGTTTAAGGCATACTGCGTCGCTATAAAATGAATTGCACTACTATTTTCACAATTTTATTGATATTTGGTGTCAAATACACATATCTTGGTATATTTTAAGTTCCAAAACGGCTTAGTTTCAGAAATACCCCAATTTTAAATTCAAAAATGACCGTTAGCTCCGCACCCTCCGCTCATTTGCGCCGCACCCAATATTTCCCACAGGCTCTGTCTGCATAGGGTGTACATGCATTTCAGTTTGTTGTCCACCTTTATCTTTACACATTCATTTGAAATTCCTTGACTTTCCCTAGCTCAAAATCTGGCATCCTCTGATTTTTCTTTGAAAATTCCCTTTTTTGACTGCCCTATAAGGGTGTCAGGATGTTTAACACATATTTAATTTTGAAGGGCCACAGACATAAAAGTTTAACACTTCAGATTACTTTAAACTAACCTGTTATTTCCTCCATATGTAAATGATGGTCCCTGAGTATCAACAGTAGGAGGCCTCATTGCTGGTTGGCCTTGGGGTGGGTATGGGGCCCCCTGGGGTGGGGACGGGGCTCTCATACCTCTGGGTCCCGCCTGGTTAAACAAGGTGGGTCTATGACCTTGAGAGCGGTTCCCACCGCCTCCTGGGCCCCAAGGTGATAAGGGAATCCTGGAGGTTGGTGGAGATGGGGGGTGGGGTGATCCCATCGGGGGTGAAGCTAATGGAGCAGATGGGTGGGGTTGTCCCATCGGAGGGGGAGCCAATGGTGCAGTGGGACTGAACATACCACCCTGAGACATACCCATCAGTGAAGGCCTAAATCCTGTACCACCCATAATTGGTGATACGCCCATATTTGGAGGCTGGACTGGTGCTGTATAACCCCGTGGAGGAGGTATCATCCCAGGATCCTCGAGTGATTCTCGCTGCTTTTTCTTCTTCTTTTTCTTCTTGTGTGGCTTGCTGTTAGCCACCTGTTGACTACTGACTGGGGAAAGTGGAGCTAGAATTGCTGGCGGGAAAGGGCGACTTGCTGCCAAGGGGTTGGCAGTTGACATCAAAGAAGTATTGGATGGACTAGATAAAGCTAAAAATAAAATAAAAAAACTTTTCAAATAGCCCTAGAAATAATTTTATTCACTATCACAGCAAGTTTTCAAATGCTATATATTAATTTTTACATACTGTACTTCTTAATTTGGTGATACTTATTCACCCTTGGTATACGCAGCTAACGAAAATTGACCGGTACGGGTCAAAAGCTGGACCGGTACGGGTTAACGGTTTTATTTGAATTTAAAACAGCCATAACTTGCTCAATATTGACTTCCTCGTGTCTAATTTGAAATATATGATGCCTCCCGATGCTTTTAAGTACCCCAATATTTTACAGATTTTTAAACGGACCAAAACTCTCTAAATGCGCATTTATGCTCTTTTCTCTCGAGAACGACTTTCTCATTTTCACGATAACTTTTATTTAGTACTTCTAACATATAAGATCTATTTTTCCCCATCAAGGTATGATGTAAATGACATGCTATTTACATCTTGTGAGTTTCCATGACGCGTGTTTGATTTTATAAAAAAATGCCAAACTTTGTGACAAAGAATTTCCTCCTGCTTGCAGCGAGAAGACGGACCGGTTCGGGGCAATAGCTTGCAGCGAGAAGACAGACCGGTTCGGGGCAATAGCTATAGAAATTCTTTGTCACAAAGTTTGGCATTTTTTATAAAATCAAACGCGCGTCATTGAAACTCACAAGATGTAAATAGCATGTCATTTACATCATACCTTGATGGGGAAAAATAGATCTTATATGTTAGAAGTACTAAATAAAAGTTATCGTGAAAATGAGACAGTCGTTCTCGAGAGAAAAGAGCATAAATGCGCATTTAGAGAGTTTTGGTCCGTTTAAAGATCTGTAAAAAATTGGGGTACTTAAAAGCATCGGGAGGCATCATATATTTCAAATTAGACACGAGGATGTCAATATTGAGCAAGTTATGGCTGTTTTAAATTCAAATAAAACCGTTAACCCGTACCGGTCCAGCTTTTGACCCGTCCTGGTCAATTTTCGTTAGCTGCGTATACCAAGGGTGTTATTTAGGCGGATTTGCTGTTTTGAACATTTGGTGGCTACTTAATTTGGCAGACTTGCAATATTACAATGTACTAATGGTTCTAATTTACATGGTACTAAAATTACTGGGTGAATTTGATGACTACTTAATTTGGCGGACTTTGCTCTCTAAATTAAGTAGAAGTTCAGTAGATTGGCAGTACTTGGCTAGAATTTCAAATGAATCTTTGACGATCAAGTAAGGGTCCTACATTAAATTTCAAAGTATGGAGTTATCGTCCTGGGGTTATTTCGACCATGGCGCTATTTCAACCTTATCTTACATTTTCAATTCCTACAGTCTGCCATGTTTATTTTTTGAAAATGAATCGGAATCCCATACATTGAAGTTCAACGATATTGGCAATGCTTGGTGTTGGCAACCTACCTATTGATTTTCACTACATGTTATTGCTACAGCCCAGGGAACTACAGGGGAACTACACAATAGCATTAAGTACCAATAACCACTAAAACCATTCAATTTAATTCAAAAAAGTATACAGTAATTGATTCAATATGAACCAACCTTGACTTTGAGCATTGAAACTTTGCTGTTCATCATTTGGATGTTCTTGCATAGGTTCTTCCTCCCCATGATTATTTGGCTGTTCCATCAGCTGTTCTTCCTCTTGATAATTTTCTTCAGTAGATATATAGTGTGCCTGCTGGAATTTAACATAAATATAATGAGATCAGTTACTTAACATTCAGCGGTTTTTAGATTTTTTCAATTTCATTCGGGTGTCTAAGAATAATCTATTAAATGAATAAATATGTGTTTATTGATAATTCTAGAAATACAGTCATGCATCACACTTCCATCTACTATTCTACACTTACCATTGGTTTTTGAGATTGCATATTTTGAGATCTTGGACTAGGTGGGTGGAGCTTATGTGTTTGATTGACAGGTTGAGCTTTATTGTGATTGGCTGGCTCTTCAACATCTGACACATCCATTGCACCAATAGAGATACTGTGTTCATTTTCGTCAAAGTCCTCTGGGAGTTCTATCTCAGTGCCTATAACAACATGTTAAATACATGTACAAGGAATGAAGAGCAATTCAAGATCTTACTCTAAGGGCGTAAGAGTTTAGCCATCTTTCAATTAGAAGGGTATGCAACTCTGTGTAATAACATGAGACCTTCAAAATGAGCAATGCCATGTTTCCCTTTTATGGTAATGTTTCAAAAAGTATTAGATGAAATGTATATGTTTTCGTATTATTTTGAATAAAAATCAATTTTCAATATGATTTAGCAGTAATAATAAAGTCAAACAAACTCTGAGATATTTAACTAGCAATCAACCCATCAACACACTTTTTCAAAGATGTTGACCCCATTTTCACCAAAAATGTAATATTTTTTACAATGTTTAATGCATTACTATTCTCTATTTTGATGCATCAAATAGTTCTTGAAAGAAAAACTTAATTGCTTTAAGATAAGTGTTCCTCGTGTTATTTCTCCATTGAAAAATCTCATGCTATCCATTGGTTTCAGTTCATTTTGGTCATCCAAATTCAGTATCTTTGAAGTCCCTGGAGCAATCAAAGCACATTCTAATTATGTATTCAACAATATAATAAAAAAGGTTGCATTTTTGGTGGAAATTAGGTCAACATTTTTGAAAAAGTATCTTGATTGGTCCATTGCCCCTTCAATATCACTTAGGTCTGATTAACTAAATTATCAATATATATACTTTTCTTGAAGATAATATTCATAATTCAAGTTAGAATCGTTTGAAATTGTTTTCGATAACCTACGTGCTCCTTCTGATAGTTAGCATTTCTCATATTAAGTTAACAGGGGGAGGGGGGGGTGTCAGACAATCAAACTTTAGTTAGCTCTCCTATATAAAACTTTTGCATTGGTCCCTAAATGAAATACCTTTGTTCAATATATTCTGTTGTTTCTCCTCAGGAACTTGTTTCCCTGGCCACTCGGCTCCTTCATCCTCCTCTTGATTGGCAATATGGTCTTCATCACAAGAACGGTTTTCATCTTTATCAATATCACAGTCATCTTTGTTGGGTTTTGTTCCATTGTCATGGTTACTTTGGTTTGTTGTTACAAATGCTTCGGTTGTTATTGGTTTTGATACATGTTTTTCCTGGAAATTACAAAATAGTCAGTTTTCAGTTAATGTTTAAAATTAGGAACTTTTACAGCGGAACATCTCAATTTGGACACATCTTCATTGATCGTGTGCATTTTTTTCAGTAGACTCCCGCATTAAATTTGTACAATAACTTCAACACCCCCAAACTCAAAGAATAATCCCCACATTTGAAGAACATTCATGTTCCCCCCCAACCTCTCAAATTCAAAGATGTATATACATTGTAAAACACACATAATTGTCAACAATAATTATCAACTACAGTACATGTAATTCACTTGAACTTTAAGTGTATTTTCCATTGTCTTGTCATGACTTCAGAATTTTGTAATAAAGCAAAAACAACATGAATTGTATCTAACTAATCTTAAATAGTGAATGTGATGTGATTTGATTTTCTTACTTCATTTTTCCAATATATTTATTTTTTATTTATTCCTTTACTTTCTATATCTATTTTTATCATTACAGTAAAATCTGTCAAATCCGATGCCACTGGGACCAACCAAAAGTGTTCTGATTGGCAGGTATTCCGTTCCAAGGTTTTTAACAGTATTTCTATAACAGATGAAAAAGTGTTCAAATTGAGAAGAGTTCATGTTCAAACAGTGTTTGAATTGCACACATTTCACTGTATTGTTTTTCAATTGGTACCTGAGATATCTGAGGCTGACTATGCGACCTCTTGTGTCCCGCACTAATGGCATCCCTTCCTTCATCCTGTGGGGTAAACTTGCCCTGAGTGTGTGCCATGGGGGGTCGGCCTCCACCCCTAGGTGTCACAGGGGCATCTAGCTGCCTGGATGGGTTCCTAGGTTTGTTCCCCTGGTACATAACCACCTGGGGGTGCTGATGGTTTGACTGAAAGTGCAAACATTTGAATAACTTTCTAAAATAGATAACCAAGGCGCAGCACCTCCATGTATTTCATAAAACCAAAATGCTCCTCAGTGCAATTAAATGCGCCTATTAAAATGTTACATTAAAAAATGAGTAAATTCTAAAATGTTGCACAAAAAATTACAAAATCATAAAATGTTGCACAAAAAGTTTCAAAATACTAAAATGTTGCACGAAAAAATAACAAAATCCTCCACATAAAAAAAATCCTTTGGAGAGCACTGCATAGTATATCCCATCAATCATCTAATGACTGTCAGAAAACATTGCTAGAAATCATTCCAAAGAATGGCCATCATACGAGTAGATGAATTGCCAAAAAATAACGTGCCTTATTTTTTCACCATATTTATTCAGTTTTGAGTGCTGACTTCACATATGTGTAATTCATTTCTGGCTACTTCCACTAAAAACACAACCAATCATGTACTTTTTCAGCTATTTTCATTAAGTACCTGATGTAACCCATCCCCATTTCCACCATTATAGATCTGGTTATTCGAATGTGACGGAGACTCGCATGTTTTTTCCCGTTGCCTCTGATGTGACTGAAGTATCAACAGCGAGTAATGTAACTGGCGTCCTCTTGCGTAGTCCGTAGCAGTTGCGCCAAAACTGTCACTTGAATTGAGATCAGCTGAAAATCAATTTATTTAATTTACTTAGTAAGGGATGTATCAAACAAATGCTTTATGAGTAAAAAACAAAGGATTTTTGGAGAAACAAGACGAAGACTTTTGAGGCTGAATATTCTATACTTTTCTTTTTAATTCCGTTCAAATTCAAATTTAAGCTAAAACCATCTTTTTATCCCTCACAATAAAACAAAGTTAAAACATACTTCCTTCCTCTAATAGAAAGTTGATAAGTTCCCCATGACCCGACATAGCAGCTAAGTGTAGAGGCGTTCGATTGTTATCATCTTTGTCACGCAAACAGTCCTTTCCGGCGATCTCCAAAACAGCTTTACACGCAGGGAGAGAGCCTAGGGGAAAATCATGAGTGAGTATTATAGATGATGGATATTGTGGTCAATGAAAGATTTCCTTGTCAAATATTTCCATGCGCTACCTAATTCAGTCATATATGTAAAGTTGAATTTCATCCTAACCACATTTCAAAATGAAAAATTGAGCAGAATAAAATGATGTTTGAAAGAAATAAAAGAAATGGGTATATAATCAACACTCTAAATTGTATAGCAATGCAAGAAAATCTAGCAGTTCATTCAAAATTTAGAGAGAAAAAGCATGAAAAAGGCATGACCTTCACAACAATTTCAACTACAGCATTTGTAATTACCTTGTTCTGCAGCATGTAACATAACTGTCTTCCCATCATTGTCTTTAATCCTAGATGTCTCTGGAGTCAGGAGGGTCTGGAGAGGAAACAGCATGATGTCAAATAGTAAGTAGGCAACATGTCATGTAAGTAAATAGGTCAGCATGATGTCATGATATTAAGTAAGTCAACATGATGTCAGAATGTCACATCATCTTGAAAACCTATGTTCATTCTTAAAACCATATGTACATTCTTAAAAACATACCGGTATGTACATTCTTGAAAACATATGAACATTCTTGAAAACATATGTACATTCTTGAAAACATATGTACATTCTTGAAAACATATGTACATTCTTAAAAACATATGTACATTCTTGAAAACATATGTACAATCTTGAAAGCATATAGCACATTCTTGAAAACATATGTACATTCTTAAAAAAATATGTACATTCTTGAAAACATATGTACATTCTTGAAAACCTATGATCATTCTTGAAAACATATAGTACATTCTTGAAAACCTATGTTCATTCTTGAAAACATATGTACATTCTTGAAAATCTATGTTCATTCTTGAAAACATATGTTCATTCTTGAAAACCTATGTTCATTCTTGAAAACCTATGTACATTCTAGAAAACTCTACAGTCTTAAAAATGCTCATGTTTAAATACTTCAACTAAACTACTGTATCACAGATCATCTGTAGCGATCGGATAGTAGAGTGACTAGCCAAATGGTGTCCAGGGTAAAATGTGTGTGATGATTCTAAGTGATCAAACTCAGAGTAAAATGTGTATTCCGTACCTTAAGACACTCCAGGGGCTCCGTACGTCTAACCGCCCAGTGCATCCATGTGCGTCCATTATTGTCACGTTCTATACCATCTATTTCATTTATATCTTGATTCTCCACACAGCTCAATAATTCAAAATGTTCTATATGGTCTAATCTACAAGCCCACATACAGGGGGTTAGGCCTTCACAGTCCCGCTGGTTTACATTCGCCCCTGAAAGCAAAGACATTAGAAGTTGCATTCTCTGTTTTTACAGATTTTATTATCAACATTTATACAATTTGTATTAATTATTTGCAAACACATAAATAAATCATTTGCACTTCATTTCATCATGTTGAAGCATAAGGGCTCATGAAGTGTAGATATTTTGGGGAATATATTAGAATAATTTTCCTCAAAATTTATCATTTTGTATCCACATACTTTTGGGACACATTGTATTTTGAATAATTACCTCTTTCAATTAGCAATCTTAAACAGTCTGTTTTCTGAGTGTAACATGCCCAATGTATCGGAGCACGACCCTGAGTATCCTGTAGTAAAACATCCGCAGAGTAATCCAGCAGCAGTTTTAGTATGTCTGTGTGTCCATCGTGACATGCTCTATGAGCAGCAGTGGAGCCATCTATAATGTAATCATGAAGTTAATGATCCTAAAATTACTTGGAAAGAATGTTATTCAAATATTTCCTTTTGAAGAAAGGAAGGTCACACTTCAATATACCATCACATATTGTTTCAGCAACCAATACGACCATATCATTTTAGCATGCCACGAGAATTCAAGTGATATGAAAAAAATATGTGATAATAAAATTGTGATATCATACATACCATTAGCCTCAGCATTGACATCTATATTGTGTTCAAGAAGGATTTCTAAAGTGTCTTTCTGGTTATAATGTGCTGCATACATCAGAGCTGTACGACCAAGAGCATCAACTTCAAATAAACTATCGCCATCTGTAAAATACAATAAAACAAAAAATGCCATAAAACGACATTTTTCAAGAAGTGATCAAATTTTTGTTACAAATTTGCCAGGACATCAACTTCAAATAAACTTATTACATACATCAAGGTCATATTCCTCACTCTCTGATTGGTCTTTGTCCTACATGTGACTTCAAAATAAGAAGTGATATTCAGCCACTGTACACACGACTGGTGAATATTAAATGTTATTATGCACCTCATTAAAATACTCAAATCTGATTGGTTCTTAGTTGCTTGTAATTTGGCAATACTCTGCTCATTTCTAAAAACTGCCAGATATTTTTTAATATCTGACCCTTTCGAGAAAAAGGGTCGGATATTTTTTTCAATGTTTTTGCAACATTCCCACTTCAGAGCTTTATTTCTTAATAACTGGAGTACTACTTAAAGCTTACATCTGAAACTGGCGGAAAATAGAAGAAAAAAATGCACTTAATCAATCACAAATACCCTTATCATTCAAAAGTTACATATTATTCTGCAAGAACGTCTCGAATAAATAAAAATTAAATTCCCGGGGCAAATATTTTCGTCCAGTGTAGCGAATAAACTGGCCGGAAGTCGTCTGAGTTTTGAAAGAAAAAATAAATAAATGTCAAAATAATGTCAACTAAACGACAGTTTAAGCCTGTACTCCAGTAAGTACTCCACTTAACTTTGATTGGGAGGTGCATAATAAAACAAATACTGGATGATCAGGAGCTGGATATGGCCAGAATACCTATTCGAGAAAAAATATTGGGCGAGGCGGCAGCATCAGTCACAACTTAGTCCAGTGTAATTCTAATCCCCAGGAGTACATTGTTATTATTAATCAAACATCAATAAATTGGTACTCCATTAATTTGTATGAGAATATAACAGAGAATAATGAAACAAATATTTCATTCTGTTTTAAGATATTATACAAATATTTAATTCTGTTAGGTAAATTAACCAGTGTGGATCTTTTACAAGTGATATTCCTCAAAGTCTGAAGTGACTAAGACATAGAATTTGAATTACCTTTTTCTACAAGCTGTATAATTAATTCATCATCACCCTCTTTGGCAGCTTGTATAATCAATGGCAATGTCATCAAATTTTTCCCTCCATCTATTGGTAGACTTCCAGTAGCGATTTTCTGACTTTCAAGACTCATCCACCGCCATTGGAATTTACTTGGAGCGTCACGGAAAGGTGTCATGGGACTTAGACCTCTTAAAGAAGCAGAGAGATTCATATTTTGGTCGCGATCTGCTGAGCGTAGTCGTAATGAACGGTAGTACTTTTGCATATGGAGAAGTGCTAGATTGAGAGAGTCTCGGAGTTCCGCACATTCTATATCTTCAGATAGCTTTAGCAGGAACTCATGGATGAAAGATGCTGCCTTTTGGAAATCTAGAAGCAAAATTATGAAGTTTATTTATACGAAGATAAGATGTAGATTGCAGAGTGTCATCTCATGAATGTAACCTTATAGCCATGTATATTTAATATATATTAATATGTATACATAAATAAAGTACATATGTAATAATATAACAATTAAAATTCAGTTCTTTTATGGCAGTCGGAATGTCAATTTGTTGTGACTGCAGACTTTACGTTGCTCTGCAAAAGTCAGCTGAACTCTAAATTTAATTAATAATAATAATTAATTATTTATTCGCATATGCACTTATTCATCAATAAGGAGACAATTTGGATGAGAGATATAAGGATTGGCCAACTACACAACAGCAATGGATAGCAGATAGGGCTAAAGTCTCCTGTCATTTTTCCTTGGAACAAAGAGAGTGGGTTTGGGTTTTCTTGTCTGATGTTTCTACTCTCTATTTCGTTGCATGTGCTCTACCGAATGTCAAAAAAATAAACCCAAATCAAAAATGAAAAATAAAATTTCATAAATGGTCTGTCACCTTTTCTTTTCATTGTCATAGTTGGTAGCTCAGAAGTGAAATCGCACAGATTTTTCATCCCAGTTCCCACTTGTGTGCTAGAGGTCTCATCATCGGGTTTTATATTTCTCCACTATCATTCTAATATAGTGTATTTCTAATATTCTTTGCGAAATGTACAAAATTTTAAAATTTCGTCCACCATATTGAATACAAATCCCAGGATGCAACAGTGCTTCCAAACTTTTAATTCAATTTTTGGGGTTCATTCGTGTTTTGTAAATAAGTGCTAACCAAAATTAGTGCTTTTATTGTACTTTCATATTAGACCAGTCATATAATATGTCTGATAACGGGCAATGGTAAAAATCGTAATTCATTTAGAAAATAGTTCCCAGCAGGTACTTGCCAAATCACCTTGTTTTCATAAAGTAGTCCTATGTAACGATATATCCATCCGCCTTCGTAACGGCCGCCATATTTGCTTCCCTGGGAAAAATAGAAAAATTTACCTGTGGCAAAATCAGTCATAATCTGGAATAATTACTGGACAATTTGGATTAAATAACACCTATTGCCACAGATAAAGAATTATTACAATGGCTGATGCTGATAAATTAAATATTGATAGCATTATAGCACGGCTATTAGAAGGTAAATATCGGGGTATTTTTTATTTTTCCCAAAATTTTTGAATTTTTTTTGACCGGTAGCCTTACTATATGAAAAGTATATAAATCTGGTATATTAGCGAATCCCATAGTGAAAATCTGATTCCACTTCATGTTACCGACATTTGGAACCAGCACATCAGTGAGAATGAATTAGTGAGACATCCGAGGTCGTTTTTCTTCCCTCTTTTTCTTTTTTTGATTTTTTGGTCTTCGAAAGGAACTTCTTCAAGTTCAACATTCACTGGCCTATTGGGCCTACTCCTGAAAAGTGTCTCTCTGCGCTGGTGTTGACATGCTTTGACTATAAAACTTAGATCTTTTAACCACTTCATTTCAACATTGTATTCTCAAACTTCGATTCAAAGCAGAAATGCTCATTCATTCATCTTCCTTGTCAATGATCAAGTATTGGCTTACTTCCTGCGAAAGCTATGTGGATTTTGATATAATAGCTTTCCCATGGTGCACTTGGACAGCTGAATAATAGTGACCTTTAAAACATGAATAAAGATTTCTGCGGCTTACCGTTGATCTCTAACTGTGTCTTACATCAGTATAATCAATCTGTGCTGAAATACTTCTTTTTCGATCAAGACTCGTAAATTGTTCATCGAGTGAATGTTTTTTTGACCCATTTCCAATATGGCAGTTTGCTAGGAGCGAGATACGCAACGAACGAACGAGCAGAAAATGCCATATTGGAATTTGGCAGAAAAAACATTCAGTCGAACAATTACAAGTCTTGATCGAAAAGGAAGTACTTCAGCGCTCCAATACTTGCACGGAAGGATGATAATGATGTATGACATAGTTAGAGAACAAAAGTAAGCCACTGATCGACTTAATTTGTACTTCTCCGTTTGTGAGTTTCTCTCAAAGTGAGTAAGTATTGGCCATTTGTCATCAAGACTAAAGGGGTGTATACACTGGCAGGCGAAATGCTTGAAATGGTGGGGGGGGGGGCGAAAAGGCCGAAATGCTTGAAATGAAAGAGAATGTGAAAACAGCTAAGGCGAATTGATTGAAATGCTTGAAACGGCGAAACAGACGGAAGCAGCGAAACAGTAATTTTATCTTGTGAGACTTTTATCTTGTGAGACTTTTGATTGAAAAGCCCTGGCGAAATGCTTGAAACTAAAAACGTGCATGTTCGTTTTTCTTTTCAATCATTTCGCCTGTTTCTTCATGAATTGCTCATATGATTGAAATGCTTGAAACTGCAAAACAGGCGCAAACAGCAAATTAATTAATTTCAAAGGCGAATCGATTGAAATGCTCAAAATGGCGTAAGCATTGAAATATAGGAAATGATGCAAGCATTGAAACCATCGAATTGATTGAAACGCTTTTTACAGTATATACAAGGCTTTAGTTACTTACCGACTATCTTACTCACTGACTCTGTTTATCATCACCCCAAGGGCATGATGGCACCAGTCTTTATATACATAATTTTACCCCCATTATTCAAACTTATACCATATTTTAAAGGGGTCCCATAATTTTGACATATTGGGTAGACTAATGCCTGGGTCACATTTGCTCCGATTCATCAGTCGGGGGCCTGGCGGATTGAGTATTCTGGTCAAAACTGTAGACAATTTTGAACAAAATACTCACCTCTTTGTTCATTTGGTTCTAAGTAAGGATCACAGAGGATTGAGAGGAAGCAATATTTTTTCTTGCATAGATAAAAGTCGTAGAACGTTCTGAAATCAAACATTGTAGAAATTTTCAATTCTTATATCTAACGAGTACATATCAATTTTATCTTTACAAGTTATTCACGTGTTGGTCAGTGATGTATGTAGTCAAAACTTTCTGACGGAGTTATCCTGTATTAGATTTGTTATAGATTCTCCATTCTACTAGAGGGGGTTTGACCAGGCTGCATGTTGTTTCATAGATAATCTCGTACACATTTATCAATATGATTCTTGGTCATTCATATCTGGCTTGATAGCAAGCCTGATGTCAAAAGGATGGTTTGAACATATTCATTCTTCTGTCCATGATAAGTTTTTGATATTCACCATATTCATCAAGATTTCTTGATACTATAGCGTGTTGTAACTCGATCTGATCGTGATGTCATATATGGCCCTTGACATTGGCTGTAGCTAAGATCATGATCAAGATTGAGTTCAAAATCTATGGTTCAAGCTATTCGCAAATATACATGTATATCAAAGATAAAAACATACATTATGATGGACTAATTTCCCGGAATTGTTATTTTGATGGGTGTTGGCAAATAGTTAAACTACAAGTCTGAATTAAATAAATCTTATTAAATTATTTAGATATAGGAACATGATATTTATTCCTTAATCCTCAAAATACGATTAAATATACATGTGATAAAACATTTAGAAGATGAAATGTTTTAAAGTAACAGTTTTATAGTACTATCCCATATGCAGCATCCTGTTAAATTATCTGCTTTATATGGGCTTATTAGCCTCTTGCAGATTATTGACATAGACATAGACATGAATCTTATTCTAATGAAAAATAGATAATTTACTCAACAGAATATTTGTTTACCTTGGCCTAAATAGAAACAAAATGGACAAGGTGTACTTGAGTGTGATTGTAAAGTTATAACATTTAGGATGTCTCATGAAGGAGTCATTATAGTCAAGTGCACAGTCATCAATTGTTCTGTTATCATTCAGTGCTATATTTAGCATTGATATCCTTGTTGTGGTTCCTATCATTTCAAAAATAGAGCCCAGCATTATAGAACCAACCAGATACAGTATGCTCATTAACTATGCGGGGATGTCAGAGTAAATGACCATATAGAAAGTCGTCCTTATTTCGACGACGAACTCTGATTGGGTCGGTGAGATCAGAGATTTATTGTAAACTGAAAGAGTGGAGACAAAGCTCTCTTTTAAGAAGTGAAGTCGAACGAATGCAAAGGGTACAAGGGTCATCATGTAAGATGCTTTAGGAGTCAAATGACTTCCAGTATTGTCATAATTGAAGCTCTCCAAGAACTTCTCTTGCTTCTTCATTCAACTAGTTCAATATTTGAAGTGCCAGCACATAGATTCTAGAGAACTTGAAAAGAAACTTAACGATTTGAAGGAGATTTTGATGATATCATCTGAAAGTTTGGTGAAGTAATATGCATATATTGCCATATGTGACGCACTTACTTGACACACACATTATTTTATTTCATATGACTTGGCAACTGCTTCATTCAATGGTCATTAAATGAGGCTAACGTCTACCAGTACTGTCCACCATATTAATCGAAATATACCCAAAGTACCAGTTAGTATACAACCCTCTTTATAAGACTGATCTTTTTCAACCTTGCCATTCAACCAATCAGACATTACGGCATAGCTACATTAAAATTTAACATTAGGGGAGAAACATTTTTAGGATAAGAGACTGATTGGCTCAAAGGCAGTTTCAGAGGACTTTAGTGGTCTTAAGAGTCTGGCAAATTCTCCCTCCTGTGAAAGGGTAATCAAAGGGTATTGCAAGAAAACTGCCCTGGGAGAAAGTAGTAATTTATCAAGGTCTACCTTCTAATGATAATTAAGCTGTGATGATAGAGAATCACTCCAGCTTAAAAGAAATCAATAAATGTCCGTGTTTGAAACAACAGTTACGAATACTAGAAACTCATTATTTGTGAAGTATAATTTTATTGCGTTTTGTGATTTGAACCTCATTCAGGGCTCCATTTCCCAAAGTGTTATGGATTTTTGAATTCATTTGCGTCTGTTTGTCAAAAGTTGAGTATAGTCCCCGGAGAGAAACAAAGGGAAGACTTGATCTGTTGTTCAAGATGTTTTGAGTCTTACTGATTAAGTTATTGTTGTTTTATACACTTATAAATTACTTTTGTACGAAAGTCGGTGATTTTCTATATAGTTTGTACCAAAATAACTTGTTTGAGTAATTTGTTTTGTTTGTTAAAATGATATTGAAGTAAACAACCACTTGAGTAATAAGTCTAGAGTAAGAAAACTTTAATACAAGTTTTCCTTTATCTGAAAAATTAACATGAAAAAACCTCCATATTTGAAATGAAGCCGAAGCCAATCAATTCAAATATTGGTCGGCTGATATCAATAGAGGAATTAAGCTCCATTTAAATTTTATCCAATTATCCTGGACAAAGGACTCAATCCCTTATGCTGTAATTCTGTCTTTGATATGATCTGATATTATATCATTTACATTACCTGGTTTAACCGAGTTCTAAGTTAATCAGGTGATTCTTGCCTGGTGATAAGCTGGATAAATTGACTTTTTCATTGTAACTGACTCTTTCGTCTCCTTGTAATTTTTTAGACCTTTGGAGTTAAAATTTTACAGAATTTCAGAGTCTTGAGGGAGGCATCAAAAGCTCAATATCTGATTAAATAAATCTAGTATAAGTTTGACCCATCCTCTCCCCAAATAATAAATGTTTTCTTTATTTTCAGTACGCGGCTCTAGACCAGGGAAAAATGTACAACTTACAGAGAATGAAATACGAGGGCTGTGCCTAAAGTCTCGGGAAATATTCCTTAGTCAACCAATCCTGCTTGAATTAGAAGCACCTTTAAAAATCTGTGGTACGTTTTAAACAGTGTTATCTATTTGGTCAGCTTAGCTCAGCTAATGCAGATGTTTGTATGTTTTGATGAATTATTCTTGCATTTTGAAATAACAGTGATGTAATTTTGCTCTATGATTATTATCAAAAATCCAAAAATTAAAGAAAAGTTAAAGTGAAAGCATGTATTAAACAGTCCCAAATTGCTCTTTCATACAGCAAGTTTCTGATGCACTTTCTTACATCTATTTGACTACCCCTCAAAACCAAATAAAAATCTTGGTTACAGTATTGTGGGTTGCGATTTAATCTTCACGATTTTCCATTTCAGGTGACATTCACGGGCAATATTACGATCTCTTACGTCTTTTTGAATATGGAGGGTTCCCACCTGAAAGCAACTACCTCTTCTTGGGAGACTACGTAGACAGAGGGAAACAATCACTCGAGACTATATGCTTGCTACTCGCATATAAGATCAAATACCCAGAGAACTTTTTCTTACTTAGGGGGAATCATGAATGTGCTAGTATAAACAGAATCTATGGATTTTATGATGAATGTAAGTACAAAGGGACTTGTTGTGATTTACATATTTTAGTCCAGTGAACAGTCTAAATGTAATTTTTGTGATCAAAAAGGCAATATTCTTGCTTGAATTTACTCGATCATCCTCTGCAAATGCAGAACGAAGAAAAGGTTTGGAATAGGTGCTGATGGGAAGGGATTGGTGCTGGAGGTAGATAAATCGAGGCAATTTTTCGGGCAGTTTTACTAACATCTACATTACATGTTTCTTCTATTCTTTTCTGGGCCTGTGTATACTCCATCTCCCTTAATGCTTTTTAGTATGTGGTACTTATCAGTTAAAGATAAATTGAAAATAATTGACATGCTTGGAGTTATCTTCTATGCCATGCTCCAGAAGTTTAAAAGTGTCTTTTGCAAGATTTGTCTATTCCAGATAAAACTACAAGCATGCTTTAATTTTTGTTGTTATTCATCTCAAGATAAAACTTTATTTTACTTTTCTCATCTGGCACTCTTAAAATTGTGTTTAACAACATACGTTTGACCATTGAAAGGCTGAGATTTTGATAGGGTTTATGTAAAGAGCTGTTTGTGCCTGACATAATATGAGTAGTTCCCTAATGTTTAACTCTCATTCAGTATCATATTACTTTTCTCTAGACCACTATTGTGGAATAATTTGAACTCCCCAGCATTTCTTTATTCACAGGCCTTGAGTGTGTTTACTTCATTCGTTGGCAATTCTACTGCAATTATTTCCAGTCGTATTCTGAGATATATTTCAATTTCACTGCTGTAATAACTTTTGCATGGGTATCTTGTATCTCCCCTGTACTTATAACTTCATTGTATGTTATCTCTGTAAATTATGACAAATGTTATCTATAAGTGCATCATATTTTGGACAACACAACTCATCATAAAATCATAACTTAAAGTTTATAATATCCTCAGTGTTTTCTGCTGGATTTTATTAACTGTGTGAAGAATTTTACCAGTCGCGACAGAAATCAATTATGTGATGATAGACTTCAATTGGTTGCAAGATTGTCTTTATCATTATATCATTAGAGGTTGCATCGGGTGCTGTACAAAGTTGAAATACATGTATGGTGTATTTGAAAATTGCCATAACACCAAGGCAAAGCCAAGTTCTTATGTACAAATACTTCCAATTTACATAGCTGGGCTGGCTCGAAATTTTTCACATTGAGAGATCATACTTGGAGCATATGCCTGATTCATAACATTTGTATCAATATGAACTTGGACTTGGTGCTCTCCAAACATTGAAAACAGGCACAGCACCTCCAGTTAATTCATTACAGTAAAATGCTCATCCCAAAAAATTGAATGTACCTCTTAGTCATAAATTGATATACTCAAAATAAGAAAATCCTTAAATGTTACATTTATGAATTAAAAATCCCAAAATATTGGAAAAATCCATTCAGAAATTCTAAAATATTGCTCTAAAATATAACAAAAGCATCTAAGCAAAAAATCCTAAGGAAGGCACTGGAACTATAAAAAAGGGTGATTTGAACTCATATAACCCTTGTTTATAAGATATCATAACTCTAATCAATCTCAGGTGATAGCAAATGCGCTGATTGGAAATTAACTCCCTGATGGAGAAACGAAGTTCACTCTCGGTTTACCCTTGGCAAGAGCTTGACTATAACAACAACACTCTTGAAAATAATTTGGGCAAAAAGTTCAGTGTACATTTCAACCAAATGACCTATATCATATTAAGGCAAATTCAGTTTTTTCATTCAAACTCATATTGAAGCTGCATATGAGATCATTAATATCATATCTGAATCATTAGTTATGATAAGAGGGTAGAGTTGATAGTTGATGCAAATCCAGGGTATTGTACTTTTTACCTCATGTTTACTTGGAAAGATGCTCTGTTTTTAATAGTATATTCACCTGAGAAATTAGACTTTATCAAGGATGATGGTTGCTTGCGGAAAAAAAACATTTTGCACAAAATCAGCTTGTTTTTCTGAATAGATAGCTTCTTGTTTTGGTATCCTGAATAAGTTATGAATACTAGGTCCAGTTGGTGAAACACCTATTGGTTTAAAGCTAATTTAAGGTGAAGAAAAGTGTTCAAGTTAAGAATCAACAATGGAGCATTAAATAATATACAATTATTGACCTCTCCAGAGGTTTACTGTCAAAATTATATCCCGAGGCTGTAAACCGAGACCGTAGGTCGAGGTTTACAGTCGAGGGATGTAATTTTGACAGTAAACCGAATGGAGAGGTCTATAATTGTTTTGTTAGTCCGAAGAATATCTTAGATTTTTCTGACCCTTGAAGTTGACTTGAAGTTGGATCCAGACCCTCGAGACACGGGTTTGTGGGTGGTTTTACCTTTTCCTGACTTCTGCAGTTCCACAACCATCGCTTTGAAAACATTGTTTGATGCCTTGAATTCAGACTTGGTAATGTCCATCTTAAGTGTCTCTCTGATGTATCGTGCCACTCCCCATTTAAGAAGCTGAAATGATTTCAACTTATAAAGTCCACCGTCTTTTTTCTAATACCAACGTAAAACTTTTTCAAAAAATTATCTACATCTGCCACGGCAGTAAGTTCACTCAATGGAGTCAAATTACTCTCCTGGGCGAAGTCCACTAAAAGCTTTGTACAAAGTTTTAGATTTTTCTTCGTATTTTGACTGTCTTTACTCTCTAAGAGACTAATAATATCCTCATCTTCAACATTTTAGAAACGGCTAGTTCTAGCGGCGGCCATTTTATCGTCTGATAATGACGTCATTTTAGTGGAATGCTGGGAATATTATTCACCGTCAATGCATTGCGCGGTGTACAGTTAAAATTATTCACCGCTTGTTGACCAATCAAAATCGAGTATTCCAACTGAGGTACTAACAAATTAAATTATTAATTAAAAAACTGAACTGCAGTTTTGTTTGCAGGTTTTCACTTTATTTTCTAAACTTGGAGCTAGATCCTAATTTTACAGGTTTCAGGTGGAGATATCTCAACTTTTAATCTTTTCACCAGCGCACACATTTTTCATGATGGGGAGGCATTGGATTTTCACCATAGTGCAGTGCTCCTTTAAATTATTTCAGAGGTTTTCGTTGGATGTTATCTGATTTTTTTAATATGGGTTCGACCACAACCATAATAGGGTGAATTTTGAGAACAATAAAAACTGACGTCATCACATGACAACATAACAAAGAACAAGAATAACTATTTACTTAACCAATATTTGATAAAACCTGTTATTGGTTCCAACTTTTTGAGCTTCAGAACAACTAATATTTAACAGTACAACAACTGTTTATAGTTCATGCATATTTGAAAAAACTTAAATCACAGTCACTGTATAGTATGATTGTTTAGCCTATTTGAATATTTTTGTACACTAGTATGCTATGAAAGCTAAAGGTTAAATGACTTGTCTTATGAAGTGTTCAGATATATGCCCTTTTAACATTTAATCTATCAATTTAGGTTTGCATCACAAAGTATTGAGATCATATTAAAATGAGGTCTAACCCCCCCTCCCCCAAGGTTTTTTCAACAGAGTACTCGGTTCTTAGGTTATCAGTTTATATCAAAATGTCTCAACATGTCATCCTTTTGGGTGACATGTGGCTCGTGACAATTGTTTTTTAAATTTTCAACTGGGCATAACACCAGGTTTATCTTATGCTGGGGAGATTGAATGATATGTTTTCAAGCCATAAACGACACTCTACTATACCTAACCTCTAGAAATGCATAAGATATTAAGTTTGTCTAATTGTTTTGTTTAGTATATTTTTGAAAGTACCTTTCATAAGGAACAGACACATAAAAACAAATAACATAATCATTACTAATAAGCCAAATGGGTTGCTGATGAACACCAAATGCAATGTATAGTAGAGTGAATGAGCTTCTTAATAAAATAAATCAGGCTTGACCTTGGATTAGCCTGCACTTCAAGTGAACTTGAAATAAACATTTTTACAATCAGTAAATAACTAATAATGTCCAGCAAATGCAATAAATCAAACAAATTATAGAGATAAAATTTGATTAATCATAATTTTAAAATAATATGCATTTTGACAAGACATTAACCAAAAGTGTGCACCTTTCATCTTAGTCCCATCAAGGTGGTTCATATGACTGATGGAATAAGTTTATAAACATTTACATACCTAAACCAGTATCTGTAATCTTTGACATCAATTGGTGAAGCCTATTACTAGGTTTAATGGTAGGGTGACTGAGTGATAAACATGTTATGGGTTAAAAAATATGTGTACTTTTTAAGTGACATTGAGACTGATAGATGATTGAGACTGATATATGTTGCCATTTTATTGCAAGCCTGACCAATGTTAACATTGTATTGAGACCAAAAAGTACTCACATGTTACCATCTTATAGGGAGACTGTTCAATGTACAACACGTCATTTGAACTCTGATAAATACATACATGTTACCAAAATCTTATGTTTTGATTGTTGTATTTTCAGGTAAACGAAGGTACAACATTAAGCTATGGAAGACATTTACTGACTGTTTTAACTGTTTACCAATCGCAGCAATCATAGATGAAAAAATATTTTGTTGCCATGGAGGTAAGTAATTTTGAAAATGTCAATTTAATTGATTTAACCTCTTTAATACCTGGAGTGACGAAATTTCTCATCGCCTCAGAAATGACCTTGAATCCCAGAATGATGAGAAAATCTGTCACAAAAATTTCCATTAAATTGCTCCTATTTGAAAATTTTCATCTAATTTACACAAAAATTGTTTTAAAATGTGTAGAAATGATCTCTGCCGTTTAATTTTACTAGGTTGAGCATATCAAGTTGTATAAGTATGTCGTAAAATGTCAAAAGGGGGCAAAAATGAGAAATTGTCTGGTTTCAACTGATTTTAGAGCCTGGGATTCAAGAGGTTAAAGACCAAGGATCATTTCGCAAAATATCTCAAAGTTTGATAAGTGTCAATAGTTCAGTTCAGTTGTCTATTTTGCACTAAGCACTATGAAAGTCATGGCAGTAGATTTCCTTACAGTCATATGTTAGATTATGCATGTTTTCTACATGTAAACAGGTGTGTATACTAGGCCAATGCATTGTCTTCAGAATATATATACGAGGGGTGATCAATAAGTAATGGACGCTTTTTTACACAGATGCTTTTTATAGACCAATCCCTTCGATTTTCTTACAAGTGATAAATCATTCAATTATCTATCAACTCTGAAGATTTGGAGACAAAATATATAAAACATGTTGATATATCCTTATTTCCGTGAAGGAGGTACAGGTACCCCGGGACCGACATTTACGCCACATATTCTGAAGCTATTTTAGATTGTTTAACATGCAATGCAGTTGAATGCAGGCTGAACAAAACAAACCATTATGGTCATGAATTACCCCATTTTGTTATGCCATAGTGGATTTTGAATATTTTATCATCACGATGTGGTATTCATGCCACATTCATTCCACGGGGCCCTCTAAATAGGTTCCATCAAGTGAAACATGTACACAATTCCTCAAGATTGTGAGACAAGGCTGAATCCATTCTCTGACATGGTAGCAAGATGCAGTGGCACGGGTTGTTTTACTTCATCAATGTCAATAAACCTGCTTCATTTCTCTATAGAAATAAGTAGTATAGAAATAAACAAGTCACATGTGAGCAGATCTGGACAATATGGTGCATTGGCCAAGGGCTCAATTTTGAGGTCCAGGGATATTGCTTTCTGAACATTTTGAGATCTGTGGGCAGGTGCATTGTCCATATGGAGAAGGGTGTCACCTTCTCTCACCACCCCTTCTTCCACAATGCTTTCTCAAATTGACCTGCAAACCCCTTCCATACAACACTCTGACATCACAATACTTTCTGTTTATGTGTTACCAGTCAGCAAAAAATTTCAAACAACACAACACTTGTTGCTTATAAAAAGTTCAAATCTAACTGAAATTTACCAAACTGGCTAAAAGCTGAATATGTGACGTAAATGTCGGTCCCGGGGTACCTGTACCTCCTTCACAGAAATAAGGATATATCAATATGTATTATATATTTTGCCTTCAAATCTTCAGAATTGATAGATAATTGAATGATGTATCACTGGTAGGAAAATCAAAGGGATTGGTTAATAAAAAGTATCTGTGTAAAAAAGCGTCCATTACTTATTGATCACCCCTCGTAGAGATGATAAAGTCATTTGTGAGACAAGGAGCAATTACCTCATCGATATGAAAAGTTATCCCTATTTTCATCCTTTGTGCAACAAGGCTTCAACATGCTCCAAAATAAAGTCTTCCAGTTGTCAAATTTAGGGCTGGGGGGGGGGGTATATATCCTTATGTTTGGTTGATATTTTTGGCCTGGACATTTTGAAATATGTTTATAATTTGTCAAACATGAGTTTAATATGAAGTGGTTAAAGCTAAGTAGTTTTTAACATGATGTAGTGTGTGACGTTCAAGATCACTTAACATGCAAATTGACCAGCTAACCTTGGGACCTTGGTAAGGCTAGTATTGAGATAATGGTTAGATTTATATATTAGGTATTGTCCATTAAGAAGGATTGCATGGCAAAAAAACATTTGTTTCAATTTTTATCAAAATGCTTCGTAATATGTTTATTAAAAATGGAGCATCTCTGATTTATTCATGATGATACCTTTATCCATGAATGGCTATAGATATTTCTTAACATGCAAAATGACTATCATGCAACTAGCCTTTTGGACCTTAAACCGTCAATATGGCTTAAGGGAAGTACAAAAATATGATGCTGATTTCAAACTACATGTTCAGAAATTTGGTCCCTGTATACCTCATAGCCATGCATACAAGCCAGATATACATGACGTTACATGTATGTAATGAACTTGCCATGGTTCAGCAATGATGGACTCTGATCAGCTTGGCAAAATTAGAAGTTCATCTCTAGTTTTTAGAGAGTTCATTTGTAATATAAGAGAACTTATAAAAACATTTACATGTGACATTAGAGCACTTATTCTAATATGAAGTTATAAAGTGAACTTTTGACCAGCTGTGACTTGCTGATAGAATCCACACAGTGTGTGACTAAATATGACAGCAGCATAGAATTGAAAGTGTCAAATGTTAGAAGCAAACATTTTGAAAAGCATGGCAATGTTTTCTTATTTTTCTGTATTTTCCTTATTTTATAATCTGGAAAAATAATTTAGACATCTGATCAAATGAGGAAGTTATCAACGATGTGAGGTGTTGAAGGTAATTTGAATAGAAAAAGGTAACATACTTTTTCAGATTTTTACTCCCAGCTTCAAAATCGAAGAATTATCATAAAGTAAAGTTGGACTAAAATTTCGAAATAAAGATGGCTTGGTATGAGAAAAAATTCTCATACAGTTCATCTTGACTTGTTTCTTATCTTTGCTGTCCCTTTAGCAAACAGATGTTCATACATGATAAAAATCTGTCTAAAATGATAGAGCTGTGTCATACAAGTCTTAACTTCCTGTTCAGGCCCATTTTGACTTGACGTAACTCTCACTCCCAGCCACTCAGGGGTTTTCATTCACAACACCCAGCTGGCAATTTTCTCAGTATTTTTGAAATGTTAGAATAAAACTCACGATTAATACTTCCCTATACCTTTGATTAAAAAGTTTTATGAACTCCATTTTTAATTCATGAAAATCTTAAAAAATTACTTGCCACCCCGTTGAAAAGAGCCTGTATACATGAATCAATAATTGACGGGTGTTTTATAATACTTCCTGGTTACCTAGTGATCTCCTCGGTATTAGAACAACCAAGTCAGTGGTCTCCCCAGCATTAAAGCAAGTAGGGGCAGCACCCACCTGAGATTTTGAAAACATGCTCACCCACCTGAAAATCAATTTGCATCCACTGGAAAATGAGAAAAATCATGAAAAATAGGCATATTTTGACCAATTTTTAACTGATTGGTGAAAATGAGAATTTTAGACCTACTTGAGAAGAAATCCTGTGGAGAACACTGTAGGTGCCTCATCTTATTCAAACTAAATCACTGCAAAAAGGGTAAAATGTTGAAGAAAAATTAGGATATAGCACACTCTTGACTTGACAAAAACCCTGTGGAGAACACATGTTAAACCACTAGTCATTTAAGTACTGAGTTTATGTATATATAGTAGAAAGTGAAATATTTTGGCAAATATAGCAAAATATTATTCAATTGTTCACTACAGGTAGTAAATAAAAGAAGGGTGTCCTTACAAAATAGTTTCTTTTGAACCATAGTCATCATGTTGCATTTTGATTGGGTGAAGCTAGGTAATATCATATAAATATTATTACTAGTGTGATTTTTGATGAATCTAGCTATTCAAAGATATAAAATATGTGTCAACTCGCTTTCCTCGTGTTTCTAAACATGTAGTTTGAAATATTAGCTTGAGAGATGTTTGCCATATTCCTTCCTGATTCCACATAATTTGTTAAAAATAAAGTCACATTTGGCAAGATATCAAATTATTCCCTTCAGAACGGTGAAATCCAAATGCTGCACCCCCCCCCCCCCCCTTTACCAGTGATAACATTAAATAATGTGTATTGAAAACATTTTGTATTAGCTGATAGCTATTAATGTAATCCAATAAATATATTATTACACAAAAAATGGTGAAGTGATCAAATCATATTAATTGAAGTTTTATATCGAATTTCTATCTAATGGTTTTACTGTTCTATGTATTCCTTAAGACAATAGTATGTTTTGGAAATAAATAAAAATATCCGTTGACGCTTATTTTTTGACTGCTTATCAAGTGCTTCTTTTATCAAATGAACAGAAATATTTCTCCCTTAATATCTGAATAGGGAGTCAATAACTGTGTCTGTTCTTAATAATGAACTTGCAACGCAACCTCAAATGGCTTGATAATTATGAAACACTATACAGAACCCATTAAAATAACATCAGTGGTGATATTATAATATATTTTCATCAAGCAAAGTATCCAGAGAGACATTTAGCATAGAAATGAAGTTCAGATAGGCTAATATATAAAAATAAAGAGTTGAATTGTGTATCCATTTTGTAAATGGATAAACTGGCTCCTGTTACTTCATAAATGATAATAGGACTCAAAACAAAAAGACTGCTAAAATATAAAGGATTTCATTCTGTGTTTTTCATTAACTATAATTATAAGACATATTTCACGGTGTATAACCCAAACGCTCCTACATGCACGACGGAGCGTTACATTTACGCGGAAACGCTCCGGAGCGAAATAAAATGGCGGCTAATGAAGATTCCACTATGACCGTAAGTATTGTTTCTCTCGTTTCTCTTACATATCATATGTAATGGTGAAATATTATGCACCATTCGATGAACAATACCGTGAGCAAAGATCTTATTTATTCAACTTCTGGTGGTAAACTGTTATTTGCTTGATCAAAGCTCCGTAGTGTAGATCGAACGAATCTGAAGATGACGTTTTGACCACAAAATACGCATTAAACTAGTATTTCTATGAAAACGTTAATCTTTCTGTTAAAGTAGTAGATCACAAACTCGTATATTCTCATTTCCTAAAATCCCAGTCCAAATCCATTACTTGTTCTCGAGAAATCGCTTGTTTTCCTCGAAACGCTCCGTCGATTTAGAACACAATTTTAGAAACGCTCTTACCATTTTATTTTGATATCATTTTCAGATTATTAGAGAAGAGTCCCGAATCGAATCTATCTCTTAAAAACGTGTTGTACTTGTTAGGCAAATTGAAACATCTGAACCTGGTGGTGCTAAAACGTGCAACTAGCTGATTTAAGCCTATACATTAGATGATGTCATGCCTACATATGTGCTAAATCATAAAACTATAGAAAAAACGAAAATTTATATGTGAATTAATCTTTCTTCTATTGATGCCAAGGGGTATAATAGATCTTTTCTTTCTCTTCCTGAAAAGGAAAGGCAAGCTATATATTTCCTAAACTGATCTAGACTACCGGAGCGTTTCCAGTTCACTGTGTTAATCAGATCGGAGCGTTTCTTGAATATGAGAATGTCATCATTTTTAAGACTGGATTTTCGGTCATCAAATCACTATTACGATAATGTATGGTGCGTTGAAGCATTGGAATTTGACTAAAATATACGTTGGTGCTCTAATCTTGGCTCAACTAATCACATGTATCGACAAAAGGGGTTTTGACCGGTAGAATGACAAATACGTTTTTGAATTTTGATAACTATACTGCTTCGTATAGCTCTTCCTAATTGCTTCAAACGTCAACAGCCAGCCACGTACAACATGAATATCACACCCATCGAATGGTATACTCGAAATATGTAACTCATACCTCTTATTCCCATTATTGGGGAAATCGTCAGACGGCTCATCATTCCCGCCAGCCAGTTTTCCTACTCCGGAGCGTTTCTTTGTTTAATTTCAGTAATGAAACGCTCCGTCGTGCATGTAGGAGCGTTTGGGTTATACACCGTGTATTTAGAATTATGAGTTTATTAATATTTTAGATACCTATTCAGTGTTCTCCTCTGGATTTTTCCTCAAGTGGTTATAAAATTCTTATTTTTACAATTCAGGCAAAATTGTCAAAACATGCCAATTTGTCATGTTTTTTTTTTCATTTTCAATCGGGCAAATGGTTTTTCAGGTGGGTGCAACCCTGTTTTTAAAATCTCAAGTGGGTGCTACACCCAGTTGTTGGAAAGGTTGCTCGCTAGATCTTATTCCGTCTTTGCGCTTTTGATCAATTATTGCAATACTGTAAGGACATCATACCTTTAATATGCGAATAGATTAGCAACTATTGGTGTTCATTTCTCTATTTCCCTACGTCAATTCAGGTGGTTGCCATAGTAACTTTAGACCTTAAGTAGAGTGATGACAGAAAATGTGCTATTGGAGAAATAAATGTATTTCTGGAAAGCTAGCGTAATGAAAATATTTGTTTCACAATTTTTTTTGGAAACCCTAAGTTTTTGTTTTTTTGTAGAATTGTCATGGAAATTTGCTGAATTATTTATGAATTTTAAGACAGATTATCAGGACTTTTCATAAATGCTACATTTTATCTTGTTCAAATTAATATCAGGTATTTATGTGTTTTGGTGGTTAAATTGATCTCCAAAGATTTTGACTTGTACGCTGCATGTATGGTTAGTGATTTACCCACTTTTGGGCCATATTTTGTCCTTCAAAGATGAAAGTTTTATTTTATTATTTTCCAGGACTGAGTCCAGATTTACAGAGCATGGAGCAAATTAGGCGTATAATGAGACCCACTGACGTCCCAGATCAGGGTCTATTGTGCGATCTCCTCTGGTCTGACCCTGATAAGGAAACTATGGGCTGGGGCGAGAATGACAGGGGAGTGTCATTTACATTTGGTGCTGAGGTCGTCGCCAAATTCCTTCACAAACACGATCTTGATTTGATATGTAGGGCACATCAGGTAAGAAATTTGAAAAACTATTTTCTCCTTTTTTCTCCTTTTCTCCTTAACAAATTAATTTTCAATTTTGGTTCAAGATTAGTTATCTATCAAAAACATACACACAATACATGCAACATATCACAATCTAAAACATCATTGTACCATTAAAGGAACCAACATGTCTTTGATAAAAATAATTTTTAGATTCACAGTTTAACTTAGTTTACTGTGAAACTATTCCTTGCTTTTTCCCCATGTTTTCTCTGTTCATGTTCATAAAAACTTAAACCTCCATAAGACTTTATGGGTACATAACATCTTGTCTTGTATATACGAGTACATCAAAATAACCCCACAAATCTTAAACATGAATTTACACAGAATAAAACAAGGACTAAGATAAAGAAGCATGAAATCAACACTGCATATTGTATAGCCAGGAATGACAAGATAATTTTAAATTTCATACAGATTTTAGAGGCTGGATGAAAAGTAAAAGAGTGCTTATTGATTTAGCAGGTGGAAATTGCTTATACAACCAGCCTGAGGTTCTCAGATAGTCTAAATGTAGTTCAGGTTGATTACCCATTAACTAACCAGGTTTCTTCCTGATAGACAATATTTAATTGGCTATTTCTTCACCTCTCTGTCTTACCTCGTTCTGCTAAGTGAAACCGCCTACTTAAATCATTTGCAAATTGCTACCTGGGTCTTGTAGCTGTGATAGGGCTGGTCATATAAGCATTTAAGAGTGTTATTCGTCTGAAGCATAAGTACATAAGAATAAGCACTGAAGTAGCTTATAATTCTATATAAACAAAGGGCCAATGTAATGTCAAAATAAGTTCTTAACAATAGAGCTAGTCATATAAGCATGTATGAGTTTGTTATTCATCTGAAGCATAAGTTCATAAGAATAAGCACTGAAGTAGCTTATAATTCTTTATAAACAAAGGGTCAATGTAATGTCAAAATAAGTTCTTAACAATAGAGCTAGTCATATAAGCATGTATGAGTTTGTTATTCATCTGAAGCATAAGTTCATAAGAATAAGCACTGAAGTAGCTTATAATTCTTTATAAACAAAGGGTCAATGCAATGTCAAAATAAGTTCTTAACAATAGAGCTAGTCATATAAGCATGTATGAGTTTGTTATTCGTCTGAAGCATAAGTACATAAGAATAAGCACTGAAGTAGCTTATAATTCTATATTTAAACAAAGGGCCGAAATTGTTTAAGTTTTATATATAATGTCAAAATAAGTTCTTTGAACAAGAAAGCATCTGTAACGAATTGTCACACTTTGTAATTTGTAAGCATGTGGTAAAAGTTGTTGCTACCTATATTTAATATTTTTAAATACGTTTCAGGTTGTTGAGGATGGTTATGAGTTCTTTGCCAAGAGACAGCTGGTGACATTATTCTCCGCACCTAACTATTGTGGAGAGTTTGATAATGCTGGGGCCATGATGAGTGTGGATGAAACTCTCATGTGCTCATTCCAGGTGAGTTGATTGTTATGGGTGATAGTCGTAATTCTCATCCTAAACAAGGAGGATCATCACCCAAGATTCCTTCTCAGTTTTCAGTTGACTGGCATTGACCAATTTGGTAATAATATTACCATAATGTTCATCTCGTCTATCTCACCCTAAACAAGGAGGATCATCACCCAAGATTCCTTCCCAGTGTTCAGTTGACTGGCATTGACCAATTTGGTAATATTACCAAAATGTTCATCTCCAGACCAAATATTTGGTTGTCAATCTCATCCTAAACAAGGAGGATCATCACCCAAGATTCCTTAAGTTCCCAGTCTTCATTTGACTGGCATTGACCAATTTGGTAATAATATTACCATAATGTTCATCTCGTCTATCTCACCCTAAACAAGGAGGATCATCACCCAAGATTCCTTCCCAGTGTTCAGTTGACTGGCATTGACCAATTTGGTAATATTACCAAAATGTTCATCTCCAGACCAAATATTTGGTCGTCAATCTCATCCTAAACAAGGAGGATCATCACCCAAGATTCCTTCCCAGTCTTCATTTGACTGGCATAGACCAATTTGGTAATATTACCAAAATGTTCATCTCCAGACCAAATATTTGGTTGTCAATCTCATCCTAAACAAGGAGGATCATCACCCAAGATTCCTTCCCAGTCTTCATTTGACTGGCATAGACCAATTTGGTAATATTACCATAATGTTCATCTCCAGTCCAAATATTTGGTTGTCAATCTCATCCTAAACAAGGAGGATCATCGCCCAAGATTCCTTCCCAGTGTTCAGTTGACTGGTATAGACCAATTTGGTAATATAACCATAATGTTCATCTCCAGTCCAAATATTTGGTTGTCAATCTCATCCTAAACAAGGAGGATCATTGCCCAAGATTCCTTCCTAGTGTTCAGTTGACTGGCATAGACCAATTTGGTAATAATATTACCATAATGTCCATCTCCAGACCAAATATTTGGTTGTCAATCTCATCCTAAACACGGAGGATCATTGCCCAAGATTCCTTCCTAGTGTTCAGTTGACTGGCATAGACCAATTTGGTAATAATATTACCATAATGTCCATCTCCAGACCAAATATTTGGTTGTCAATCTCATCCTAAACAAGGAGGATCATCACCCAAGATTCCTTCCTAGTGTTCAGTTGACTGGCATAGACCAATTTGGTAATAATATTACCATAATGTCCATCTCCAGACCAAATATTTGGTTGTCAATCTCATCCTAAACACGGAGGATCATTGCCCAAGATTCCTTCCCAGTGTTCAGTTGACTGGTATAGACCAATTTGGTAATATAACCATAATGTTCATCTCCAGTCCAAATATTTGGTTGTCAATCTCATCCTAAACAAGGAGGATCATCGCCCAAGATTCCTTCCCAGTGTTCAGTTGACTGGTATAGACCAATTTGGTAATATAACCATAATGTTCATCTCCAGTCCAAATATTTGGTTGTCAATCTCATCCTATACAAGGAGGATCATCACCCAAGATTTTGGGTTTCATCAAATCAAATGAAACATTGGTTATGTTTGAAATTGTACAATGAATGCATTAACATGTTTATTTTCATATAAAGAATGTTAACGTATATGATTGTTTATTTTTAGATCCTGAAACCTGCAGACAAGAAGAAGTTCCCATATGGAGGACTAACAGCTGGACGCCCGGTTACTCCGCCCCGGGGCGCCGCTAAAGGCAAAGGAAAATAGCACCATCTGGTGGCAGCGTAATCTAGGAATATAGTGTATTCAGTGTATCATATGTGTAAAATTTGTAGAATAAATGTTGAGCGCTTAGTCATGTCTGGTGCTCCAGTAGTCAGGCCTAGCAAGCCTCAGTTTGGAAATTAGCAGACGGACATTTGGATTATGGCATAAATCAAGTGTGAAGTGAATGCATTTAAGAATGAGACTTCATGTTTTCTAGACATTATAATGAATTAAATGATAAAGGAATGAATGTGAACAATGACGAGAGACTGAATTACGAGGCTATTTTAACATATTCTTATCTTAATATCGTCATGACGCACAATCAGAGCAGGGAGGTCCACCATAACATCATAGGATGTACTCATACGCAAGATTCATGTGTCACCATATCGTAGCATATATTTGTAAATGTACAGTGAAATCTGTAGGTGAAATAGCCTACCTTATAAATCATGGTCAGGTTTTGTAAATAAACTTACTATAAGCTAAGCACCTCGGTAGTCTGATACGTTTAATCTGAGGTGTATGACTTGACCATCATACTCATGTAGGGTAGATGTCGCCACCATGTCAATATGTCATTATACTGTAAAGCAGGCACCAAATCAAAGTAATTTACAGCATATACCTTGATGATGTTTCAAACATATTTGCTCTCTGTGGCTAGGGGGCATCTCATCAAAGATTACAGTAATCAACATTTCAATTTGAGGGATACTTCCATGGCGACACTATTTGTATTTTTCTACCCTTTTACGTTACACCTGACCTTTTATGAAAAGGTTTGTAAATATTATTTGAGTCAGTAACTTTAGTAGCATTTTCTGCCCATTTTTTTTTTAAGTAAGAGTTTGTAAAATATCTTGCCCATTGCTAAAAATTATCTTTGCCGGTTACATCAGGTTTTTCTTGATTATTTTTTTGGCCAATAATAACACATTCTTAAAATATATTGGCTTTTAGCAGGATGTTCTTAGCCACCAACCACATATACAGCTGGGATTTATTATTTGGCTAATTTTATGAATTTTCACTGACAATGTGTTTGTTGTGTCATATCATATTTATAAAGCTGTACAAATCTGCTAACTAAAACATGAAATTGTGAGTGTTTATTATTCGTGCTATATGTGATGTCACATTTAATGTTTGTGATGTCATATATTTATAAATGAATGTGATGTCGACTTTATACTGTGGTTTCTCGAGTCAACCTTGTGTCATATTTCGGGACTAATTTTCTGTAGCATTACCCAGTTCCCAATTGTTGTACTTAAAAGTCAAAGGCCAAAGAGAAGTTCACTAGATAATGACAGCTTTCTATCCTTTATTTAGAGAAGTCCTCGTGTAATTCACATTATCTACAAAAATGGGGGAAATCAACAATTCAAGATGAACCTATTCTCATGTAAAGAATAAGTTGAATCTAAAGGTTCAACTTTACATAAGGAAAGGCCCAACTTGGAATTCTGGTCAATTTCCTCCTCATTATAGCACCCTTTGGGGCTATATTTGAATACTAGCTATAAATTAAGGAAGGAGTTCCTTTTAAAATGTCATAGTTTTCATGCTTTATTAAAACAAATTCGGGTAGCTATAATAAAGAATTGATTGAAATATTGTATGGGAGTTCAGCAACTTTCAATCTGTAAAAAGCATGAATGCAATGGTGTTTTGCAAGGGTTTATTTGACCTGTGTATATATAGTTAGAGAAATCAATGTTGAACACTGTCTTGTACATATTCACTTAGCTTTCCAATGGTGACTTTATGAATACTAAATAAATGTTTATATTTTAATCTGAGGAGCGATGTTGAGCAAATTTTAATGAATTACTAGAGATTATGTGGAAAACAACTGTTAAGATGTCTGATCCCTTATTAAGAAAATTGATTGTTTTTCAGTCGTTCTCATGGATACATGTCAAATGAGACAAAACTTTCATTACGCAAGTGACAAACTTATTTTCTGTGTATACTATTAGAATTTGAATTATTTAATTTTACATTTTTGTGAGGAACTGAAAAAAACATGTGCTCTGAAGGGTATTATTGCAATGGGCACACTTCTTGTGCTTTAAATTGTAAATTTTATTGTATATAAAATATAATCACACTGTATAACATATGAATATTTTGGTTGTGTTATTTATTCTGTGAACTGTTATGTTCCTGAGTTTACAAAAGTGGTGAAAATACACAATTGTTTTTGGAAGTTGGTTAACATTGTCTTATTTTGGAAATGTTACTACTTTGAACAGCAATCAGCAAAGTCTGTATTTGTCATTAATTTGGCGCTACTTATTTTGGCGATTGGCATATTGGTGCCTATTGGGGGTCCCACGATACAGTATCTTCAATTTCGATACGAGCAACGATATTTACCTCACGATACGATACAAACGATACGAGCAATGTAAGTGCGTAACAAATAAATTTATTTAATAAAAACAAATACGTTAACAAGACAAATGTCTTCTCCATTTTTTACCGGAAGCCGGAAATACATTCTACGCCAGATTACGCTAGGCGGATAACAAAATGGAAACGGGACAATGGGTAGATACAATCGTATTTAAGCTGCTTTGGAGCATGATTTTGCTGTTTTGGGGAGTTAAAAACGATACAATTTTTTAACCGATATTCAAGGTGAGTATCGATACGCTCGTATCGTGGCGTATTGCTCGAGCGCTCAAGCAAATCCGAGCAATTGCGGGACCCCTAGCGCCTATAGCCAAATTAAAACGCTCGCCAAATTAAAGACAAATACAAAAACAAGTTACAAATCAAAACTTTCAGCACTTCATTCTGTGTGAAATCATCTATTTATTTTTTTCAACTCCTTGTGCTCAGTCTAAAATAAACTGCCCACCTATTTCCACAAGGTTAGAATTTTCCCCAAAGAAAACAGTGTGTTGACATCTTTGGTTCTCAAGCTATTAATGAAAGGACTAAGCCTAAAATTATGATTGCCCAATTAGACAAGTTGCTGGTTAGCCCATTGCCCAAGAGGCATCTCTTTTTTCAAGTTCTTTGTCAAGAAGAGTGAATTTTAGCGATTGCCATCTGCTGTATCAGGCAACTGAACCCTGTATAAATGAAAAGTAGTTTGATATGAATACCTTTCTAAACATGACCCTGAAATGTTTGATCAGAAGAGTTTTAATATGCCTGCACCTGAAACATTAATATTTGATTTATTCTGGTTATCTAATAAAGAGTTTTGAAAGAAAATTAAAAACAAATCATTTTTGAAAAAGAACCAAACCATCAAATATCACTTTGAAACCAGTATATCACTTTTTAAGAAGTGATGTTTGAGGATTTTTTGCTGGTATATCTGATATGAAAAGATTTGAATTAAACTTCATGAAGAGCAACTGACTTTTATGTCAGATGCCCATTTGGGAGGGGGATCAGCATAACCTAACAACTCAGCTTCTATTTGGTAATCAAAAGGTCGCTTCAAAATCTCTGATAATTTTTGGAGTTCACTAAAATCATCATTTTCAACCTTTTCTATAACTGATTGAGCAATCCAGTTGCGTAGAATATATCGTGGATTAGTTTTGAGCATCAGTGATTTCCTAGTATTGTCTTGCTGTTCTAAATCTGGGTCTCCCGTGTCAATACGCTTCAAGTATAAAATCAACCAATTTTTAAAGTTGCTGTTTGAGAATAGATGTGTTAAAGCCCATAGTCTACTTGGGATGTGATTATTACGCATATTCTCTATGGTTAATTCCCCAAGCTCCCTGAAAGTCATTGTGAAATCAGCATTTTGTTCCGCCATCATTTTTAAAAGTAACGCAACAAGATATTCATCATTAGGTTCAACTCCAACGAGTCCTAACTTTTTACGAAAAAGCTCCATGAATTTTGATTTGTAAACCTCTGTGTACAAAACCAATCCATTTAGCCCGGTCTTAAGTTGTTCTCTTTGTGAATCTGTCAAAAGCGCAGCAAGAGCGATGCGTAATTTATCCAAATTGAAAAAACCAACATCTGGTTGTTTTTCGTAACTATAACGAGCTTCATCATCTGATGTATTTGGGACGAACTCTGGGTTGTACTCGTCCAGGAAGCCAAATGGACCGTAGTCAATAGTGATGGAGAGAATGCTGAAATTCATTAAAAATACTTATGATTAATAAGAATTATAAGGGGCAGAGAGTGTCAAATGTTTGAAGAAATATTTCCAAAAATCATACCAGTGTTCTCCTTAATAATTTTATCTTCTGAAAAAAAATATATATCTGATCAAATGCATAAATTATTGAAGATTTAAGATGCAGAAATAATATCTAAATTCATCAGAATTGAAAAAGCTCTCACTTTACTGTCACTTGTACTTGGCAGTCTTAACAAACAAATACTCCATTATTCTGTTTCTTTCATTTACTGTTTTTAAAAGTCCATTATTTTTTCATTTAAAGGCCTAGTTTGAACTCTTTTGGAAAATGGGTTAAGGAAATATTCAAATTCGCCAGTACTCAATACATTTGAACTTCAGAAAAATATCAATCAAGTAATAACAAAACTTTAAAAAATCACAAACCTGAAATTGTCAGTGTTCATTACACCATGGGTGAAGCCTACACTCATCCACTGAGCAATCATTTCAGCAGTCTGTTTTACAACCTCATTGAAGAATGCAAGGTATTTGTTGTCATCATTGCCCACCTGGAAGTATTGATATTTTCTAACGATTGAGCGTAGCGAATAAGTTTGAAAATTATTTAATACTGTGGTACTTCACACAATTTTGATACTAGGTATGGGGTGTTCTATAGTTTGTTACGGGGGTGTATATTTGAGTATTTTATATTCACCACTTTTATGTGAACCAATAGGATTCCTTGGACAATTGGGGTTGGAAGCTATAGCTAGGAACTTTCCCTGGCACCTCACTTTGGACCAGTACATTAAAGACACAAGAGTACATTAAAGACATAAGTTCTGTTAGACAATTTTTCAAATAAAAAATTCAAAATCTAAAAGTATTTTCTGTTCTATTTAAGCGACGATAAACGGTGGTATTGATTGAATGAATAGCGGCACATTAGAGCCATTGCAAACTTATATGGTGGTTGTTTTGTTTTGACAGTTTAGTACGGAGGACCAGTTTTAAGTTTAATGAATTAAAGTGGCTGCAAAGGAAAGCATGTGTAAAATGTTGTAAGAGCTTGTGAAACCATGGACTTGTTCAGAGGTATTATGGCTGAGGCACAGGGCTATATGCAGTGATCTTCCAAGTATTAAAGAAAGTGGGCGCAGCACCCACCTGAGATTTTGAAAACAGGCTTGCACCCACCTGGAAATCCATTTGCACCCACTTGAAAATAAGAAAATCATGAAAAATTGGCATATTTTGACCAATTTTGGTCTGAATTGTGAAAATGAGAATTTTGCACCCACCTGAGAAAAAATCCTTGGGAGATCACTTATATGTATTAGCAACCTCGGCAGTATGTTCAGCTCAATGTGGGTTCTCAAATGCTCATGGTATATTGAGGTCTTAGTATGTGTGAAGCATTATATTTTCAAAAAACATACCAAGCATTTCATTTTCTTTTCAAGACCATTCCAGTGATTTACTTAATTTTGCGCTACTTATTTTGGCGGATTTGCTGTTTTGAACATTTGGAGGCTAAATTCTTAATCTGATCAGAGACATATAAAACAATCCCCCAAATTAAAATGGCTGTCAAAATAAGTAGAAATACAGTATCTGATCTAAATTGTAAGATTTGACCTTTAATCACAGGAATATCAAAATTATTTGATCAAACATGTTCAAGATAGAACTCATATCAAACATCTAATATTGCATTATATATATTCGTACCTGTGGGAAATAGTTCTCTATAATAAAATCCACTTGTTTTCGGAGTAGGGGTATCTCATGCTTCTTTGCCAATATCTCTAGGGATCCAAATCTGAACCATGATTGTGCAAGACGCAACACTACAGCCGCCCGCTCTTTCTTGATGTTACCATTATAGAACTGGTCTCGTATCACAGGGTCTTTGGAAACAACCAGGGTGGCTGCTCGACTAGTAGGTATACCTGAAACCAAAAATATTTTTCAATGATCTATGGCAATGCAAAATCAGAAATTAACAGCATCTCATAACAGAATTGGTCATTGTATTACGGTTTATGGAAACAACATAGTGCCTGATAAAGTTGTAATTATGGAAAAAATGAACAATTTTATTCAACGAACCATGGCAAAATGATGTCCTACAGGCTACAGCAGCCAACTTTGTCTTGTTGTTATCAATAAATAATCAGAATTGTATGATGCAATAACAAACATGTATTTCAATGATCATCTTTTTTTTACTTTTGTTGTGGAAGATGGATTATTAGATTTTATTATATCACTATCTAGCTAGCGACAGTATGATTGGTCAAAACCGGGTCACATGTCGTGAGATATCTGGCGATATTCAATGGCAATGCTAATCAGATAAGACAACCGTGAGATATCTAGCGATATCCCACGCTCCCGGGAATTTTCAAAGAATTTGTTTTCGTTCAGTGTAAATAATTTAGTTCAGTGTAAGTCAAAATGGAACGTAAAAATATCTGAAGACTTAATGACTTAATAATATTAGGGATGTTTAGCTAAACAGTGATATAATAAAACAAATATTTCACTCTATTTTCGGTGAATACCTGTAGCACTTTCACAAGGTGATATTCCACTTGCCCTCCGGGCTTCGTGGAATATCACTTGTGAAAGATGTACAGGTATTCACCTCAAAAGAGTGAAATATTTGTTCAATATATACTGTTATGTTTGATAACACCAAGGTACAGTGCATGTACATGGATATCAAATTACATGTTTAATAATGGTAGGTAAATGGCAATTGTATTTATTGTCAAAATCTTATTTTTAGGTGAGGTTGAGAAATTTTATTTCATTTAGAAAAGCCAGGCTATAAATATGAGTGTGCCCCATATTAACCATCTGGAATGACAGGGAACTTATAAATACCTAAATAATGCATTGCTTCGCTACATAGGAATTCTCTAACAGAAGATCTGATGACTGCAAAGCCATCACCATGTCTCGAGTAAGGTGTTTTCCCTGAACCTTTCAGTTGTAGCTCCCATCTGAATTAAAAAAGAATTTAATAAAATAAAAATGGTGCAAAATACTAATTAAATGGTGTCCTTAATTAGCATTAGGCAGGTAGACTACATAGATGCACATGAACATGTAAAGATGGTACACAACTTTAAATGAATAAACAGTACACTGGAAGTTAAATGATACAAGCAAAATGTGGGATGTCTATCCAGTTCATTTTATAGGTCAACAACCGATACATATGAGTAAATAACAACCAATTCTATATTTAACTGATTAATTTGCTACAATTGTATTGTACATGTACCTTTCATTTTTGTTGTTAACATATTCCCCCAACATATGAGCTCTTCCATCACCCAGCTGGCCAGACCAATAGCCAAACTGATGCCCACCATAACGATGAGACAGTGGGACGGATGACTTCAGTAGAACATTTCCCGAAGCAAAATCGACAAAGTCTTTTGTTTCTGTAATGGCAGAATCCATATCCAATATCCTAGTGAGTACATCTTCAGAGAATACAGCTAACTTCAGGTCTGTTTCTAAAATGTTTGGTTTTACCATGGAAAATAACACATTTGACACTTGCCTGACATGATTTGATACTAATTGGTCTATTGGGAAAGTGTTGTATAATATTTGATTTTCTGAAAATTTCCAAAATTTCATTGAACTTTGGAGCTTCCTTTTGTTGTACCTGGTGCATGATTTTTCTCGATCTTCTGCAAAATAATTATTTAGAATATCACTTTGACAAATATTGTTTTTAATCTCTTCTTGGCATTCAGCATATAGTTTAAAATTCAAAAGTAAGATGCAATAAAACAACATATTTTTCCATCCAAATGTTTACGGAAGTGACGTCATTTTGGCGCAATGAGCATATGCTATTGAATTTCTACTGTAAATGTTCAAACTAAATTAACGCTTGAACATTTAACTTTTTTTAAATTGGTAAACATGAAATCATTTCATATATTATAAATGGATTGATCAGGATATTGGATTACTGGAAATATAAATAATCACATTGAATCATCACTTTAGAAATGTGAAAATGGAAATGAACTACGCTATGCTCTATTCAATGGCTGCCTCCATGACTTTATAATTTTTAAGAAATATTCGAATAAAAACCTGTTTCCAGCTGTTTATACCACACACTATGCCGTATACAGAAGCAGATATAAGAGATAAACTTACCAAGGACCTTCAGGCCACACATTGTGTAAGTTAGATGCATGTATACAACGTAATTTAGATTGCAAGAGAAAATAAATAAAAATCAACACGTCCAACTCGAGTCAGAACTCTGACCAACCGCCAATCCACATCAAAGTAATATCCACCGTCGTAATTGCACAGGTCTTATGTGGTTGCAGACCCCCTCCCCACTTTTTTCCCCGATGGTAGACGATATAGAACTTTGTTAGCAAACCTCCACACTCTAATCCCTAAAATCGAACGAAGTTTGGAAGGGAACGCCTCTAATTATGAATGGTAATAATGGTATGTCATAGTCCAAGGATCCACCTTTTTTATTCAGTGATTTCATGTTCGCAGTTTTAATCAAAATCATATGAAAAAGATATTCTGTGAATCGCCTGTCTCCTGTGTACCTAGCCTTGAAGAAGGCTTTAGCATTTGTTGATTTTTAAAATTCGGAGTGGCTCCAGGACCGACAATTGTCGGTACTGGAGACTGTCCAGGGGTATTTGCTGGGGTACCGACAATTGTCGGCGCTCTATCGTCAACAAGTAGTGCCAGATAGAGAACCGACAATTGTCGGTACGCAAGTGGCTGCTACGTGTTTTTGCTAGAGAGCCGACAATTTCATAAATAAATCCACTACTTTTGCTTTTAAAATTAACCTTATCACTAGTAGTCTAGTGGTTAGCGAGCACGACTCGTACACACTCGGTCCCGAGTTCGAATCCCGGCAAGATCTTCTTTTTTTCTTTTGAGGGGGGGGCATAGTGCTTCTTTTGCAGTATAGAATCGTACAGGCATTAACTTGTAGTGAGCCATAATTTATTTAGACTAAAATTGATTCAACTTCCATCAAAATTGTCCCACAAGCTTCAATTAAAAAACATTTTAAAGCTCTTTTCTTGTTCTATCTAATGGGTCGATATATACAGTTAGGGGAGGGGATGCTTTCACCCCCCTCACTCTCTACCCTTACTACGCCATGGCACAGGAGAAATATCTCATTTCGACATTTCGAATATATCACTGTTTACTTTGCGTTTGGTAGCTCTCAGTGAGATGGAATCGTGGCCATTGACTAAGGGAGCCAAATGCATCAAAAATTGTGCTATAAGGTATGAGTACCGTAATCCAACACCAAATTCGAAAATTCATAACAATAGGCTACCTTGCACATATGGCGTTCGTGATCAACTATAAAACGCTTACCCACCATAGTGTTATATATCAAAATGCACCTGTCCATATAGGGGTTCGATTGACCTACATCAAATTATAGGGAGTCAGGTTACTTTTTGAGATATCAGCGTCCGTTTATTGTAACTCGCGTTTGCTACCACTTGCTCAATTCTGATATGACGGGCAAACGCGTAGTAAACATGCTCACGTTCGGAACTATTTTGACCTACATCGCTATTTTCGTAATTCAAATGAAAGTTGAACTCCTCTTTATTTTTATACCAAATAGTGGCATACTAGGTACCCTAGAAGCCAACTATGGGTTATTTAGAACGATACCACAGGTTTTTAAATGGACTATATAGGGGCCATACTGTTTGGCGGATGGATATGGAACCTCATACCATAAGCTTCAGATAAAAAACATTCTAGCTATTTTCTTCTATCTAATGGGTAGCAAACTCCCCTTTCTACGCCTGATCGGCTCATGAGAAATATCCTGTCTGTTTAGAATATATATATACTCGTCGCAAGATCCTGGGGAACTCCCTGTAACACCCGAGAACTATCAAAAAATTACAAAAGTAACAACACGAAAAACATATTGTGCTTTTAAGATATTGTAAGTGTATTGAAGTATTAGGATTCTATATACCGTTAGAAACCTTGGAGTACCAGCTTTACAGAAACTCTATGTATTATGTGTTCCGCGTCGTGTATTCCTTATATGGAACGCTTGAACATGATGAATATCTTGACGACGAATTAACGCATTTTTGTTTTGTAATCGTATAAAGCATTACCATTGTCATTGTCACTCCGTCTTTAATAAGTAGTAAAGTGAATATATAGCCAAAATAGTATATTGTTGAACATAAGATATAAACATTTAAGTGTTTTGGATATCATTTATGACGTCATCTGGTCTAAACACGACTGATAACAATAGGGCGATCTTAACAAAAGACTGACTATTTGGACGGTTTTACGTCGTCAAATAGGGAACGTACATTTTTGTACCACTTTTTTATTTTTAAAGTATGGTGCTTTACTTATTATTAATCTTATTGAAAATTCACAGGCATCAATTTGGCAAGGACAATATTTTGAAAATCAAGTCAAATTTTAAAAATATTATATCTAAATCCATTAAAATACCCCTCAAAATAGACAATGCGCAAAAATTAATGTAAAAATGTTCTCTTGTACATTCTTGTACCACTTTTTGTATCTGGCTTTACGCAGGGTAAAAGGCCATAAGTATATATTTTGAGGAGATATTCTTTAATTTCGCCATGACAATATTGTCCATATCAAAAATCTTTTTCTTTTCTCTAGTAATAAAAAAGTTAGAAGCAGTTAACTTACCCTATGTGTTTTACGCCAAAAAATCTTACACTTTCCCCGATGAAATCTAATGCGTTCTATACAAAATATTTGAATTGTAACCGTCAATGTGTTATGACGTCATAATTTTACATGGTCCAGTGAATGTAGAAGCAAATTTGGGGTAATTTTGATCAACGTTTTATCGAAATATTCATGATTTAAGGTATTTTTACAAGGAATTACGTTACATTATTACAACGTTAATTTGCAGTTTCCTCGCATAGAAAACCGTAGAACGCTGCGTTATGCTAGATTTCTAATACATCTTAATGCTATAGTCAAAAAGATGAGGGGTTACCCTTCAAAATGATATATAATAGGTTATGTAACTCTAATGTACAGCGAAATGGTAAAATGATGAATATTAAAAATGGCGTAAAATAAGCGATTTCCCCAGGATCTTGCGACGAGTAATAGCCGTTTACTCTGCATTAATAGCTCTCTAACGTCTTACGTTGTTCATGTTTTTTATTGGGCCTTTCAACGTTTACTACCATTCCCTGTTCCCGGGCTACCATTTTTTGACTGGGTTTGGTAATCCCCGGGTAATCGGGGCTAATGCCCTCCCCGGGTTTTGCACTTGCTCCCAAAATATCCGTATGATATCTGAAATATCCCCCCGTGCATTGCGCATGCGCCAGAAAATTCGAAAATCAATATTTGTCGGTCCTCTAGCGTGTAAACACAGCATATCTCCCGTACCGACAATTTATTTGTCGGTCCTCTAGCGTGCCACCACATCAGAGTCTAGAGTACCGACAATTGTCGGTACTCTAGCCTTTACGTTTAAAATTTGGATATTTTTTCCAAATGTAAAGCCTTCTATCAACCCCATTGGAAAACGCTCGATTTTACATCCAATAATTCACATGTTATTCGTAGGATAAATACTACTCACTATGTCATATTTCGATGCTCAACTCAAAAAGAATACTACTGTTTCTACCGTCCTGCTATGTCAAAGTATATCCTAAGGAATGTCTAGAGTCATAAAATGAACTTCTTTCTGAGCAACATTTTCACATGTCTTTCTTCCTTCCCGACATATTGTTATGTTAAGCAATCAGGTAATTTCCGGATAGTTGATTTGAATATTCACCCACCACGCTGGGATCGAATTTTGTGCATTTTAAAAATCAACAAATGCTAAAGTCTTCTTCAAGGCTACTGTGTACCTGGCGGTGCTCATGATAAAAGTGTGAAATTCTTGTGTTGTCATGGCAACTATGTTTTATTTCTGCAGGAGGTTGTGGACCAATCTGACGGCTGTGGAGCTAAATTTACTGCCCTCATCGTCTCACAAAAATTTGAAGGACTTCCACTGCTTCAAAGACACAAGTAAACATGATTTGTATTGAAGTGTTCTTAGTAAACATGATTTGTATTTAAGTGTTCTTTGTAAACATGATTTGTATTGAAGTGTTCTTGGTAAACATGATTTGTATTGAAGTGTTCTTGGTAAACATGATTTGTATTGATGTGTTCTTCGTAAACATGATTTGTATTGAAGTGTTCTTCGTAAACATGATTTGTATTGAAGTGTTCTTCGTAAACATGATTTGTATTGAAGTGTTCTTCATAAACATGATTTGAATTGAAGTGTTCTTGGTAAACATGATTTGTATTGATGTGTTCTTCGTAAACATGATTTGTATTGAAGTGTTCTTAGTAAACATGATTTGTATTGAAGTGTTCTTCGTAAACATGATTTGTATTGAAGTGTTCTTGGTAAACATGATTTGTATTGATGTGTTCTTCATAAACATGATTTGTATTGAAGTGTTCTTGGTAAACATGATTTGTATTGATGTGTTCTTCGTAAACATGATTTGTATTGAAGTGTTCTTAGTAAACATGATTTGTATTGAAGTGTTCTTGTGGTTAATTTTCACTCTACTTTTAAGGATAAACATTTAAATGATTCTATAACAGTATAATCATCACAAACATGTGCGAGTATGTTTAATCACTTATGTATATTGTCAAGCATCTACCTGTATCTAGTATCAACCTCTACTGAGGGCTGGTAGTGGCAAGTTCAGGTGTAACCTTGATTTAAAAAGTTTGTTAGATTTGTTGTAGACTTCTGAAAGTTGTCAGAATTGTTATAAAATCACAAAGCAAAATTTTTTTCTCAAAAAATTTGAAATAAGTTTCTTCCTTTTACATGTTTGATTTCTTACTGAATTACAATTTAAGCATATTTTTTGCAGATTGGTTAATGCAGCGCTTAAAGAAGAAATGAATTCAATCCATGCAATGTCAATGAAAACTCTTACGCCCGGACAATGGCAAGATCAACAGAAATAAAAAAAATTTAAAATATATCATCCTCCATCGTGACTTTGAAACAGAGAACAACACAATAAATACAGAATGGAAGATGATAGAGACACTAAGGAGGAGGGAGTTTTAAGATGTGACCCTGAGGCGCAATGCCACCCGAAGATAGAGTACATGAAACAGTTTAAATATTGCTCTGCAGAACAACGTCGACTAGCATTTATCGTTTATATGGATTTATGCGAAGCTAAAGATTTCTGGAATGTGGGGATTCACGGCTGTGAGTCGATTGGTGCAATTTTAATTTCTGGACATCCAATGAAACATGATCCTAAAATATTAATTTTACCCGTCGACCGGAATGATGAGTTAAGTATAGAAAAATTAAGGGACTATGTTTGTAAGGTTAAAGTTGACGGATTAGATGTAAATAGCCTAACTTTGGCAATTTGTGAAACTGATTCAACGATTGTTTATTATGAAGTCACTGATGGATTAGTGGTCCCAGAATCCCCTAGTGAAATAGAAGGGAAACGGCAACGTCGTACTTGGAAAATGCAGAAACGCAGAGAAGCGTTAAAAGATAATGTTGTGTATCAATCGAAATAATGAATTCAATAGCTCAATAAATTGATGAAAATGTATTTTTTAGAGCTGGTAATATCAAAAGCATTATTTCATGTATCTAAGGTTGATATTCCTTTCTAAGTTATCTTATTTTGGAGAAAAGTAAATTGTGTCCTTCTCTTTAACACAGGGTGATACAAAAATGCTGCACTCTTATTATACAGTGATTTGAATTTTCTCAGTTTCAATGCTATATATGTAAATGCTAAATGTGAAAGGTTTCTTATTTTCACTTAATTTGGTACAGTAAAACATGTGTAAGTGGAACACCTTTGGTTCCACTAAGTGTTACACTTACAGAGGTTCCTTGAACAATAGATCAATGGGTTGCGGGATTTTGAAGTGTTCCACTTATGGAGGTGTTCCACTTTACAGGTTTTACTGTATTTTGAAACAGTCAGCTGCAGTTTGATTTTGAGAAGCCTAAATCAGCTTGTATTATTTTTTTTCTAAAGTTGAACAACATAATCTGAAGTTTCCTGATAAAATAAAGTGGATGTCGTTCAAAATGCTGCTCTGATTCGTCGAAATGGTGAACTTTGAAAACTATCCAGGACGTTTGTTTTTGAATGATTTGATGATCTAAGTATCAGTGCAGTTTTTTTTCAAGTTTTGTGTAATCTTGTCCCCGATATGTTTTAAATATTTGAACAGGTTTAGTCTCATATTAACCTCAGAAATAACCTTGAAACCCAGAGTGACTAGATAATCCGTCACAACTTTTTTTTTTACTAAAACTGTTCTTATTTGAACAATTTTCATCCAATTTACACAAAAAATGTTTAAACTGTGTAGAAATGATCCCTGCTGTCTAATTTTACTAAAATGAGCATCACCTGATGTAAATTTCAAAAACTGGTCAAAAATGAAAAAATCTCTGATTTCAACCGATTTTAGACCCTGGGATTCAAGAGGTTTAACTTCAATTACCTGTTAACTGTGTTTTAAAATATACTGTATGCCATAAGATCACGGAGCTTAAAAACAGTTTTTATAATGTACTTTTATGAATACATGTAGAACATTTAGAAATGGAATAAATAAACAAACACATTGAAAGATTGATGTTTATATAAAAGTATTTATTTCTGTTTTAATTTTTAAAATTAGTATTCGTGGACTTATTCGTCAGAAGTGCATAAATTGTAATTCATGAAACTGAAATGTTAGCATGGTAACATAATCAAAGACAAAGCATTAACACACAAAATGGCATCACCTGCCATTGGTTACCAACCGCCTATTGCTGTGTTATATATGCCAATCACCGAACACCGGCAACAAAAAAGTTGGTGACATGATAAAAATTATAAGTTCAATTATTATTCATGCAGTATTTTTGAGGAACAGGCCCATTATAATTATATTATTAGCCTAACTTGAACAACATACACATGTGGGCTAAATGTCCCAGGCAAGACTGGTAGGCTAGGCCTAGGCTGAACATCATAGTGAAGTCCATACAGAATTTGAAACTAACACAATAAGATTGGCAAGAATAGGAAATGAAGGAAACTGCATATTTTTTCTCTTAAATTGAATTGCATTTTTTTTTCATAAAAAAAAGTTGGTGACATGTAGTTCGAAATATGTTCATTGTTAGATAAGTTTATTGTGTTAAGAATTCCTCAAAACTAACCTAATAATTTATAATAAGGTTAGTTTTAAGGAAATCATTACACATTAATTCACAGTAAGCCATATGATTGGCTAATTTGATGCCCCTTTAACTTGACTATATGATACTATAATACAGTATAATTATGGATGACATAGAAACTTCACAACATGATAAATTGTCACCTCATGATACTAGTCAATGATACAACCATAGATGATATCATCTGTGTTTACTCAGCCCTCGACAATCGCTGAACTGAGCAAAAACCAAGCATGCGTAGATGTAATGATGAACTCATAAGTTTTTCCAAATGAGACTGGCTGAGAGAAGATGTCAGCCTTGTAATTGGACAAAATTGGATTCAACATTCATACAAGTTCCTATACATGTTCCTGGGCCTATGGATGAACTCCCTTCACTCAATTGCACAGTGCAGTGTAACACACACTTAAAATATAAATAAAATAAAGAAGCAAGTATTACATACCTGCATATTGTTTGTATATAATTGTAAATTAAAAAATAAACTATTTAGTGTGATATTCATATGAAAATTCACAATTTTTAGGTCATGAGATGTCACACTATCACATGTTCAAAAATTGTCACACTTTTCACGTTTAATATGTAATGCACTAATCATGTGCAGAAGTCACATTTCACATTGTATAACTGTCACACTTTGACTTTCACATGCAAAATGTCACTTTTCATTTGCAACGTCACACTTCATGTGTATAAATGTCACACTTTCACGTGCAAAATGTCACACCCTTCATGTACAAAGTCACACATCATATGTCACATATTTCCTGTCATTTGACTAATCTGTTAATAAATTTTAAAAACTTATTAGATAATTCAAGTTTTTTGGGATTATTTCATTTCTTTTTTGAATTCAAAGAGAGACAATATTATTGATTCAAATAAAATATATATTTTTTCAATTATGAAGAATTATGAGTGTGAAAGTTTGCTTAACTAAACTGCATTCATTTACCACTCAAATATCTCTACAGGCTTTTACAACTGTATTTTCACTTGTATTTGTACTATCCTAATTTACCCTCTGCAATGTTCAATTTTTAAAAGTTTACGTTCATTTTTCGCCTTCTCGCTTTTTTCAATAATAACTGGTCAGCTGAACACAATCATAATGACTAAATCAAAATGCTTCAAAATTACTAGACATGTGATAAAATCGTCATCACACGTTTAAGCTTATGTGATACAGGAGATATTCCACTCAGGTAACAATGCATCACCAGTTACTGACGTTTACTGCAAGTTATAACATAATCAAAATTGTTAGTTGTATACTCAGTAAATCCTCTGACAATATCTCTGTCAGAATGAGGCGGTTACTGATGTTTTTCATTTTTACTGTATAAGCCATGTAACTGTCACAATTTAGTTACATAATGCAAATATTCACCAAATTGTTGTACTGCAAGTTGTATCAACATCATTACTACAGTGTGAGTAGTAACATGGTACTATAGTAACAGTTTAATGATGTCATAATGAGTAAAACTGCATTCTTAATTTGTTTACAGTTAGTTACAATGTTGCCATACCGTTTTCTCTGTAATTATCGCCCACCCTCTAATAAGCGCCCAACCCACTTCACAAAGGTCAAGAAACATTGAGGAATCAACAATTGAAGAATCCATCAGAAAAAATAGTAGTAACATTGTTACCATAGTTACATTGTCAACATTATATGAATTGAGACTCAAGTGAAACTGTAACTCTAGTTACAGTCTGGCTAGTTTTCCATCATAACTTTCGTTACATTGTGACTAGTTACATTGTTACTATAGTTACTGCATGACTAGTTACATTGTTACTCAAGTTACAATGTGACCTCTTACATCATAAACTCAATTATGTCTGTGACTCTAGTTACAGTATGGCTTATTTTACATCATAACTTTAATAACATTGTTACTCTAGTTACATTGTAATCTGTTAGTCCTGGAACTTTAATTACATTGTTACTTTAATCACAATGTAATTTGTTAGTCCTGGAACTTTAGTTACATTGTGACTCCAGTTACATTGTTATAGTCCTGGCATGTAGTGAGTTATCCTCACTCTCTGATACTCCGTTGACATTATGCGACACATGACTCAGATCCTGCATCTCGGCACTTTCTGCCCGCAATCTCTCTTGCTGTTCTAACACCCATTGCTGGAGAATAAAAAGAAGTCATGACAACAAAACAAAACAAATAATTCATGACAAGAAAATAAAATACTACAAAAAATTCATGACAAGAAAATACTTTAAAAATTTCATGACAAGGATATATTTCAAATAAATCATGACGAGGAAGTTTCTCCTATTCAAAGGAGATCACAATATGTCAGAAGTCTCATCTAGAAATATCTGTGTCATTCTAATTTCACATGTTTTCTCAAGTTTTGATTGAATTTTCTTGCATTTCAATAAAATTGTGTGTATCAACTACATGCCTATCAAATTCATTTCTTTCTAGATTCACCCCTTTCACTCTATTCTGCATTTTAAAACTTTCCCATGAAATTTATTTCCAAACCTGCACTTCTTCTTGGTACATCTTTACACTGTAGTCCTCCCTACTGGCACTCCTCTCTCCTCTGAATCTCAGGACACTCTAAAAAATATATTTAATTCATGACCAATGGTTTTATTTCTTTAGGTACAGGGTGACCCAAAAAACAGAACCCACACCCATTTAATAAAATTGATATGGATTCTGCTTTTCTGGGTCACCCTGTATTATTCATTTTGCGAGGGGGTTGTCCTTTTTAACGATCATCCATATTATTTTTCAGTTTTTCGCAAAAACAGGACTTTCTCCATGATGTTTAAGATTGCTCTATGTGATTCATATATTGTGGTTTCAGGGTTTAATATTTCCATCATCTTTTCTCCGGCTCCAAATTTTGAATGAAGCGTCAAAAAGTGCTGCAATTCTATGTGATAAAGAACTAATAAATTCATCTTAACTGGACAAACAGACAGACAGATGAACTGACTGACAGACGAAAAGTGGGTGATTACAATTAACTAACCCATGAGAGTTAATAAAAAAAAATATATACCATTCAAAATCTTTTTTTAGGGTTTTAAATCTTTTTTAGGGTTTTAAATATTTTTTAGGGTTTTGAATCTTTTTTAGGGTTTTAACGCAAGGCCTCTGTGACTTACTCTATGTGGTTCAGTCTGTGTTGGGCAGTTTATATATTGGCTTGTAAGAGGCTGAACTTTATCTAGGCACATATTTAACTCTTCATGCGACAGCTGCACATCTACTTTGATCTTACTAAAATCTGAAAAGTAAATTCAATTCATATAAGGACAGACGGACCAACGGACGGACGGACGCCTGGTCGATCCCAATAAAAATTGTGAGTGATATTTCTCGAAAGGCCACATTTTTTGTATTTTTTATCCTCATTTTCAAAGCATATTACTTTTATTTCCTGAATGATCTTAAACTGAATGTAATTTTTTATGGAACTGAAGTTAACAATACTGTCCAAATAAAATACTATGCAAAGTAATTTTTGGTGACAATGCTTTAAACTTTTAAATGAGAATACATGTATTTTCCAGATCTCTTGTTCTTTTTTTCATAATAAAAAATTTAACAATTTAAATATGTCCCTACCTCCTATGTCATCTCCACTCATTTGTCGTCTGTACTGTATACGGAATATAAATGCCTCTAAGATGAAAGCCACCACTACATTCATGACCACCTGAAAACATGAAGAAATTATGAATGTCATGCCTTTTTCATGCTATTTCTATCTAAAATTTAAAATAACTTTATGATTATCTGGCATTTACTGTTCCTAAGATGCCATTAGGCGACTGACTTATTCTAATGACAATTACTAAATGATATATAAATAACATACTGGCATTAACATGCTAAATGTCACAACCTGCCATTTGTTACAGACACTAACTGCTGAATGCAAACCATCAAATAACATCCGCAAAAAAGTTGGAAACTATAACAATATTATGTCACCACTCCAGGTGTTAAAAATAAAAACTACAATTTAGTTTGTTTATTTTCTTCCTTGCTGATTCCACTCCTTTCTGTCAATTTTGCATGAAATAATCTTGAGCATTCAAGTATCACTAAAGTCCACTCACCATGATGACGATATAGAACAACATGAAATAGATTCTGCTCCAACTGGTTGCCACGGTAGCGTAGCCTTCCATTATGATATACCAATTGTTTACAACAGTCAGTTCAAATAACGTCACTGCAACAAAAAATATATATTTGATGCTATAGAATTCAGTGAAACTGGTTTATTCAACAACATCTCTGATCTGAACACCTCTCAATGTGAACGCTCTTTCTGAGCAGTCCGATCTCCCATCTCATAAGAGAACCTTAAAATATATACACCTGCTAATATAAATACCTTTGCCAAGTCCCAGATGCAATCAAATTAGACAGGTTTCTAAATAAATAAAATGTTTCTCTAAAATGTGGATCAAAGTTCATTTAAGTTTTTTTTATTATACATTTTCCTACAATTTAAAGTGGGGATTTTGTGCAGTACACTCAACTGCTGATTATTGTGTATGTCTTTTCCACTCTACTTTGCACTTGAAAAATAGTATGATCTCTTTACTCTCACAAAGTACCCTACTTAGTATGTAATCAATATTATTTTTCACACATTTATTTCATGTTTTTCCGTTAAAAATTAAAGTTAAATTTTTTATTGCATTTCTATACGATTTAGAGAGTTAAATGTCCATCTGCTAATTCATAAGGGTCTAACGGTGCACCGAAACCGCGGTGCTCCACGGTTCTTGGGCCTCGGTCGGTACGTTCGGTTCGAAAACTCCGATGTTCGGTTTTTTAACGGTTTGTTAATTCAAAAAAAAGTGCCATTCGCTAAAGTAGAGGAAGATGAATCTCGAAACGAGAGGTGAAGATTTCGGCATTCTAAACGCTCAAAAGTCGTACAAGGCCCACTGTTGGGGTTATTTTGGATTTCCAACGAGAGATGGTGTTCCTCTCCCGGAAAGAATGATATGCCGGCTTTGCAAAATCGTTATTGTATAATATGAGAAAGGTACGTGTGAAAAAATGTGAAAATTTGCTGTCTGCAGAAATAGAATAGATCAGAATTATACATGCTCCCGGGCCGCTTATTTATTATGAAATCGCGCCATCTATTTATCATCGCATAAATAAAATACAATGCAAAGTTAATGATTAATTTGTAAATAAAACTGACTTAGATCAGAGGTAAACATGTTCCCGGGCTGCTCATTTAAATAATGAAATCGCGCCATCAGTTATTTGATTTTTTACATTAAAGTGCGATAAGAACCGAAAACCGAAGCGAAACCGAGGAGATAAAAACCGTGAACCGAACCGAACCGAGGAATTATGAAACCGTGAAAGCCCTACTTCAACCCACACTTTATTTCTCTCAAAAATATGAATAAACTATCTGATTTTCTGATTTTAAAATCTATAAGATCTTCTTTTTTATTTACTCATTTACCTCCACTGATGAGTACATTTTCAAAGTTGTTGAGGTAGTAGTAGCCTTGGAAAACACTGTTGTTGTCATAGCGATAGTTATCCTCAACACTGGTATTTCTGAAATATCATACAATCACTTTAAAATCAGTGCAATCATTTTAATCACTTTAGTAACAGAGCAATCATTTCAATATCAATGGATGCATTTTAATTTCAGTGCAATCATTTTAACATTAGTGCAATCAATACAATATCAAAGCAATCATTTTAACATCAAACCAATCATTTTAATAATAATGCAATCATTTAAATTACAGAGCAATCGTTTCAATATCAGTGAATTCATTTTAACATAAGTCAAATCAATACAATATGGAAGCAATCATTCTAATATCAAAGCATGAATATAATCACCTTGACATAGCAACACCATTATCACCATGACATCACAAAACAATGGCATTATGTCATGTTGCTTGTTACTTACTTGCAACAGTCTCGTAGATCATATTTGGAGAAAAGTTCCATTCCAACGATGGCAAAGAAGTAATACAATAGAATCATGGCAAGGGCAAGACTCATCATTTGAGATAGTAGAATAAATAATGTCCCAAGTACATCACGGTAACGAGCCTTCATCTTAAATAACCTAGAAGTAAATGAGAATGAGGAGTTATAAAATACATTCATATTGAATCTCATTTGAGATACGAGAATAAATAATGTCACTCATGCACCACGGTAGAAAGCCTTCATCTTAAATAACCTAGAAATAAATGAGAGCACTGAGTTATAAAACATATTCATATTTATTGTGTTATGTGATGTCACAATAATAAGAACAACGGAATTACTGGTCTAGAATTGTGTATGTATGACCGCTATACTTCATATCGACCAATCATAGCACTGGTATCAATTTACACGTCATCATTCACAAAATGCAAAAAAAGTTTTTTGGATCAATGGTTTATGGCATATACCAGGTACATGACCACAGATTATATTCTGCCCTTTGCCAAATATGTCAGTAACTCTCAATACATTTTAAGGTTGTAATTAATGATCAGAAAAGATAAGCATTTTCTATACAATTCATACCACATACTACATGTCTATCCAATTCTGGCTAAGTCAATCTACTTTTACTTCATTTTGTATCTATAAAAAACCACTCACGTACCTAAGTAGTCTGAAGGGCCGCAGTATAACTATATAGTAAAGGTTCTTGTTGAACAGCTTTCCTAGGATTCCAACCAAGGCAGCCATTGTCACAAAAAAGTCAAATCTGAAAATAAAAAATTATTATTTCAATAGCATGTGCCCAAGCATAGCATTCAATGTTATACACAGCTACATATAATAGACACCAAGTCATTTAATCAATAAATTTATTTTAATCTACTGTAGTTTTAATCTGTATGTTAAATTTTAATCTAAAAAGCAGCGTTTTACATGTCTTCTTTTTTGGATGAATTTTTGAATTTAGTGTTAAACTTTATTTTTTAAAAAACTTACAGATTCCACCCAGAGGTAAAATAGTCCTTGGGCCCCAGGCCGAGTATTTTCAGGATCATTTCAACAACATATACTGAAAACAATCATGGAAATGTTTTTTTCATGATATTTTGAATAGATTAATGATATTTTCCTTTTGAAGTTTCAAAATGAGCCATAGATAGTTAAATCTGGGAAAGGATGATCAGAAAAAATATTCTAAAGTGCCTTTAACATGTTTAAGTGCATATTTAATTATTTTCACTTTGGAGTAAACACGTTAGATTAACTGACCAATCATAGCGCTGGTATCAATTTATACTTCATCATTCACTAAATTATACAACTAAAAAGTGTTTCATAGGGTACTCACTTGCAACAAATATTAAAGTGTACCACGATATCTTGTAATCTTGAGCTTTGATGTCTGGGTCCACTGAAACAAAAACAAGGCATTAACATGACAAAATGTCACCACCTAAAACAATTTGGTCAATTTAAAGCAAGTTGGAAAATACCTTTTGACCTTGAGAAGGTCATTGAAGGTCAAAGGTCAAATCTAAAGTCAGATTTGAACTTCTGAGAACTTATAAAGTCAAATTTGAACTTTTGAAAAGATGTAGGTGATTTTGAAAAAAAAATTTGGTCAATTTGAAGCAAGTTGAAAACAGACCTTTTTGACCTTTTTTGACCTTGAGAAGGTCATTAAAGGTCAAATGTCAAATCTAAAGTCAGATTTGAATTTCTGAGAACATGTAGATGATTTTGAAAAAAAAAATTAGTCAATTTGAAGCAAGTTGAAAAAGACCTTTTTGACCTTTTTTGACCTTGAGAAGGTCATTGAAGGTCAAATGTCAAATCTAAAGTCATATTTGAATTTCTGAGAACATGTAGATGATTCTGAAAAAAAAATTTAGTCAATTTGAAGCAAGATGAAAAAATACCTTTTTGACCCTTTTTGACATTGAGAAGGTCATTGAAGGTCAAATGTCAAATCTAAAGTCAGATTTGAATTTCTGAAAACATGTAGATGATTTTGAAAAAAGAATTTAGTCAATTTGAAGCAAGTTGAAAAAAGACCTTTTTGACCTTTTTTGACTTTGAGAAGGTCATTGAAGGTCAAATGTCAAATCTAAAGTCAGATTTGAATTTCTGAGAACATGTAGATGATTTTGAAAAAAAAATTTAGTCAATTTGAAGCAAGTTGAAAAAAGACCTTTTTGACCTTTTTTGACTTTGAGAAGGTCATTGAAGGTCAAATGTCAAATCTAAAGTCAGATTTGAATTTCTGAGAACACGTAGATGATTTTGAAAAAAAAATTTAGTCAATTTGAAGCAAGTTGAAAAACAGACCTTTTTGACCTTTTTTTACCTTGAGAAGGTCATTGAAGGTCAAATGTCAAATCTAAAGTCAGATTTGAAGGTCAAATGTCAAATCTAAAGTCAAATCTAAAGTCAGATTTGAATTTCTGAGAACATGTAGATGATTTTGAAAAAAAATTTAGTCAATGTGAAGCAAGTTGAAAAAAGACCTTTTTGACCTTGAGAAGGTCATTGAAGGTCAAATGTCAAATCTAAAGTCAGATTTGAATTTCTGAGAACATGTAGATGATTTTGAAAAAAAAATTTAGTCAATTTGAAGCAAGTTGAAAAAAGACCTTTTTGACCTTTTTTGACTTTGAGAAGGTCATTGAAGGTCAAATGTCAAATCTAAAGTCAGATTTGAATTTCTGAGAACACGTAGATGATTTTGAAAAAATCTTTTAGTCAATTTGAAGCAAGTTGAAAACAGACCTTTTTGACCTTTAAATCTCTAAAGATTTGAATTTCTGAGAACACGTAGATGATTTTGAAAAAAAAATTTAGTCAATTTGAAGCAAGTTGAAAAACAGACCTTTTTGACCTTTTTTTACCTTGAGAAGGTCATTGAAGGTCAAATGTCAAATCTAAAGTCAGATTTGAAGGTCAAATGTCAAATCTAAAGTCAAATCTAAAGTCAAATCTAAAGTCAGATTTGAATTTCTGAGAACATGTAGATGATTTTGAAAAAAAATTTAGTCAATGTGAAGCAAGTTGAAAAAAGACCTTCTTGACCTTGAGAAGGTCATTGAAGGTCAAATGTCAAATCTAAAGTCAGATTTGAACTTCTGAGAACATGTAGATGATTTAGAAAAAAATTGAAGTCAGTCTAAACAGTATTTGTTAAGTTATAGGAAGTTGTAAGAAATTGTTACAGACGCCGGACGCCGGACGCCAACCACCAACCGCCAACCACCAACTGCCGTCGCAAAAAAACGGAGACCATAACAATATGTCACCACTTTTGGTGGTGACATAAAAAACTATCAAAGTTCAAATCACAACATATATAGAGTAGAAACATGTAGATTTAGCAAGAAATAAACAAAGCAGGACAAAAAATTACAAAATGTTCCCCAAAAATCCTGGGATGTGCGCTGAATTGCTAAGAAAGGCAAGAAAATCAGAGTAATAAGATTTGGGCCCTCATCAGGAAATTAAACATATACAGGGTGATCATTAAGTTCTGGGAATTGGTCTGCCATTTCAAGATTTTTCAACCATTTGAGTTGAAATTTTCAGCAAGTGTACATTGTATAGTTCTGAATTGACAGGCAATGTTTTATATACATCTACAATTTATTTTATTGTAATTACAAAAAACGTAAAAGTGGTTCGCAGGTCAGCAAATTTTAACTGATGTTAATTTGAAAATTTCCTGCCAAAACATATTCATGTTGCCTTGATGGTTGCTTCAAACTACTTGTACTGGAGGCAGAACAGTACTCTTGAAGTCATTTATTCAGAAGTATTCTTCATTGCTGAGAGGATCATTTCATTTATGATTGTTTCCATTAGCCTGGATGCACATGCGTTGTTGACAAACTTAGTCCATAAAGATGTGTTCAAGTCCTCCCTTTGGTATCCCTTGAAGATTTGCTCAAGACGTTGAAATCAGTCCCCTATCGGAATCAAACTTATGACCTCTCATGTAATGCTTTAGCACCCAAAATGTAGTGAAGCCTAATAGTGCTTCATCTGGTGAATATTGTCTGGTGAATACGGGGCAGTAATATATTGTGTGAAACCTAATTCTTCAAGAGTAGTATGAGCAGCTTGAGTAATGAGAAGGAGCATAGTCATAATGGAAAATAACCTCCCGCTATTTTTACCATGATTGTGACTTTGAGATGCTGATGAATGATACGAAAATTGAGCAAAGTACACTCTTATATAACAATAAAGATGTTACTTTAGAAACTAAAGTTAGGAAGTATTTGATAAATATAAAAAATCACAGAAATATGTCCACCAAATAGGTATTTATTAACCATAATTTTGGATCAACCAAAATTTGAATTCATTTTTATTTTACTTGACCCGCTACGCCATTTGTCATGTTGCTATAGTAACAATAATTATCCATTGTGACATCAGATGACTATGAGACTGTTTTATCCAACCCAAAATTACATTCCCCATTTACCCTGAAAATTTCAAGTAAATTGGTTGAAAAATAATGAAATGACAGATAAATTCCCAGAACTTAGTGATCACCCTGTATTTAACTTTGAATGGTCTACACCTGGCGAGTTAAATTCAATTATAATGTGATAAGAAGTGTTAATCCTCATTGAATTGTGTGATCTGTTCAAAAGGTTGTATACCTGACGTCAACCAATCAGTATCAACCAATCAGATTAGAGTATTTAAATGGAGGGGGTCTACAATACCTGATATATCTATAGTTTCAGCAAGGATCCATACAAAGTTGACTGCTATCACAAAGTATATGAACCAAGTGAACCATCTCCAAGTCACCAGGCGATTCATAGCTGCAAAACAACAAACGAACAAGGTATTAACATGTAAAATGGTTAAACAATGAATAGAGTAAAGAAGTTGTGGGTGTTCAATATTCTTTAGGAAAAACTGACTGGTATGTTCTTTAACTTACAGAAAATCTCAAATGAATACAAGTGAAACACCTTTGATTTATTGTTGAATGAAACTCTGTAAGTGGAATAGCTCCCAAGTACTTGCAAGAGTGCGATCTTACCTTTAATAAAAGTACTGCAACAAGGACTGCAAATTTTGGTTGACCACAGTTCACCAACAGTAGGTTCAGGCTACAAAAGACAAACAAATAAATATATACACTGTACAGTTATATATGTTTTCACTGCAGGAGTGGATCCACAGTGTAAAATTGGATCTATAAACACAGCAGGAGGATTTATACACTGCAGGAGTGGTTCCACGATCTGTAGGTGGTCAACAGCCGGGGTATAGTGGATCCATTCACTGTAGGGTAAATCTGCATTACGGGGGAGGATCCAAGGATGAATGGAAGACAGATGAGGAAATATCAGACATATTTCCTGTCATTCATAAAAATAAACTAGGGACATCCTTAAATTGGGTTTAAAAGAAATAATTTGGCACAAAAAAAGTTTCAGAAAAAGGTTATTTTATCAAGCTTTGTGATCACCGACTTAAAATTTCCATGCAAGATGTCGAAAAATGGCTTTTTTTAAACTCTCCTCTTACTGGACAAAAATGTGGTTACTATGGTTACTTGTATTTTAGGTAAACTGATGAACTTATACAATATCAAAGAAAATCTTTTTGAACTTACCCCCCATTTGAGCTTAGTTACATAGTAAATATGGTAGAATTCATCTAAGTTCATTTCTCCAGTTTTACTGATGTTTAACCCTTTGAAGCACAGGTAGAGATCTCGCTTGTCTGGAAATGAAAGAGTTAAATTTGTCACACAAGTTCAAATGTTGATATATTTTTTCATCAATTCCATTGAATCTTTTTAGACTGAGAAATCACTTTAATGAGAAATCACTTTGATGAAAATTCACTTTAATGAAAAATCATTTTGATGAAAAATCACTTTGATGAGTAATCACTTTAATGAGAAATCACTTTAATGAGAAATCACTTTGATGAGAAATCACTTTTATGAGAAATCACTACTCACTGAGTCTCCTATTGAAGTACTTCATCACACCAACAAAATGTCTCAGGGAAATTCTTGTAGGATTCTGAAACAAAGACAGATACAAGGCATAAACATGCAAATGTCACCACCTGCCATTTGTTACAGATGCCGAATGCCAAGCACCAACCACCAAACACCATGAACGAAAAAGTTGGGGACCATAACTAAATATGTCACCATTTATAACTACAGTTCATTTATACAGTTTGATGCTGATAAATTCAAAATAAATGTACCCAAAAGTAGCTGTCATGGCAACTATTTTAATAAGAATTAAATGGTATTTGCTTCAACTGCTGTTTTGATTGGCTGGCTGGATTTTGATCTGTTTTTGTCTTTAATTTGGCGATTTTGGGATATCGGACATATTGACGTTGATTTAATTTTGAAGTTTTTCAAGGGGATAAATCTCATATCTCTATCTATCATATACCCTCTCGATCTCACTTAATCCAGTCTAATTTGAGTTGAAAACAATTTAAAATGCTCTAAATTAAACAATTTAAATGACCTGGGCCATCTCATAACCAGAAGTTTGCTGAACAAAAAACAAGTCAAATTCCTGTAGATTTTGGCAACTATTTAATTGGAGTAATTTTTTAATTGCCAAGTTCGCCAAATTATAACGCTCGCCAAATTAAAGAAAAATATAGTATTCTGATTGGAACAATTAATTATCCCTTTAATTATCATTATTCATTATCATCTCAAGATTGCATTACCTATTTTCGGGGCCTAGGAAAAAGAAAGAATAAAGATGAAGAATAAAAACATTTGCCATTATGATAGAATATAAAACTGCATTAAGCTAACCTGTTTTGTGACGAGAAGTCTAAATGCTCTTTGACATGCCTCACGTTTGTGGAGCAGAAGTTTTTTAAGTTTCTTTTTTGTAATCTCAGTAAATGTGTCATAAACCACAGCTAAAAGCTGAAACAAAAAATAGTGTTAATATAAGGTCATGTTTTAATATGCAAAATAGAGTGGAAATGAGAGGAAGCAGCAAGGAATGGCTCCCCCCCCCTTAGCCAAAAATATATTCAAAATCATGCAGTTTTCACCATTTTGAGCACATCTGAAGTGATTTTAGCCATATTTGGGCCCAAATTGTCAAATGTGAACCCCCCCTGGAAATTTTTGAAAACTGAACCCCTCTTGGCAAATCCTGGCTACGGGCCTGAATGAAGTACTAGAATAAATAGGCATGTAATGAGTCTATATTCTAAATTGTATAAAAAAGCAAGAAAATTAGGCATTTTATTGAAATTTTAAAGAGAGATAGCATAGCAATGATATTTTATCTTTTGTGATCAAATAACAACATTTTACCCTTGGTACATGTACTTACTAAGTTCATTAAAAAGTAAAGTTCTACTGCAAGGTAAACAATGAAGAAGATTGCGCTCCACCTAGACCTGCTATAGGAGGGCATCATTACATCTGGAAAGCTGTAAAATCAAAAAGGTCACGTGTTAAAACAGGAAAAAGAGTTGACTCAAAATAGTAAAGTAGACAATGAAGAAAATAGTGCTCCACCTTAAGACACACTATAGGAGGGTATCATTACATCTGGAAAGCTAGAATCATAGGGTCACATTTAAAACAGAAAGAGGCATGAAGGAGTGGAAAATCCAATAATTTCATTGACCATAGTCCAAGATTCTGGGTAGGTTATTCAAAGTTTAGGGAGGAACAGTGACAAGTGATGGTAAAGCAGACTTATGGAGACAATATTTTAAGATTATTCAAATTAAAAACAATTCTCACAGTAATTAACATAACATGAGCAGATTCAGTTTAAATGAAATGGAGAAAACAGATTGATATAACCAAGAAACGACCAAGACAGGCACATAACTAAAATTCCAAACTATAAATACATTAGATGTTTTAGTAGTTCAATCAAAAATTTTGAGAAAACATAGTGGAAAATACACTTTGACGGACAAATAAGCAGACAACAGGAACTTACTTTGATGTTGTCAGCAGCACAAAGAGGCTGATAAAGCTGGTCTCTATGTGGTTGAAATACTGAAAAAAAAATTACATCAATTATTTTATTTTGTAAAATATATATACTACAGGGCGTCCCGAAAGTATGAGATTCCCCTTAGGCAGACATATACTAATGTCTCCATAGTATGTGTCATATATCATTTTAAAGCTTATCCAAAGTTTGGGGACACCCTGAACATGTGCATGCATACATTAAAACCTGTCTAATCGGAATGCTACTAGGATCAGCAAAAAGGATTCCGATTGCCAAGTGTAAGTAATATTTCAAGTTTTTCTAACATGAAAGTCGTTCGTAAATTAAAAGAGGGACTGAAAGGTGTTCATATTGACAGCGACATGTACACAGTCATTGTCATGGTTACCCCATGCTGATGAGCTTCTGTCCATGTCTCATTTTTTCCCATTGAAATGAATAATTTACCAATTATCCCATTCTCTTATATTTTAAGTTTACCTGTATATGAAATTAATATGAATTTATTACTGGAATAGGGTTTCACTGTTATAATTAGTGAATATATGTAACAATAAATAAAATAAAAAAATATCAAATTATCTTGAAAAGTACTACTTACCGGATCATCAAATGGGGAAAACAGATAAAAACCTAAAATAAAGAAATAAAAAATTTGAATAAGAAATGTATAAATAACCGAATAATCATTCAAACCTATGTTCATATTTGCCTGATTGAATGCTTATTTGGAATTAAAATAAAGTCATACAATGAAAAATTCTTTAATTCTGCCTACTAATATGATTACCTATAATTGTTATAAATATGAAATAGCTCATGGTATTTGCCTTATGTTGAGAGACCTAACTATTATAAAGTATAACCTAATGTCAAAACCTACTTAATGAGACTTACCAATTCCTGAGACCTAACAAATGCTGACACTTGCCTTTTGACTTATCTAATCTTGAGACTTACCTATAAATAAGACCTAATTTATATCGAGGCTAACCTTATATTGAGACTTATCTTTAAATAATACCTAATATTGGGACTTACCTAATATTGAGACTTATCTTTAAATAATACCTAATATTGGGACTTACCTAATATTGAGACTTATCTATAAATAATACCTAATATTGGGACTTACCTAATATTGAGATTTACCTATAAATAAGACCTAACTAATATTGGGACTTACCTAATATTGAGACTTGCCTATAAACACGACCTAATTAACATTGGGACTTACCTAATATTGAGACTTGCCAATAAATAAGACCTAACTAATATTGGGACTTACCTAATATTGAGACTTGCTTATAAATACGACCTAATTAACATTAGGACTTACCTAATATTGAGACTTATCTATAAATAATACCTAATATTGGGACTTACCTATTATTGAGACTTACCTATATATAAGACCTAACTAATATTGGAACTTACCTAATATCGAGATTTGCCTATAAATACGACCTAATTTACATTGGGACTTACCTAATATTGAGACTTGCCTATAAATAAGACCTAACTAATATTGGAACTCACCTAATATTGAGACTTATCTATAATTAACTAATATTCGAACTTACCTAATATTGAGACTTGCCTATAAATAAGACCTAACTAATATTGGAACTCACCTAATATTGAGACTTACCTATAAATAAGACCTAACTTATGTTATGACTTACCTAATATTGAGACTTATCTATAAATAAGACCTAAATAGTATTGGGACTTACCTCATATTGAGACTTACCTATAAATAAGACCTGAATAATATTGGGACTCATCTTATATTGAGACTTACCAATAAATAAGACCTAAATAATATTGGGACTTACCTAATATTGAGACTTACCTATAAATAAGACCTAAATAATATTGGGACTTACCTAATATTGAGACTTGCCTATAAACACAACCTAATTAACATTGGGACTTACCTAATATTGAGACTTACCTATAAATAAGACCTAAATAACATTGGGACTTACCTAATATTGAGACTTGCCTATAAATAAGACCTAAATAATATTGGGACTTACCTAATATCGAGAATATCAACATGAAGAACAACAGCAAGATTAGCATGTCTAGAATTGGAGGCATGGACTGTAGAACCTGTCGAATGAATCTGAAAGGTACAAAGATATAATATTGTATTAAAGGTCAGGCCCGTAGCCAGGATTTACAAGGGGGGTTCAGTTTTCAAAGATTTCCAGGGGGGATTCACCTTTGACAATTTTGGCCCAAATATGGCTAAAATCACTTGAGAAGTGCTTAAAATGGTGAAAACTGCATGATTTTGAAAGAATTTTTGGCCAGAGGGGAGTTCGCCTGAACCCTGCGAACCCCCCCCCCTGGCTACGGGCCTGAAGGTGATTCAAGTGCAAATCAGGTGGATAAAGTTGCAAACAGGGTGTCCAAAAAGTAATAGGACTGGTGCTGGCATATTGTTCTCCATGCATGGAAGTGTCCTAGTTTGTACAGAAACCTACCTATATGTGTATTTTTTTTTTTTTTTTTTTCTACTTTATTTATTTCACATCATTTACATATTACATATTTTTATACTACCTATATGTGTATAACTGAATGGGAATTCACACAATAAAAATACTAATGCAATGTGCAATATTACACTTAGATTTTTTAATTAGTGGGTAAGATTAAGATATTACTATCGATACAGGTCTGATCCTTTGGGCTTTTATTTAGCCAAGTTGATCAGAGAAAGTTAAGTATCGGTGACCATTTTTTATTGGTTGCACAAAAAGGGAAAAACCCTAGTTTCAAAAAGTCTAACTGGTCAAGCTGTTAACGAAAAGGATTATTGATTAAATACAGAATTTAGTGCAAATTTTTTGAGACGGCACCCAATTTTACCCATAATGCCACATACCTTCTGACACCTCGACAATAATGAGAATCAATCAGGAAAATCGGTCTAAATGCTCTTGTGACACGAAAATGACTCTGTTGACGGATAAGTACAACTATGGCCTCCGCAAACATCACTGTCAAGGTAGTTGTCTGAAACAGAACAGATACGACTAGATCTCATCGATTAATTAACAAGTTTAATATCACAACTTAAAAAGGTCATCTGATTCAAATATAGACGATGCAATCTTGAACAGGTGAGACAAAATTGAACCCATTGAGGATATTATTTGGGCTTCCATGGAACAATATTCTTCTGAAATTATCTTTTTTCTGGAAAGCATCTTAAATTTTTTTCTTCCTAAAATCATGTTGAGGGTACTATCTGAGACTGCTTTGAACTTTGGTGCGTATATTATAATGTAAATATGTGTTTATTTTGGTAAACATTTTCATGGTATTGAAAAAAGAAAATAAACAAACAATGGTTACCTTGACAACAGTCCTCACATGTTTTACAAACTGCTTTACCCCTAACCACTTTAGCCTCATTATGAGCTCAAGTGCGATCACGAACAAACACAGGAGCTCAACTGAACCATGAATCTACAAAATAAAATTTCTCATTATACATTTAAAGGATGATTCTCGGTTTGGAGAACGAAGTTCATCACTCTAATTGAGCGTTATCCCTGCTTCTGACAAATTTGATTTTTTTACATAATATAGATTTGAATGTCTTCTTTTGAATAGTCTTAAATTAATTTGGGTAATATTTCTAGATTTTCCATCAAAAAATTACTAGTGAACCACCCAACGTCGCTTTTATGATTCGTACCACTTTTTTAACTTGATGTATTGCATATTTCCGTGGGTCAATTTGAGAAAAAAGACAAACAAAGCATACAGGGATATGTCATGAGCATATCATGAAAAAATCCTTTCAATATGTTTTTAAGAAACATTCGAAAATAATTCATTCTTAAATCGTGTCCCATTTTCGAGATATTCTTTGACATTTTATACACATTCATCCAATAGAGGGCCTCTCAAAAGAGCGACTTCAGATTTTTGGCATTTTACAAGTCATATATAAAATTGATTAATCATCTATTAATTAGATGTCACCACTTGCTATGAACTATGCTAGTGGTGAATATAAGCTAGTCAATTGCTGTGAGCTGGAGAGGGTGTATTTATATCACTTCTATCCTACCACGTGATTACGTGGTCGATGGGGATTTTCTGCTAATAATACACTGAAAACTGCCTGATGAATCTATACAATATATAGTAGAACACTTGGAATAAACATGTATGTAAAATCTAGTATAAGCTTACATTCAGAAATATGGAAATAAACAAACGTCCTTCCTTTACAGCTTCACTGTAGCCTGTACTCCTTTAAAGGGATACATCAATGAGTTAAAAATAAAAAATCGGTGTGGAGAATGGACGGGGAATCGAAACACAATTCAGCGCGTAGGAGGTGAGGAACTTGCCACAAGATTACGCCTCTTTCTACCTCTCTCTTCCTGATTTAAACCTTAAACTTCGCCCAAGCATCGATCAACGTGGTTATTATAGCTATAAATAACACGTTCATTGTTCAACCAATCTACGAATAAGCCGTTGATGAGAGATAGTCTACAGAGATTAAACAACACTTAGAAACACCTTAGAAAAATGGCGCCCGTATATGATTTTTTGTGTTCTTTTCTGTTTATCAATACAATTTATATTTTGACACGATTGCGATAAAACGTATACCTAGAAATGTATGGCTAATTACCATAAGCGACTGGTAAATGTAAAAGTTGTTTGGTTTATCATATAAGAATCTGTAATAAAACCTCGATTGCCAAAATGAAACCATCGATTTTCAGCAATAAGTTAATCCTTTTTTATGGACATATTGCTACCTACAACCTTTGACATCATTAATCTAGCCAATAATCAGGTTCTTTGATGTACCAAATGATGGCAGGATTTATTGGAAAATAAACAACTTTTTATGTCCCTCATGCAGTATCGCTGAGCGTGAATTGATCACTCAAACTACGGATTTTATTTGCCCAAATAGCCTTGGATAACTGTGGTAACTAAAGTAACTGGAAAATGTAATAACGTTTTCGAACCTTTAGTGACATGAACAAAGGATTTTTAGCTTTTTCGATATAAGCTTAATTAACAATTTTCAGAAATTCACATCAGTTGATTATGCTTTGCCCGCCGCTTAAAAGCGCCATCAAAGCGCCGTTGGTGTGAACTTAGCTTAACAAGTTACTTGGGGGAAGGGGAACAAGGGAGGGGAGTTTGGTAGACATTTCCACCAGAATGATGAAAGTATTCATCGATGTCATATCAAATATTTATGTCATATTGAACATTTATCTCCGCGCTAAAATACCGACGATTGCAAAGGTAGTTTAATCCGGTAGCCGACAGGCGTTTCTTGCATTCGTGAATACAAGCTAGTCCATTTCACTGTTGAATTGCGTCAGTAAAACCTAAAAATTAAGAAATCACAATATCATCATGCAATAATATATGGAAAAATATGTTCCTATTGTACATGAATGACATTTGTATAACTTGGATTGCTTCTAGTTTGGCTTATAAAGTGTGTGGCCTCTTATATATGGATGCTTCTCTGCCATGTTATTTTCAATAAGATTAACATGGCTGAAATTCTTCAAATTACAAGAGGTCACAGTCTTATTGCACAAAAAAACGAGAAAATCTGAAATATACAAATGTCATTCATGTACAATATGAATCTACTTTTCCATATATTATTGCACAATGGTCTCCCGATTTCTTATTTTTGGGGTTCTACTGACGCAATAAAACAGTGAAATGGACTCTAACCTTATATTCGCGAATGCAACTAACGCATCTCGGTTACCTGATTAACCCAGTATTCTATGACTAACTCATTTAAATGTGAATGGAATAGTGGCAGGTACTATTCGTATTTACATGGGTCTCCAGTGAAATAGAAGGTTAATCCGGTAGCCGAAAGGCGTTATTTGCATTCGCAAATATAAGCTAAGACTATGATTTGGGAATGAAAGATTTCATCTACCGGATTAACATACTTTTCTATGGGCAACTCATTTAAATATTAAAAGTACCTGCCAATATTCCATTCATATTTTAATGAATTGCCCATAAAATAGTAGGTTAATCCGGCAGCCGACAGGCGTTAGTGGCATTCGCGAATACAAGATCATTTATTTTATAATTTGGGAAATATATATTTTCACAATATTGAAATAGATGGTGGTTCAAAGTGGAATACATATCATACAAAAGTGTCACAGATATGACTAGCAGGCATATACTTTTAGTATATTAGTCCATTTGTCACCCCTATACATCCAATAGTGAACCTGGAATTTGTTAAAAGTACGATGTTTTATGGTCGATTTATGATAATAAGGGTTTTCTGAAGTGATTTAACTGGGTTGCCGAAAAAGTTTGTTTGGGGAAAAAATTATATAGACTGATTAGGGAGGGGTGCAATCGCTTAACATGGCGTTGACTATTGACTTAGCGTTGGGATACCACCATATACCTGGTATGTTACTATGGTAATAGATACCAAAATTTTCCCCAAAGTTATTTTTTGGCAACCCAGCTAAATCACTCCAATAATCCCTAATGATAGTATTTACACAGAAAAACATCCTACTTTTAAATATTCATACGTTCAGAAAATGACAAATGGACTATATGGTCTTTCTTTGCATGACTTCGTAGAACATATCAAAACCCTGGGATCCACAGGGTAACAGTAACAGTAAGTACATTTCTAAGTTCATGCTTCAAAGTTGTCAAAGTTGTAAAAGGGTAATCCTTTTATGAGTACGAAAGCGTACTTTTTGTTGAATAGCCTTTCCCAGCTGCTAATCTTGTGAGTGCATCGTGCATTCAACGAATTGTATTCACTTATTAACCAATCAGTGCCAGGAACAAAATGCACGCTGACTTGTTTTATGAAGCATGCTAGATACAAATGTTACGCTTTTGCTCATTTACTTTGCGAACTATTTATATAATATACATTATATATGTTATATACTATTTATATAACATACATTACCAATTGACTGCAAGATTTGAGTGAACAAGTACCTCGTATTTTTCATTTTTCGATATTTTGTGATTTGTTGGCTGATGAGTAACTTGATATTTTATGTCTAAATGTATCAAAGTGGTTCATAGTAATAGTTTTATTGTACACCATAAACTGTTAACGTTTTAGAAATAGAACACAATATATGATTTGATAATAGGACAATACATGTAATAATATGTCTAAACTCGGTGGTTTGTTTGTAAGTTTGTTTTTCTAACACCTCAATAACTTACATTCAATGCGTATCTAATCCTCATAATTTACAAATAAATCAGTTATTAAATGCCCGATTTTCGACAGGTAAAGGTAATATATGAACCCTCGGTCCCCACTGTTCCTCTTGTAGATATATTATACATGTATAACCTTCTCAGATATATCCTGTATATTAAATACATTAAATAACATATATATGTTAGTCTCAGCCTAGACAGTATACATTAATTTTATTGGATAATGCGTAAAATTCGAATGAACTTGAAATGAAATTCAACATCCAAAATATGTTAATTTGATCATTCACCGTGTAACTCAAAGCATATGCATGGCCTATTTGCCTTAAAATACGATTGTGATTATGATTTCTGTTCTCCACAAGTAAAATCTAGAAACATAACAGAGTTAAGTTACACGAAATTCAGCTAACTTGAACACGAAGTCTTTCAATTAACTTAAAGTGTCTGTTCGATGCTCATGGGGTCAAAATACAGTTTATACACGTTCTAAATGAAGTAAATACCACTAACATGTCGAACCAGTAACCGTTCTTGTAAACATTTTTATAAAAGTGAAATTTAATGTTCAAAATCGGGAACACAATTTCAAATCTCTATCATGACATCACGAACAGGACGGGTTTAGAATATGTTGTTGGAGTTCATAATCTCCGAACGTGCTTATAAAGTGTTAGTGTAATTGATTGCAACTGCATTCATTGAAGTGAGGAATTGATTCAGAGATGACTACTTTGGAGTCACGTTTTTTCCTCCGATAAACCAAAAAAAAATAATACCTAAATTAGAGCCTCCGACCCAGCGGTACGTTTTCACATAGCTAGTCATGCAGAATTACTTTCTGGCGAAAATAAACACGCTCAGTTGATAGTATTACCTAACATAAGGCGTCTAAAATCTTGTAACCAAAAGGCATTGAACCATGAGGTGATTTCGGTAAGTGTTACTCCTTTCTGGCCAATCAGAACACGGTATAACATGAACACTTTTGAATTTACATTCGAGTTGCATAACGCATTGCCGATAAAAATCCATAACCGGTTCTGTTCGTGACGTCATGTTTTTTCCCGGGAAATCTTATTTTGCCACTAATGAACAAATAGAATGAGTTAAGAGTCTGTTGGAATACTATTTTTACTTACCAATATCTGTTTAATCTACTGCAGTGAGAAAAAATAAACAGAAATTACCGAATAAGCACTTTAATCGTTGATTCATTTCTATAGGTTTATTAGAATTATTACAACGATCGTTCATCAAACGAGTCCTATATTCAATATCTATTCGTTGGACCTATTCTTTAAGTGTAACTTTTAAAAGTATCTGCTTAGTGCTACGTTAACATATATTCATTATTTTTATCCACAAAAGAGTATCAAACGTTAATGCACAACTAGCCGAGACATGGCCCCCCTCGTCCAGAGTGAAACACAAGGTCCTCATTCTTTAATAATTATATTTCAATTATTTAGTTAAATGCTTAAATGTTGGAAAATGAGTCGCTGTGACGTCATATCTGGCACAGCAATTTCAGAGTCACTGCAATGAATAGAAACATCACAAGGATCTTAAGACTAAATAAATAAGCTATTTAGGGATGAATATAACATTCGGTGAAATCCGTGATATCGTTATATCATTCGTTGATTGTCAAAGCTGCGCCCATTCGCTACCCTCATCTGTGAAACTATCGATATAGAATTGAGTCTCTATTTTCTATTTCAAAACATTGGGATTTACGCGCACAAGAGATGCTATGTAGTAGGCTATTACAAAAATCAAAAAATCGCCACCAAAATTCCTCGGAGCAGGCAGATATAAGACCAGACTGGGCATACACAAAATGTATTGTATGTGCTCCTTAGGTTGCACTCGGGTGCTATCAAAATCGAACACACACAAGTATAAGATACACAGCATCATGATAAACCATGACATCTCATTTCTTCTCAGCCCTGAGATGTTTCAGGTGAAACAGAAAGATGCTATGAGTATCAGAATGGATACACAGAGATAATTAAGGGATGAGTGACAAAGGGATGTTAAAAACAGGCGGCTATTGCAATTGATATTTTAATGTAACTTCCGAATGTAAGAATCTTTTCATCGATAAAAAGAACATCTTAGATATGTTCTTTGTGAGTGTATTTGAAAATGTAGTACATAGCTAGTTCCATCTATAAAGATGTCTGATGACAAAAAGCTCAATTTTCCTTGATGTCACGGTCAATGGAACTTTAACACGTGAACTAATGTTTTTTATTTTTTTGTTTTAAAGTCACTTATAGCAAACCTAATCTAACAATTATCTCACGATATGCTTATGACATATTCATGTATACGTCGTTTGTATTTTTTTTTAAATCGACCCACGAAAATATGCAATACATCAAGTTAAAAAAGTGGTACGAATCATAGAAGCGACGTTGGGTGGTTCACTAGTAATTTTTTATGGAAAATCTAGAAATATTACCCAAATTAATTTATGTCTATTCAAAAGAAGACATTCAAATCTATATTATGTAAAAAAATCAAATTTGTCCGAAGCAGGGATAGCGCTCAATTAGAGTGATGAACTTCGTTCTCCAAACCGAGAATCATCCTTTGGTTTAATGAAATGCACAATTCAAAGACCCCCCCCCACCTTACCCTCCCTGTATGAGGGGGTAAGGATGGGGGGGGTGGTCTCATGCAAATCTTTAAATGGTGCATAACATAATACAAACCAAATAGACTTGTGAGTGCTAAGACAACCATTTTATAATTAGCTTGAGAAAAGTGTCCGCATGATATAAAAGTTTCACCGAATTACATAAATGTTTTCATAAATGTTTTCTAAATAATTCAACTGATTAATAATTCAACTGATTCAAATTATAAACAAACATAAATATTTGACAAACTCACCCATACTGGTACTTTGAACAAGGGTACTGCTGGTCGTTCGATCAACGCTAAGCTTAGCAGCAAAGTTGATGCAAGGAAATCTACGATGTAAAACCAAGTACGATGCGTGAGTAAATAAATAGGAAGTGCATTCTGGGATTGCGGATGCGTCTCGAATTTATCATTATTATAACCTTCCTCGAGATATATCGCAGCTTCTTGGTAGTTCAGGCTCCAATGGTGCTGTCGTTGTTCGGGGGAATCGTCAGAATCCTCATTGGCTGGTATATCTGTCGCCATATTGCTGGCCTCGTTGGCAACATCTTGCTCATCTGTAAACAGTAGGTGCATTATGGGTGATTTATATTGTAGTTTTACCTAGCCTATTGCTTGGTTTTCATACATCATTGAAACGGTACATTGTCCAACAGGAACATATTTAGTAGACTACATATAAATTAAAATTTATATTTTATAATTTATATGTTAATCAAAAATGAGTTATTGCAAAATGCAAATCAAAACAAAATCATAATATTAAACAATTATATATACAGCAAAAATAACAAATCAAGCAAAATCTAGCATCACATTGTCATTAGAATTTTTCAACAACAGGCAAAAAATTAATACAATATTACGTAAAATTATAAAATTGCCCAATGCCTGTGGCGGCAACAATACTCCAGATTTAACAACATTGCACATTTTGCTATCAAGGAAATTCCTTACCGTGAAATTGTTCGTATTGAACCAATCTTGTCGATCCCATCGTGATATTCTCATAAATATCTTACAGCATTGTAATTCTAATTATGCAGCCCTTTGGTGCTAATCTTTATGAGTACTTTGTCACCAACTCCAACAGAATATGCATTGACTGATGGTCATATTTGTTTATGTTAGTATCTTTAATATGTAAAATTGTAGTATTACATAATAACTAGCTCGCACTATTAAATCCTGTATATAATATCCATAAAAATCTAATATAAGTTAGTAGTCTTATAATATGATTATGTAGTAATCATAATCGTGGTGTTATATGCAAATTGCATGAGTCTTTGTATTCTTATCACACATTGATACGCTGTGTTTTCAGTTCTATGACATGCAACTTCATAAGCATCATCTCCACTGAAGCGAAGCCTTTACCATTTTAGTTAAATCCTTACTGAATGATAAAGTATTCTACAAAAAATGAAAATTACGCAAAAATAAATAAATAATATTATAAGCATACATGTATATAGCACCTCTATGGATACCCACACCATGGGCTTTCAATTAGAATTCCATTTTTTATTAAATTATCAACATGTATGTAGATAATCATGTTTTTATTTTTGAGTTATTTATTAAAATCATCCATAAAAAGGACAAAATAAGATTTTCTTGGAATGTGTACATTCTCCAATTTTGAAAACCCAAAGGCAATGCTTATGTATGAAATATGGGAAGTTGCCTACCCTTCTAGTTGAAAGCCAATGCCCACACTAACACTTATATTGAATATGCGTACATATTTTAGACTTCAAGTCTTTATAACAAAATGGATGAACTTCCATCAGAGAAAATTTTTATTTTCATCATTTTAATCAAGAAAGAGGTCAATTTGTATTCAAATATATTTTACCCTTATGTAATACATGAGCTCTATCGATCAGGTGGTAGAGCCCATGGTTAATAGTATCATCTGTAAGGTGAATCATTCATGAGTATACACATCCAAGGAGGTCAGTTGAGTGAGAATTCCTCACTTCAACAATAGACAATAACACAAAGCAACCAAGACGTTGTGGAATTCACCAGATAACGTCCAGGTTGCTGAAGTGAATTCTCACACAATAATTGGAGCTGTTGGATGTATTTGCTCGTGACTCACTAGCTTTTCAGTAACTGAATGTCACTACCTCACATACGTAAAATATCTGGAAACAAATTGAACTCTTTTTCTTGGTGAAAATGATGACGTCTGTTTTTATATTCGGAGTGGCTCCAGGACCGACAATTGTCGGTACTGGAGACTGTCCAGGGGTATTTGCTGGGGTACCGACAATTGTCGGCACTCTATCGTCACCTAGTAGTGCCAGATAGAGAACCGACAATTGTCGGTACGCAAGTGGCTGCTACGTGTTTTTGCTAGAGAGCCGACAATTTCATAAATAAATCCACTACTTTTACTAGAGATAACCTCATCACTGGTAGTCTAGTGGTTAGCGAGCACGACTCGAACACGCTCGGTCCCGAGTTCGAATCCCGGCAGGAACTATTTTTTTCTTTTGAGGGGGAGGCATAGTGCTTCTTTTGCAGTATGGAATCGTACAGGCATTAACTTGTAGTGAGCCATAATTTATTTCGACAAAAATTGATTCAACTTCCATCAAAATTGTCCTACAAGCTTCAATTAAAAAACATTTTAAAGCTCTTTTCTTCTTCTATCTAATGGGTCGATATATACAGTTAGGGGAGGGGATGCTTTTGCCCCCGTCGACCTCTACCCTTACTACGCCATGGCACAGGAGAAATATCTCATTTGGAATATATCACTGTTTACTTTGCGTTTGGTAGCTCTCTCATTCGAGATGGAATCGTGGCCATTAACTAAGTGAGCCAAATGCAACTTCCATCAAAAATTGTGCTATACGGTATGAGTACCGTAATCCAACACCAAATTCGAAAATTCATAACAATACTTTGCACATATGGCGTTCATGACCAACTATGAAACGCTTACCCCCCATAGTGTTATATATCAAAATGCACCTGTCCATATAGGGGTTCAATTGACCTACATCAAATTATAGGGAGTCAGGTTACTTTTTGAGATATCAGCGTCCGTTTATTGTAACTCGCGTTTGCTACCACTTCCTCAATTCTGATATGACGGGCAAACGCGCAGTAAACATGCTCACGTTCGGAACTATTTTGACCTACATCGCTATTTTCGTAATTCAAATGAAAGTTGAACTCCTCTTTATTTTGATACCAAATAGTGGCATAGTAGGTACCCTAGAAGCCAACTATGGGTTATTTAGAACGATACCACAGGTTTTTAAATGGACTATATATACCTTTTGGCGGATGGATATGGAACCTCATACCATACGATAAGCTTCAAATAAAAAACATTCTTGCTATTTTCTTCTATCTAATGGGTAGCAAACGCCCCTTTCTACGCCTGATCGGCTCAGGAGAAATATCCTGTCTGTTTAGAATATATATAGCCGTTTACTCTGCATTAATAGCTCTCTAACGTCTTACTTGTTCATGATTTTGCACCTGTTCCCAAAATATCCGTATGATATCTGAAATATCCCCCCGCGCATTGCCCATGCGCCAGAAAATTCGAAAATCAATATTTGTCGGTCCTTTAGCGTGTAAACACAGCATATCTCCCGTACCGACAATTTATTTGTCGGTCCTCTAGCGTGCCACCACATCAGAGTCTAGAGTACCGAATTGTCGGTACTCTAGCCTTTACGTTTTATATTTGCTATTGTCTGGCCCAAATCTACGTCGGGAGCAGATGAATCCCGTGAGATAAATGAGCCAGACGGGTTTGGTAAAACACAGGAACTTGAAGCACTATGATATGAGATGCTTATGAGATCTGAGTCATATACATAAGCATCTCATATCATAGTGCTACAAGTTCCTGTGTGGTAAAATTGAAATCAAATCAGATTGAGAAATAATTTTTATTTTTGAAAAAAGTAAACATTTGTTTTGAAGTACAGTTTACAGCTTACGTGGTCAATAAATCCAGGCAATAATTATACAAAACATGCATACATAAGTAAGCTCTATTTAAAATGTAAGATACATATCATCTTTACTCACAACTTGTAGTTAGCCAAGTAAATGCTGACAAAAGTGGGGTTCTTGAATTTGCCATTTTAGATCTCGCGGGTGGACAATTCACGCGAGAGTTGAACGAGTCTTGAAATATAGGTCAAAAGTAGTTCACATAGTTACAGCGTAAGAATATATATGATGAATTATTTTGATGTATCAATAGATAATCTATGAAATGAGTGTTTTTATATCAACATAATATGTAAAAGTAAATTTTATGATGATCCGCTTCATTTTTTGAACAAATCCATGTTTTTCAATCAATGTATTCAGAGAATTATTTGTTGTTATGTGCGCAATAATATTAAATAAACAGGAGTTGCAGGGCACATTTGAGAAATAACCAGTGAAGTATTACTCTTAAAATTATGGATATTATAGCATTTTTAGCTGATGTTCATTCAAAAAATTAATTCCTCGGAATAAATAACATTATATAGTAAATACTGGATACATTTATTACAGTTTCAAATTGGTTTATAGGCCAATTTTTCTTCAAGAAAAGTTGCACATTTTGATTTTGTCAAAAAAATAAAAATCCAAGATGGCTACAATGACTGAAGTCCAGCCAGTGGAGGTGGTCCAAATGAGAATTCAACAGCGTTCAAATCATGCAATGTCACAGAATAAACAGCGTCAACGTGCGATCAAACTTGATCCATTGCGTGCCCTTGAGCCAGCAAGGAAAAAATTGACAACAGTGGAATCGCAGAGAATCTTAACTGTCCTCGAGGAGACGATTAAACGCTCGGAAATGATCACGATTTTGCCATATTTGATGGACAATATGGATCGATTTGCAATTGTACTTGGAAATGAACTTGTCAACATGTTGAAAACACATAGAGTTATGCTTGACAGTTACAAAGACTTGAAAAGTAACACAGAACGCTTGATAAAGAAAAAGGACAGAAAAGGCTCCCCTAAACTTAAAGATGATGGGAGTAGAGCCAGCAGTGCAAGTAGTATTGGATCTTCAAGATCAATCGATGATAGGCTTGAAAGCTCCATTCATAATTTACATCTTGTCGCCAATCAAATCACACAATCTTGCAAGAACATACTCCGAGCATTCAGTCTAAACCCCTCGGCTGTGAACACATTGCGTGGAGAAAAGTCTTGGAGAAGTATCGATGCCAGAACACTTATCGGAACGATGTCTGAATTGAAAGAAATTATCCTTGAGAAGCTTCTTACAACACCCGTTGAGGAACTTGAGAAGCAGAAATACTTAGAACAGATCACTGATCGTGAACGACAAAATGCAACAGTTATTCATAAACTAGAGGCTGAATTGGCAGCTGCAGAGGAAGATAAAGAGTCTGAGGTAAGTTAATGAATCACTTTTAAAGAAATATATGACCAAAATTATAATTCTGTTATTGAAGTTGTTGTCACATATTCTTTTGAATTTTTTCCCAGTAATACCTTTTGTCATTATAATTCAGTATGTTTACCATTTCACATGAATTATTAAATGAAATGTTTGTGATATTAATTTTGTCCCTGTAATAATCCTTGTCAGTAGAATAACTATAATCCAAAATGTTACAATTCACATGAATTACATGAAATAATTATATGCCAAATATTCTCATTTATAGATAAAGAAAAAGAATGATGTCATCCGTAAGCTCCAAGCAGACCTCTTCCAAATCGACAAATTCTCCCAAGAACATATTAGACGCACAAAGCAAGAGGCGGAGAAACAGGAATCGGCAGATGTTAAAAATAGCGAGGGTAAAAAACAGAAGCTTACACAAGAGGTGAATCAGCTGTCTACACAAATGGCAAACCTTGTGACAGAGCATCGTGAACATGAGCAGAGTTTAAGAAAGGTAAAATTATATTGTCCATTAAAAGGCTTTGTCTCTACAATACACCAAAAACACATACGGTAACAGCTTGCAGTTTACCATATCAGTATCAACAGACATAGGTAGCATTGTCGAATCCACCGGACAGTTGACGATTTAACCTACTGTACTATTTTATGGCCAACTCATTTACTTAAATATGAATAGTACTTGCCACTCTTCAGTTCATATTTCAATGTCAAAAAATGATTAAAAATGCTTTGCTTTATTCGTTGCTACATTTTAATTACATAATTGTTATGTATTGTTGTTCTATTTATACAGAGAAAATACAAGATAGAAACAGAAGTAGAAAACTGGATCCAGAAATATGATCAGGATATGGGTGAAAGACAAGTAAGTTATGGTTTAAGAAACCTCATCATTTGAAAGGCCCCTTGTGAAGTTTGAAAATATGTTTTTATCATTTATTAAGTATTTTTCATGACTGAAAAAGTTACTTTAAAGAGTTGGGATTTTTTATTATTGTTTAAGATTACCTCACCATTTTTACCTTTTACTTATTTTGGTTTTCATTGGCTTCTAGAAATGTTTTCACTGATAGTGGTATGCATATTCTTTGTAAATGTGTTTTGGTATTTCAAAAATGTTTCATGTAAAAATACTGATAAGATTGATATTGTATGGCTTTACAAATAAGCCAATAATTTAAAAAAATATGATGAAGACATGACACCTTTACTCAAAAAGACAGGAAGCATCTACTCAAAAAGACATGACACTCATACTCAATATATATATAGACAAAATGATTACTATTCTAGTAGTTGTCCAAGTCAAAGACTGTACATTATTCCTCCTCTCATATATTTCAGAAGTTTTTTGTTTAATTCATTTGTTAATCAAAATTTCATTCATAATTAAGATTGAAACACTGATACTTTTCCCTATTGGAAATATTGAAAATATATTCCCTATCGAATCATTCTTGACAGTTTCTGCAAGTTGATTATTTGTTATACTTCAAATGTTCATGTACTCTGATTGTGATAACTCCACATTTGATGCCATTTTGGGATTACTGACGAAAACGAAATACAGATTAGACTCTCACTTAATCAGTACCTACAGGCCCCTAGCCAGAATTTGCCAAAGGGGGGGTTCAGTTTTCAAAAAGATTTCCAGGGGGGGTTCACATTTGACAATTTTTTCACTTGAGAAGTGCTCAAAATGGTGAAAAACTGCATGATTTTGAAAGAATTTTTGGCCAGGGGGGGATTCGCCCGAACCCTGCGAACCCCACCCCTGGCTACGGGCCTGACCTACTACACTTGATCTCTTCTGTAATCTCAAAAATGATTGAAGTATAACAAAATTATGAGAAAAAATACGATTTTTTTTCAGGATGAATTTGAAGAAATTGATGCTGTTTATACTGAGGAGAAAAAGCAACTGAATGAACTTGAAGAGAGATTCAAAACATTAGAGGCAGAGTATAATAGTATAATGGAGGAGAGACGGATTTCTAGGGAACGTCGTGAAGCCCAAGAAAGAGAAATGCAAGCTGCCGTCAAAGCTGCAACAACCATCCAAGCATACTGGAGATCATTCAAAGTTCGTAAAGCACTCAAAGCACGCAAGAAAGGAAAGAAAGGCAAAGGAAAGAAAGGGAAAAAATAGATATGAACATATAATTTTTGAGAGACTTTTAGTTTCAAGTGTAAAGTAGCCAAACATGATCTGTATTTATTTCGGGGAAATATGAGAAATACTGTAAAACCTAAGTGAAACACCTTTGGTACCTCTAAAAGTGTTCCACTAATAGAGGTTCATTTAACATTAAGCCAAATGGTCTTGGGACTCTGAAAAGTTTTCCACTTATTCCATCTCCCAAAATCAATGTTCTCATGCATTCAATTTTCTTCTCACATTTTATGACAATATTTGGTCAGTGTCAAAAATGCCAGTTTTTGCGAATTTTTCCAGTTGGTGCAAAAAAGTTTTAAGGGTGGGTAGAACCTCTTTAAATCTTGAGTCCAAAATTCACTAGGTTCATGTTAGCCATTTTCTTTACCTGGATGTAAAAATCGTAACAGATAAATGATACCAAAATTCTTCTATAATCCCAAAATATTTTAGTTCAAAATGAAATGGAATTTACCAAGACAATATAATTGGGTATGAAATAAATCTTTTCCAAAACTCTGAGAGGTTAAAAATCAAATCGGTCATATGAAAATGAAATATTGCCATTTAAAATTATAAATGTGCAATAGTTAATTCAATTTAGACCTTGTTCTACTGCTCACTGGAGGAGAATTGTTTCAAGCTATATTTCCCTAAATAATGAATTTGGCCAAATCTATAGATTCTAAGTTATGTAGCATATTGAATGTGAAATATTGAGGATGAGATATACAGCTATTAACCCGTGAATTGTGTAAAATGCTTAAATATTTGTTGGAATTTTATAGGAAAAAATAACTTCAAAATTAGTTTTGTGATATCCAAGCATTAAAAGAATCTGAGCAAAGGTTTCCCTTAATGTTCACATTCAATGTAAATTTCATTTTAAGAGCCCAATATTTCAAAACCTGAAATGATTTTGGGACAAAATGTTATTGTTTTAATATATGATGCTGGAAATTAACATTGTGTAAATGTTCTGTAATATAAAATATGCCAAGTACATGTATAATGTATATAATACTGTAAATAAATCATTATATGAGTTTAAAATGTTTTTTACATATGGTTGTATAAAGGATGCAGTGATAATGAAATCCTCAAATGAGCTGATAACCAACACCTAAATAGTAGAGTTCTTGTACAGTTAAACCTGCCTTAGTGAACACAATTCTCTCGTGAACACACGTGTCTAAGATATAATTTGCATAAATAAAACACAAAGTGCTCATCAATCATCAATACTTCCTCCCAAGATACATCATCAGTATCCTCGGATTTCGGGGGCTACGGAATGGGACTTTGCCCCTGGTCTGACTATATCCGATTATTATTTCGAAAGTGCCCCCAGCAGAGGTTAAACCTCCACTTGTATCTCTAACGGTTGCCCTAGATGGTATTTTCCTACTGCATACGAAGATACCGTGGTTTTGTAAAAACTCCTCGTTTGGTGTTATGTTTGGTAGATGTTTTAAAGCATTTAGAATTTTCCAAGGAACAAAATTGAAAATTGATCCAATATTATTTGAGTTATGCGCTCATGTTAAACATCCTTTAATTCCATGATAAAGAAAATCTGACGATGGCCTTAACTATTTTCAATACATGGCGAAGAACGCAACGGTCTTTATAATTGAATATTTAATAAACGATTAAATAAGCCTTCAAAAATTCTCAAGATAAATTTCAATTGAAATATCTAAAACATTGCGCTGTTGGAATTCAACTTTTAACATGTTAAGTAAAATAATGAAGAGATGCGGATCTCATAGATTTTAATTTTGACATGTCGAAGTGCCTGGCTCAATACCGCTATATATCAAAGATCTTTATAAACAATGTGTTGGAAGTTTATGGATATGTCGTCGAGAAAAGATTATGCGGGAAACATGATGGCAACGAACACACGTTGCAAAAATGCCATAAAGATGTTTATTTCTAGAATAGAGTCTTATTGAAATTGAATAAATACGAAACAAGGAATTTGTCAGACCAAAAACTAATCACATCTAAACTTTCACACTACGAAACACCCCTAAACATTTCAAATCAATCAATCCATCAAACTTGTTGGCTTGAAAAATGTAGACAAGACTTTGTTACAGACACGATTTCAGGGCGGAAAATCCTAAATGTCCGCCGTAACATTACAGAGACCCAGAAACTATTAGTTTGAAACATCCCTAAATAATTTTAATCAATCTGTCAAATGGTCCGCAGGGAAACGGGTGAACAAATAGCTAAACACATTTTTTAAATAAAGGATTTATCTCTAATGATGTTTTAATAGACGTTCTTCGGTTCCTTTTAGTTTTCACCATTTACTCACTCCATATTTCGAATTGAAACTTCATTTCTCTCACACTGTACCTTTTGCATTCGTTCGATTTCGCTTCGTAGTTTATAACTAGACTCTGCACACAGGGTATAGTCACACTCAAGGAGGATTGGCTCCCAGAATGCAACACCGATATTCTGCAAAACAATCACCTAGCGATAGCTTTGTTGGAGAGTATCGGGTCATTCTCCATGCAGTCGTACAAATTATACAGACACGAATAGCAAATGACGCATGCGTGGAGATTAAAGAATATCGAGTTGGAACCCTGGCTTCCAATCCTCCTTGGTCACACTGGTGAAAATGAGCAAACGGAGAAAACAAGGGCGAACGGAGGGGCATCCGTTTTGATACGAGGAAAATTGACATGCTGTACCTGATTATAGGCGTCTTCAACTATAGCTTTCAAAAGTTCAGTATTATCATTTACGTTTGATTCATCCAAGTTGGGAATAAAATGTTTCAGTGTGTCAGAAAGTGAACGTGGACGTATTTTTCCTTTCCATATATTGTTCATGCGTTAGAGGATATGCTAGTAAGTAGTTTAACTGTTTAAGAGACTAAGTACATGCCCAATATTAGACATTTTATCCATTTCTTTCCGTCCTGTCAAATATTTATCGATAAAACGATGATAGCGGGTCTTTCTTTGCGGTACATTGTACATGTGCATTGTATGTTGTCTCAAGCCGAGTCTGGTTCATCCTCATTGCTCGTGTATATTCGTAGTTAAGCTAACCTCATGAATCAAGATTTCAAAATTTATGATATTATGACAGAGCAAAATGCACATATGATGTACAGTGGCGGTAGCGTGTGTGTTTTGTAAGTGTACGCAACAAGTGAGCAAAGCGAATGAGCTTTTAGGGGGAACGAAAATTCGAAAATGGGATTGCATTTGAACCGTTCTGGTGGTTTCAAAACACGAAATTACGACTAATATGGACTAATAAATATAGATTATTGGCCATTTTTATCCAAAATTTAATTACATAAACCCTTTTTTTAAACAACTTCTCTCTAAATTTTGAGAGTACGCCCGCGTTTTATGCGTATATTACGCTGCGCCTGTGAAGTAAAAGTAATATTTATGGGAGAAAATGCATATATCGAGTGTCCCAAAAAAGTGAGCCGCTTTTTGACAAGTACTTTCTCAGCAATAGATGATCGAATTCATTGAAAATCTCTATAAAGTACCCTTACTGTATCATTGGCAAGTGGTTCAAATATGAAAGAGATATATCGTAATGGCAAATTCAAAAATGCATGTAAAAAAATCCAAAAGCTGCGCAATGAAACCTTCGTAGCGTTTGTGCCAGCTAGCAGGTGATAGCAACTGTCAATCGTTTTGTCTGTTACCCTTTGCATTCGTTGACTACGCTTCTTAGAAGAGAGCTTCGTCTTCGTAGTTTATAACTAGACTCTGCGCACAGACAAGTACCCTGAAATTGTTTACCGAGGACTTTTAAGGTATTATTAGCAAGTGTTATAAAGAGATCCCATTCTGTCCAAAATTTAACAATAATCACACAATATGTGACTGGTCTCTTTTATATTATTCATATCACTTGCTAATCGTACCCTATAATTCATCAATAAAATTTTTCAAACATTTCGGCATATCTATTGATGAGAAAACGACTGAAATGGGTTGACTTTTCCGTTGTTATTGGATATTTTTGCAGGATGCTTTTAACTTGACAAAACTCAAATTATATGTCACTGATCTCTTGATATTTATAAAACTTTTTAATAATACCCCGAAAGTCCTCGGTAAACAATTTCAAAGAATTAGAGCTAATTAGGCTTATCTTTTGCTGAGAAAATACTTGCCAAAAGCGGCTCACTTTTGGGACACCCGATCATATATATGCGGGCCCGCGTTGCACGCATTTAAGAAACAGCACTTGATTTCTACATCATTTCAAAGGTACATGTAAGTAAGAACATGAAGGGTTCAAAACTTATCATGGTCGGTATTTTCTTGCTTTCTCGAGATGCGATAGCAACAGAAGGACCAGAACCATGCTCAACGAAGACACCATGCATGGACACGACACCCACTAACTTCACCGTTTATAAGAAGACATTCTCTTTGATATCCGAAGGCCCGGCCATAAGCCACTTCAACAGAACAGATCTCTTTCATAACTTCTTCAAACGTGTAGGAATCACTTCCCGTTCGGATATCATCAAAAAAGGTATTTATAATATATATATATATCCCACCACATTTTCTCATTTGGAAAAATGCTTATGCTACTATATTTATCATGTTCAGCCTAATTTTATCATCAACATTTGATATCTTCCAAATTAGGCTTGCTATGCAATTCTACCCTTGACAGTTCAGGAAAACAAGATCCGAAAAATTAGTTTAGACAGATTGATTGTTTAATCATCACAAGGACCTTAGAAATATCATACAGGGTGTCCAAAACAACAGGACCGGAGGAAAGTTGAATAATCTGATCAATTTCCCATATTTTACCTTGAAATTAATGTGAATTTTGTTGTGAAAGATAATCTACCCACTGAGTCAAAACTACAGTTCTTAACAAAACAAGCTCCAAATGGGCACGTCTGCAGTCATCTTCGAATCAATAGGGACCGATGATTCCATGTTTGCGTATTGCAACTCAGGCAGTGCATTTTTCAGAATGCGAAGGACGCTGTATCACTTCTTCAGGGGGATGTAAGCCCCAGTAGCAGCTGTTCTTGAAATCAACTTGTCCATTCAAAAGGAAATGTGCGTAGGAGGGTCACCAACAACTTCGTTCGCCTATAGAGGTTAGGTAGAGGTGCCCACTTGGAGCATGTTTTGTAAAGTGCTATAGCTTTTTTAATGGGCAGATTACCATCAAACTTTCACAACAATGAAATTCACATGGAACGAACTAAATAATTCTGAACTTTCAAGGTAGAATATACAAAATAGACCGAGTCATTCAACCTTTCGTCGGTCCTGTTTCTTTGGACACCCTGTACATATGTTGAGAAAATAGTAATGGTCAAACATGTCAAAGATATTAATTGCCTGATATCACTTGTCATTTTATACATTGTCCTGTTTAAATCATTAGTTTGTGTCCATCCACATACACTTGCCCGTAGCCAGCTTTTACCAGGAGTGGGAGCTTTTTTCCTAGGGGGAGCTTTTTCACAATTTTGGCTAAATATCATGCGAAAAATTCTCAGAATGGTGAAAAACTGCATGATTTTGAAAGAATTTCTGGCCAGGGGGGGGGGGCTTCCGCTCCCCAGCTCCCCTTCTGGCTACGGGCCTGACATATTCTCACTGGGTGATTAGAGTGGGGCCGCCATACAAACACATCTCTCTTATTACCCACACCTGTGTGTCCATCATTTTCAATATCATGTCCAAGGGGCATGGCTGACTTATAAACTCTGGATGTAAGACATGCAAATAGCTGAGCTTGATGTACAAATTAGAGGTTACTTGTTTTATTTAAAGGCAGAGAATTTGTCACCAATATGAAAGAGAAATACGGAGTGGATTTGAGTGGTTTAACAGATACGCAACTATATCTTGGTGAGACCGTTGATATGGGTGACTTCCCATTCCTTCCAGTTGTATTTGAAAGTACAATGCGAGTTATAACCGAAACAACACCAACACAGGCTAGCTATTACAGGAATGCCAAGGCATATATGGCAGGGTACAGACTGCACCCAAAGAAATCAATGTCATTGTCTTGTGGTAAGTAAATAACTTAATTTAAATGAAAATACAGTACACGTGAATCAATTTAAACATAAATATTCCAAAAGAAAGTTTGTACAAAATATGAGAAATTTTACAGAAGCTGCAAAATCTGATGCAAATCTTGCTTCATATTTAGCAGAAACGTCTACACATTGTTATAACTGCAAACTCTGAGGCGAATCTTGCTTCATATTTAGCGAAACGTATACACAATCTGAGGCGTATCGCTTCATATTTAGCAGAAACATCAACACATTGTTATGACTGCAAAATCTTATGCGAATCTTGCTTCATATTCAGCTGAAACGTCTACACATTGTGATGACTGCAAAATCGGAGGCAAATCTTGCTTCATATTTAGCGAAACGTATACGCAATCTGAGGCGTATCACTTCATATTTAGCAGAAACATCAACACATTGTTATGACTGCAAAATCTGATGCGAATCTTGCTTCATATTCAGCTGAAACATCTACACATTGTTAAAACTGCAAAATCCGAGGCAAAACTTGCTTCATACTTAGCAGAAACGTCTACATATCGTAACTGCAAAATTTAAGGCAAATCCTGCTTCATATTTAGCAGAAACGTCTACATATTGTGATAACTGCACAATCTAAGGCAAATCTTGCTTCATATTGAGCAGAAACGTCTAGATATCGTGATAACTGCAAAATCTAAGGCAAATCTTGCTTCATATTAAGCAGAAACGTCTACATATTGTGATAATTGCAAAATCTAAGGCAAATCTTGCTTCATATTGAGCAGAAACGTCTACATATTGTGATAACTGCAAAATCTAAGGCAAATCCTGCTTCATATTTAGCAGAAACGTCTACATATTGTGATAACTGCACAATCTAAGGCAAATCTTGCTTCATATTAAGCAGAAACGTCTACATATTGTGATAACTGCAAAATCTAAGGCAAATCTTGCTTCATATTGAGCAGAAACGTCTACATATTGTGATAACTGCAAAATCTAAGGCAAATCTTGCTTCATATTCAGCTGAAACATCCACACATTGTTACAACTTCAAAATCCGAGGCAAAACTTGCTTCATACTTAGCAGAAACTTCTCCACATTGTTATAACTGCAAACTCTGAGGCGAATCTTGCTTCATATTTAGCAAAAACGTCTACACATTGTGATGACTGAAAATCTGAGGCAAATCTTGCTTCATATTTAGCTGATCTTATGAAATGTCTACACATTGTTAAAACTGCAAAATCTGAGGCGAATCTTGCTTCATATTTAGCTGAAACATCTACACATTGTTAAAACTGCAAAATCCGAGGCAAAACTTGCTTCATATTTAGCAGTAACGTCTACATATCGTGATAAATGCAAAATCTAAGGCAAATCTTGCTTCATATTTAGCAGCAACGTCTACATATCGTGATAACTGCAAAATCTAAGGCAAATCTTGCTTCATATTTAGCAGAAACGTCTACATATTGTGATAACTGCAAAATCTAAGGCAAATCTTGCTTCATATTGAGCAGAAACGTCTACATATTGTGATAACTGCAAAATCTAAGGCAAATCTTGCTTCATATTTAGCAGAAACGTCTACATATTGTAATAACTGCAAAATCTAAGGCAAATCCTGCTTCATATTTAGCAGAAACGTCTACATATTGTGATAACTGCACAATCTAAGGCAAATCTTGCTTCGTATTTAGCAGAAACATCTAAACATTGTGATTAACTTCAATGTCTAAAAATGTCAAGCAAATCTATGCTACCATATTTTCTACATATTTTAGAATAAAAGTGGTGTCCTGCACTTTGCAAAATATTTTCAAAGTTTATAAATTGTTATTATTGTCCATCAATGAACGAAGCCAGTTTTAGGCATACAGTTGAATATGAAATACTTTTTGATCGATCAAAAATGATATCCCAATGAAGAAATATGCATATATATTTACATGCAGGATCCTGGAAAGGCGCAATTTCAAAGGATTCTGCCCTATGGGTTTCTTGGATGGTGTTAGAAACAAACGAAGATTGTGAATCCAGTACAGAGCCTGATGTATATACAGTTTTCCAAGCTGCCCCTGACGTTATGATGGATGGTCTGTATCCAATCGTGTCTGAGATATACTCAGATAAATATGGTATGGGGAAAGTGCATGGAATATCAGTATCTCGACGAGCATCTCAACATCTTGATGAGTTTGGTGTTTATGCGTTGGCCATTATAATAAGATTTCCAATGTAAACAATCTGTGTATTCATTATAAATATCAATATTGCTTGAATTTAGAACTAAAATCCGATTCATAATTCCATTGAGCACTTTGAATCTAGAAAAAATCTGGCAATCAAAGGACCATATTGAAACAGTGTATGAAAAATAGAAACTTTTTTTTTGTAGCTTGGCTATCGTATGTGTGGCCTCTTATATTTTGATGCTTCTCTGCCATGTTATTTTTTTCTATTGTATGCATGCTTACATAAGGGTTATGTACTGTGAGGTTTTGGATAAAGGGTTTATCCCAAGGGAAATATGTGTATCTCCTGAGGGACCGCACATCATACCTTACCCTACTATCACACCAAACTAGTTTTCACTACGTTCTCGAAAACGGGCTTCAACTGTGTACGAACGGACTGGACGTACTTAGAACCGTTTGAGGTCTATTTACAAACTTCATCGAACGCACTCGAACGGGTAGGTCCCCTAGAACTTATTCCAAACGGTGTAATAAGGCTGGTATATACGTACACGTACATGCACATGTGTTCTATTTGGAAGAAACTTCCATTACGCAGTTATTTCAGATATTCCAAACAGTGTAATAAGGCTGGTATATACATGCACATGTGTTCTATTTGGAAGAAACTTCCATTACGCAGTAATTTCAGATGTTCCAAACAGTGTAATAAAGCTTGTATATACATGCACATGTGTTCTATTTGGGAGGAACTTCCATTACCCAGTAATTCCAGATATTCCAAGCAGTGTAATAAGGCTGGTATATACATGCACATGTGTTCTATTTGGAAGAAACTTCCATTACGCAGTAATTTCAGATATTCCAACCAGTGTAATAAGGCTGGGATATACATGGACATGTGTTCTATTTGGAAGAAACTTCCATTACGCAGTAATTTCAGATATTCCAAACAGTGTAATAAGGCTGGGATATACATGCATATGTGTTCTATTTGGAAGACACTTCCATTACGCAGTAATTTCAGATATTCCAAACAGCGTAGTAAGGCTGGGATATACATGCACATGTGTTCCATTTGGGGAAAAAATTGGTTCATTACAAATAATCTCATGATTACAAGAAGGTACTGAGTTTTAATCCGTACATGCATCCTTTGGAAGGAACTCCCTTTTTAGTTAACTATTGGACGATTCCGATTTTGCCAGCATTCATACGTTGGCCATTTGACATCCTCACAACCTTCAAAGGTTACATATACTTGTATTATATTTACATCAATATTGCAGTGTTGGGCTTCATTTTAAGACAATATGTTACCATATGCAAATATGTGATGTCGTCGAGAAAACAGCATACGGGATGCCACAAGTGACATATAGTGACATAAATTGCAAAATATCTTTATGATGGTTATTTCTAATGCAGGGAAGTTGTTATTTTATTTGATCGCGAATTTGGGACTCACAGTGCACAGTAAACCGACCGAACGCAGCTACTTTCACTCCGGAGCGTATCATTGACGTACCTGTAAACGCTGCGGAGCTAAAAAAGGCAACGAAGGATAATGGGCTTGAGTATTGTTTCACTTGTTTCTCTTCCATGTCATATGTTAGGGTAACATATTACATCCCATTCGATGACGAACACCTTAAGCAATCATCTTATATATTCAACTTCAGGTAGTAAACTGTTTTATTTGCTTGATCAAAGCTCCGCGGTGTTGATCAAACAATCTAAAGCTAAACTTGCGAATTAGAAATGGTGGAATCATTAAGATTTGATCAAACTAAGAGACCATTAATACGTATATTCTTCTCATTTGGTGAAATTCCAGACCAAAGCAAACACTCGTTCTAAAATTTAAAAAAATCGCTTGTTTTTCTCAACGCGCTCTGGCGATTGCTGACATGTTTTTAGAAAAGCTCTTACCACTTTATTTTGAAATTAATCTCAGATGATTAGTGAAGAGTTACATCGAACCTATCTATCAAAAACGTGTTGTACTTGTTTTATTTGAAACTTCCCAAGCTGGTAGTGCTACGTGCAGCAAGACGACTACATAATAGATGACGCAAATTAAGTTGTAGGTTACGACGTTCGAATAGTTTATAAACCACAGAAATACTTAGTTTAAACAGACGCAAACGTAGGGTCCAAGTGTCAACTCACATTTGACTCTATTGCAAAGAAACGAGGTGAGTGTATTCATAGTTATTAGCAGACGCTAGAAAAACTTAAGAGGAATGAATACATTAAACTCCAATGTCAAAGTTTGGATTATTTTATAGTCTTTCAAATGATTTAAATTATGTCATATGAAAGACCACAAATGCAACTACCTCGACCAATATCTGGGACATTTGGCATTCGCGACCAATTTAACGTTTATCCCTATCAGATTACTTACCTAAATTGATCTATGTTTGAATAATTTAATTGAATTGCGAGTCAGGTTTCTGTTTCTGTTTTTTTTACAGTTTCTTTCACAAACAGGATGTCATTTTGTCATATATATAATTTAGTTTTTGTAGCTGGAAAAAACTTCATTGTTCAAGATATACCCCAAAATCATGAGAACTACTCACTTCTTCTGGGGTTTATAAATATATTTTATTAAGGGTTTATTTAATCAATAGTTGAATTAAATCATTTAGACACCAAGAAGTTGGTTTATGAGAGAATATTTGGAATTAAAAAGATTTCATTAATTTTCCTTTTGTCTGGAGCATTTAATAACAGCGTTTCTTTGAATATTCTAAGATTTTAAAGTTAACTGTTTCTTAATGATGTTTAATTTATTAAAGTTATATCTAAACGCTGACCCACCTCTTCTAACCCCTAACCTGACCCCTTTAGCGTTTTTTAGAGGCTACTCTTTTGGAGGAAATGACAGGGAAACAACAACTAAAGACCCAAGCTATGACATTACTTGTCATGTGGGATCCAGACCGACTGATTTGGGCAATACTATTGATCTTACAGCGTTAACACCAAGCCGTTAACATATATCTAATCAATATATTTTATTATTTAGTCATCATGAGAACTGTACATTAGGACTACAGTGCACATTTAAATTAAATTAGACATCTGACATAGTTGTATCGGTTAATTAATCCCACCTATTATTCTATGTTAGAGAAAATGAAGACGACGCATGTGATATGCTGCCTGTTGGTAATGTTACTGGTGTCAACAGTTACGATACAAGGTTTTTATATGGGCCGTTTTCAAGAAAAGGGTAAAATAGGCAACTTTATTACAACTCATTAGCATACATTGTCCATGTCTTGATGATTAGAGCCAAAAAAACTCTTATCAGAGACTCCCTTGAAGCTTAGTACTACATATAGGACAGTTTGATGGATATTGAACACTACAGGGTGTCAAATAAATATGTTCTCACCTCTTATCTTTAACATAAAGACATGATATCCCACATGTTGTTTACCAAATTAACCCTCATTGAGGTGTCATTAAGCACCTACCAAATTTGAATAATGAACTAAACAGAATAAAAAGTATAACTTGAAAGAAAAATTGAAAGTTTGCAATATAAACTTATGGATATTGGTACATTTCGATACTTTTGATAACAGTTATGGTCAAATAAAAAGTCACTCTTTCCAAATTCTGAGTTCAATAGTCACTTGTTATGTTACTTGAGGGATCCAATGGGAAGCTATACATGCTAGGCCAAACTTGACCATTTAAAATGGATCACAAATGAAATAGGAAGGATGGCATTGTTTATCCAAAATTAATGGAAAGGGGATTTTAGAGGACTGGATTACAGTCAAATCTGTGTGCGCCGTGTATTTTAACATCAAAATCCCAGAGTACCAAATTAAATTGCAGTGGAAGGATTTTTTTTTTTCAAAAAGTAGTATCTTTAATTAAAAACGGTGTCTTGGAAGTTTGTGCATAAATATTGCAAATATGCATGAAATCTCTTGACATAACAGCTTTTAAAATCATCAAATGTTGACTTTTTGGCAATGACAAATACCCTTCAAATAGCCCCAACCTCAATGGACCCAAGCATATATAGGGGGCGTTCCTATAAGATCAGGTGGATGTCCTATAGCTGGAAAGAGAATCTAGACTGGAACACATTATTCCAATGCAACCCTACCGAGATGTATTCAGAAGACCCTTTGATGCGTTACAATTTGCATAGAAACTGTTTGAAAATATTCTGGACACATAATTTGCATGAAATGTCATCATAAATGCGGCAGATGATTGGCCCATTGACTATGAAGGAATTGATAAAAAACAGAAGTTTTAAGTAAAATATGGGGATCGAACTTGCTATTCTCTCTAATAACTGAATACTCTAAAAGAAAAAAATAAGTAAACTTGTACAAAAGTTCATACTTTTGAAATTAAGGGGGGGGGGACATATTTATTTGACACCTTGTAGTTATTATTCAACAATTGCATTTTTGCAATGGAGTTACCAATATCTCTCATCATTATAATCGTTTTAGTGTACCTGAACATAAAATCATTAAGAATCATGATAAAAGTATGTCAGTGCACAATTATACTTCGTTTAAGCTACATGTGAAGTGGCTTATTAACCACCCTAGCTTGTATACAATATTGACCAAAATAGGTAAGACACAATATATTTAAAATATATAAAACAAATGTCATGAAAATTAATGAATGTACTTACATTTCTGGATTTATGTTTGTATAGTCGAATATTGTCGCTGAATATTGTATTTTCCAGATGATGGAAATGTTGTTCTAATCGACGATATTCATGAAGAAGATTCTAGAATCAAAAGGATCGACCCGTTTCGACAGTCCCAACCTTCAACGCCTTGGCCTGTGATTTTTAGAAATCAGTGATACATCTGGCATAGATCTATAGCAATTTGATATTCTTGTTACGTCACTGATTAGGAAATAAAAAAACGCCGCATGTAATTATTCATCTTGTTAAATTCTTTCTTCGTGGTAAGTCACGCCTTCTTAAATGATGTAACTGAGAGAAATGTTTGTCAGAATCAATGAGCTCCAATGGAATTGGCAGATTATAAAAGATCATGTTTATTTTGACTTCTATGCATTTCAAAGGCT